TAAGCCATTAACTACAACCTCTACCGGAAATATACTCAGTGACACATAATTTACGCCATTAACTACAACCACTACCGGAAATATACTCAGTGACACATAAGTTACGCCATCTACTACAACCACTACCGGAAATACACTCAGTGACACATAAGTTACGCAATTTCACCGGGTGGCAATTTATTACAACCACTACCGGAAATACACTCAGTGACACATAAGTTACGCCATTTACTACAATCATCTACCGGAAATGCACTCAGGAACATATGAGCCGCGTCACGACAAAACCAACATAAAGGGTTTGCGACCATCATGGAACCAGACCAGCCTGCGCATCCGCACAGTCTGATCAGGACCCATGCTGTTCGCTATCAGTTTCTCTACTTGTAATAGGGTTGGTAAGCGAACAGCATGGATCCTGGTCAGACTGCACGGAGGCGCAGGCTGGTAAGGATCCATGCTGGTCGCAAACCCACTTTGTTTGTTTTGTCATTGCACGGCTCATATATGTTACGCCATCTACTACAACCACTACCGGAAATACACTCAGTGACACATAAGTTACGCCATTTACTTCAACCACTACCTGAAATACACTCAGTGACACATAAGTTACGCCATCAACTTCAACCACTACCGGCAAAACACTCAGTAATACTAAGTCACGCCATCTACTACAACCACTACCGGAAATACACTTAGTGACACATAAGCTACGCCATTAAATACAAACATCCATCGTAAATACACTCAGTGACGCATAAGTTACACCATTTACTACGGACATCTACCGGAAATACACTCAGGAACACATAAGTTACGCCATCTACTTTAACCTCCACCGAAAATACACTCAGTGACACATAAGATACGCCATTTACTACAGACATCTACCGGAATTAGACTCAATGACACATAAGATACGTCAGCAAACGCAACTATTCGGCCCTTTTCGTCAATCTCCGGATAAGGACCTCGAACACAATAGTATGAATACACAGAACGGATGCCGTATTTCGATCTAACCTACGCTAAGAAACTTATCATGTAAACAAACAGTAATCTAATGCTTGGAGTTGTTGACAAATTTATTTCCGACATATGTAGTAAAAGTCCAACTAAAATAAGTGAATTCATAGATACAAAAGCAAACAATACATTTTTTCTATATTATCCCGACAGTACAAAAATCCAACTTGTTGACATTAAGTCGGATTGTCACCTGCTACAACCTTCTACCGATACACTCATTGACACATTATTTACATCACCTGCTACAACCTTCTACCGAAAATACATTCAATGACACATTAGTAACGTCACATCCTACAAAAAATTCCGGAAATGCACTCATTGACACGTTTGATACGCTACTTGCTACAAACATCTACCGGAAATTATACACACAATGACACGTTAGTTACGTTATCGCACCCCAAAAACACTAAATGACATATAAGTTAGGACACCTGCTACAACCCCTTTCCGGATATACCCTCAATGAAACCTTTAATTGTCACCTGCTACAACCCCATACCGGAAATAAACTCAATGACACATAAGTAACGACACCTGCTACAACTCCATTCCGGATATACCATCAATGACACATTGGTTACGCCAACTACTACTACACCAATCCGGACATACCCTAAATGACACGTACACTAATTGCGTCACTTAATACAACCCCATACCTGAAATTCACTCAATGACAATTAAGTAACGTCACCTGCTACAGCCCCTTTGACACATTAATTACGTTAGCTGTTACAATCCCCTTCCGGAAATACCCTCAATGTAACTTTAGTACGACACCTGCTACAACCCCATTCCGGATATACCCTCAATGACACATTAATGACGTTGGACAAAATCCCCTTCATGTATTTTTGTATATCTGGACATAATCCCCTCCATGGGTGGACATAATCCCCTTCATGTGTGAAATTTTGAAGTGGACAAAATCCCCTTCATAAAATTGCTACCTAGGACAAAATCCCCCTCAGATGAATTTTCGGTTTATATAGTGGGTATTAGAGCGACATACTGCATTATGCTGTGTGGTAAATATCTTAATGTATAAATAAGTAGAAAATATTTCAGCAGAAAAGCACATTTAATAAGCACATTTTAATCACATTAAAATTGCTTTGTTAAAGCATTCATAACAATCAAGTTGTGCAGTGATCTTGGTTTGATTAAGTTATCACTCTTTCATCAATAGAAATTTTAACAATGGATAATATGTATCAATAAGAAGTATCAACTTATACAATCAATGAAACAATTATGGCTAATAAAAATGTTTTTCATACTTATCAATTTAAAACAATTAAAGAAATTGACTAATCAAATATGTGTTATGCAGTTGATAATTTAAACTTTAAAATTTAAAACGAAATAGAGGTTAACTATTGATACATAATTATAAATAAGAAAAAACAAAAGTTCATTTTCATCAATTTTTAGGGAGTATAAACTATAATAATACATTATTCATCAATATTTTTGGAGCATAATAATACATAAGAAACCTATGAAACAAGGGGATTTTGTCCGGGTAGTGAAGGGGATTTTGTCCAGCCTTGCAAGAACATGAAGGGGATTATGTCCACCCATGAAGGGGATTTTGTCCGGGTATGTGAAGAAGGGGATTATGTCTGACATTCGCTACAACCCCCTACCAGAAATACACTCAATGACACATTAGGTACGTTATCTGCTACAATCCCCTTCCAGAAATATTCAATGACACGATATTCACGTCATCCGTTTATTACCCCATACCGGAAATACAATCTATGACATGTAAGGTACGTCATCTGCTACTACACTGAATGACCTGCTACAAACATCTTCCGGCAATACATTCAGACTCTTACTGAATCTCGGGAACAGCTCGCGGTGATTTTCTGTTTCAAGGAATATGGTATGTAATAGAAAGAGCATCGAAACACGTGGCTATCTGATTTGTACAAGGAGGGGGGGGGGGCGTAGCCCCCGAGTTTTTATCAGATTGCCGAGTGTTTTGATGTTCTTTCTCTCTTTTTTCGTAGTCAAACATAAAATCACGCTCCCTGTTGTCACAATATGAAACCCTGAAAAAAGGAACCAATAAACGAGCATCTGAAAATGACATTTCTATCGCTTTCCCTTACTCTTCCGTCACAATAAGTAAACCCCAGCAAATATTAGCCAATCAGTAGGCATTCTCTAGAGTGCGGGTAACTAATACTCCAGTTAACTCACTGTGCATGTATATGTATTAGATTTAACTCTGAAACATTTTCAACAGAAAGGTCCCCAAACTATGATACAAATAATTTTTAATTATTTTATTAACCGTCAGCTTAGCTCATTATGTAGAGCGTTGGATTGGGAATCGGGCGATCCGTGTTATAAGTCGCCGGTAGAAACCGGCGACTATATTTGTAACAGTTTAATATTATATCTATGGTAGGAGAAGCCCTTAAAATCTAAAAATGAAAGCAAATCAATTTTTGAACAATTAAGGACCATAATTCATTTTCATTATCTTAAAATTTAAACATATAATAACGTTGCTCAATGAAATGAAATATACAAGTATTGATCTTTTAAAAGGCGACATTACAAGTTTTATGAAATGAACTAATAATGTATACCTATGGATAAGTCATTGAATTTAGGGATACTTTTACTTTTTTCCAAGTGTTGTTGTTATTTTATGATGAATAAATCATGAATGATATTTGAAATGACACTATTAAATTAGTTGGTTGTTTATATCTATTAAGACCTATTCTATTTTATTATTGTATATAATTATGAACAGTTTCTCCCTGTTCTTTTGTAAGAATCACGTGACTACACGTTGTATGCTATTGTTATAAAATCTATTTATAGTAACAGATTGCTGATAAGACACACAGGTAACTTGTGAATGGTATGGCGGTTGATAAAATGCAAATAATAGTATTACTCATATTTTACACATTAACAAATAAATTTTCAAAACCTTTTCATTTTTTTCAAAGGGTTAAACTTTGCCCTTAATTCTGTCAAACTTCTGACAAGAACATTCAATAGTTTAGTTTAGGTTGAACATCACAAAATAAATTTATGCTAAAGAGGCACATTTATTGTAATTGTTGTTTTCGTTATATTCTGTCGATTTCCGTCGCGCAGGTTTCCAAAAGGTGAAATCCCTGGATCTGGAAAATTTGTAAATGTCCTCAAAATGACAAGCAGTCACAGGATAAGCAGTCACAGGAACAAATCTTTTCTCCTTATAAAGATTAAAATGGTGGTTTCCTGACTTGACCCACGTTGGTCAGGTAAGAGTGTTAACTTTTCACAATAGTTGTCAGTGAACTCTGTACATATTTGAAAAAATGTCAAATGAATGATTAAGACTTGTCCACATACAATGTCCACAATATCTGTGGGTTTGTTCAAGTCACATGACTTAATTTAAAACTACTCGGTGATTCTTGCGGCGTCTAAATTTCGTTCAAAGAGATAGATATATTTAAGCTTTAAACCCAAAATATGAAGAATTTATAGAGAAATTCGTGCAATGACAAATGTCATTTAAGAGTGATTTAAGTACATAAGATCATTTTGATATTTTTATCATTCATTTGCCTTAGTATACTAGTATACCTTTAGAGAAAACTATATGACCATCCCTTGCCTTAACGCTTTAAATTGTAATTGCGTGGTTTTGGATGACATTCAATATTTATGCTTAATCGTTAATAATATATATATATTGCTCCAATAATGGCATGACATCTTCCATATTTTCCTTGTACGATGACGTGTTCCTATTTTTCGAGATGAGATCAGTATTTGTTTGAATTCAAATAAAAAAACTGGGTAGAAATTCCGATAACTGAATGATCTAATCATAAATTTATCGTTACCTTAATTAATTATGAAAAACATGAAATAACAGGAAGTTTTATAAATAGATATTTTGGAAAAAAGCGTTACAAACCGTATAAAAGGCAGACATTTGTAAATGCAATTTATTTTCAATTCATAACTTATATTCAAAATTGTGGAATGCATTGATTAAATTAACTTCTATCTGGGAAAAATGTTAATATTCTAAAAAAGAATTGTAAATTGAACGATTTAAAAAAGATAACGAGATATTATCGCTGAGACATTGAAACATCTTAAGAGCATTTGAGTCAGTAAAATGTCGCATTCTAAATCAGCTCGGTCACATGGTGATGAACAAACTAGCTTATCATGCTGGGACAAAATCAAAGCCTGTTTTTGCTGCCGCAATATATCCTGTTTTTGCGGCCACAAAATCAGTCCGCTCAAAAATAAGGTAAGATTTAGATGGTTACTTTAATGACAACTGTTTAAAGTAAAAATTTTATATTGACTAAAATATTACATAGACTGTACATCGCATTATTAATTCCGAAGATAACGTGGGTTTATAATTAAGAAAAAAAAATGAAAATGAAAACAATTCTGAAAAACGTAAAGTTATTTTGACCTTCCAGTACACTATTTACACATTTTTCCTCGACAGTGATGTTTTCATTGTTGGCACTTAAATAACAGGTGATGTATATCAAAATCGGAGAGCGCGGCTCATTACGATTTTTTTTTATCTCAGAGTGGGAACTTTACAGACCGGAAGTTCATTAATTCAAAAGTCAAAGGTCACAATCTATGCCCTGGGTGATAACTTGGCTGAGCCAAGGATATAGTATAGTCATGTCGTTCCAGTCTCTGTCGAAATTACATGTAGATTGATCTTATCAGAAAGTATGTTTTTTCAGGAAATTTTCATACACGGACATGCTATTGGTGGGATATTGGAGACAGATACTCGACTTGACGAAAGCGGTTTAAGAGTCTACCGACACATACTTAAGATGCCTGACAACGGACCAGAAAATGTGGCGAGAAAAATGAATTTGAAGTAAGTACTAGTATTATTTGTTTATTTCTAACAAAAATGAAGATTTGTACAAAAAGTATAGTATGGAAGACGGACAAAACCCCACCAGTTAAAACCCCACCACTCAAAATTTTATAGAGTGGACAAAACCCCACCACTAAATTTTATAGAGTGGACAAAACCCCACCACTAAATTTCACAGAGTGGACAAAACCCCACCACTTATTTGATTAATTATAATATATATAATATACACATTTTTTCACATTTTATTTTTTTTTATTTCAATATAACATTAAATTTGTGTAATATAAGAATGAACAATTTTATAAACAATGCATATACATCTTGCATGTGCAATATGCAAAAAAAGGTGTTACAAACTGTACACAAAAAACTTAATCCTAATCCCTGAAGAACAAAACAGATTATTTATTGATGTTTTGATTGCAAAAAAGGTGTTACAAACTGTAACTTCTTATTGATGAGTTGTTCACACATTATTTTGAGTTTCTGCTGATGTACAATTGTTTGTTTTTTAACATGTTTACAAGAAAGTTTTGTCCACTCTATAAAGCTGAAGTGGTGGGGTTTTGTCCACTCTGTAAAATTTAGTGGTGGGGTTTTGTCCACTCTATGAAATGTAGTGGTGGGGTTTTGTCCACTCTATAAAATTTTGAGTGGTGGGGTTTTCACTGGTGGGGTTTTGTCCTACATTCGTATTGTATGTTCGTGGACATGCCTTGGGTAGGGCAAGATTCGTTTGTGCCAAATAGACAAACATAACATTTGAAAACATAATCATTTGTCATTTCTGACCGACTTTTGACATTTTCGCCATACCATACATTTTGCTTATGAGCCAAAAAATGAGGTAATCGATTACTGCTCGCCAACATTTTGGCTTTTTTGTGAAAAAGGAAAATAATTGCACAACAAGCAAAACTAATGAGGAAAAATGGTGTTAAAGTTGTGAGCATTTTTGGAAATAAACAAACATGATTTAATCATATATGGGAGCTTCTCGGTTTAAAGAACATTTTCAAAGAGCGGGTTTTTCTTCTTCTAAAATTGAAAACATTATATCCGTGCCAATTCTGTCATACTGCTGCATAAAAGTTTGTAGGTTCGAATCCCGTCAGCCACTTTCGATTCCTATATCTTATATTGACCAGATAGCTTACGAATAGTTGGTTGGTGGTTCGTTTGCTTGAAATAATGGAGAAAGCTTACTGACCATTGCAAGTTGGTGTGACTTAATTAAAGCTCCCGTCAACCTTCACCCCCCGCCCCTAAACATCAGACTCTAGAAACGACAATGAGACAGCACAATTTAAATATAGACATTTTCTCTCTCCATGTTGCATAAAAGCCAATTGATGGGGAGTTGACTTACTTCTAAAAAATATTCTCTATCGAAAAATCCTGATGTATTCGTTTGACATTGTTAATATCAATTACTGATAATATCCTAATTTACTACAATAGAATGCTAGAATATGAGGACAATATAATAACATAAAGCTATTATCTTGATTGAGATCTTATTGCATTATCTAATTTGAAAGATTGTTTTTACATAGCGTGTAGCGAATGCGAAAAATCATTGTGCTCCTTGTAATAACAATGTGATTTAAGACATTATTATTTTTGTGTGTGTGTGTGTGTGTGCGTGCGTGCGTGCGTGCGTGTATGTGTGTGTTGATTGTTGTTGTTGTTCTTTACATTATGGTTCATTGCAGAATTTTCTTTATACACTACAAGAATATATTATAGAGAATGACACAGTCATATAATTTAAAATAGTTCGTCTCAAACTGTTAACCAATCATATTCCAACAAATCCTAAATTATGTCGTTTAAATAAAGTTATTAAACTTTCAGTTGGTTCTTATTTTATTTTATTTATTTTATTTTATTGACCTGTTAGTGCATTAAAGAGTTAGGTTTTTAATAGAAAAGATCGACGTAATTTCGTCAAATATTTGAAGGAAAAAATGAATGAAAGTTTGAATAACATGTAAAGTATGTATAGATTTATTCTAATATATTGGTTTGACCGAAATGAAGGCACACTTTAGTTCATTGTGATAAAAGCTTTTACTTGTAAAAAATAAATAGAATAAGATAGATTGCCTATCTTTACATAAAACACAATTAGTTCCTTTTGAACTAGATACGCTGTGGGTTATTGAGTGTTATGAAACAGCTGTTTATTTTTATTATTTATTTTATTTTATCTTATTTTATTTTTCATTATTTTTCATGATTGGATTTTGGGTAGCACCAACACAGAAACAGTCATATGACTACTTTTCACCTGTACTGGTGGAGGAAGATCTCAGGTGCTCTTCCATGCATTATTTCAGGCACGAACAGGCCTGAACAGAGTAGAACCATCGAACTTCCATAAGTTTGCTGAATAGCTTTCTCACATGTCGGGATTCGAACACACAGCGATGAGGGAAAAGTGGTTTGAAGTCAAACTTTTAACTTAAAACAGAAATATGTTGGCTCGCATATAATACGAAATAAATGACAATTGGTGGATATTTTTTCTCTAACTTTAATGCTTTCACCATAATGTAGAGGTATGTTTGTTATTGTTCTGTTATTAACACATGTATATGTATTGTAAGTGGAATAATCAGTATGATTTGTTGTAAAAAGAAACGAGGCTGCCAGAAAATGGCTGAAGACAAGTTAAATCAAATCTAATCTTAATGATAATAGCCCAGAAGCAAAGCCCAGAATTTTTTCTTCCTTTGCAGAGACGGAGATGAATTGCTGGAGCTGAATAAAGATTTGCTTCCGCTTCTTACTCCAGAACAGGTCCTCAAAGGGTTCCAGAATATAAAAACAGACGGACGGACAAACACAGTATTGGTATTGATTCTTTATTCGACTTTACACAATCCTGTCCTAGCCTAAAAAATCGGCCTATATGTTATCGACCAGTCACATGTTACCGTAGTCTTTACCCCTTTTGAATTATCAACTCAATGATAAAAGTCTGCCAAGCGGATACCGTTGTGTTGTAAAATAAACAACTAAAGTACCCGCTAGATGCTCCCGCACTCCGAGTATGGGAGTATAACCCACACCACTATTGGGTGAAGATCCCTTTTTGCATTCTAATATCTTAAGCCTTAAGCCTTAAGCCTTTTCATTTTGAATGGACTGTTCCAAATTCAAAGCAAGACAAAGATGAAATAAAAAGTAAAATATGTATGCGCATGCGTAAAGTTTTATTTTCAGACTGTAGGGAGGAAAGAAGACACTTATTTTGTTTCTGATAATCAGGCAGAAATGCGCAATGCATCTAACACCCGGACGAACATGTCTACGAGAACGAACATTCCGGAAGTTTCATATTCAAGGACTGAAATGACAAATGCTTCTAACAGCATAAGTAAAATTACACCTGTTAGTGATCAGGTGCATGCGGTTAAGAGGTTATGTTGCAAGTTCGAATGCAAAGGTAATTGTGATGAATTATATTCATTTTATTTTAATTTTATATTTATCTTATGAACATATCTATAAATGATTCCTACCCACACTTATTTCTGTTCGCGATAGCCTTTCAGCCTTCTTCAACATCATAGTGACGCTGCTGTCCGTAAGGCTGATACGTTTTATATTTTGCTATATCACATACCCGTGCCTCTTTTGCGACTCCGTCAAAATAAGACGGCCGTGCATATATTTTAACTTGACGTCATTTGCGTTTTACTAACACAGTGTAAAGACAAAGGGGGGGGTCAATGGAAAATTACTCTTTTTCACTTAAAGCGGTGTTAATTTTTTGTATGTGATAAATAGAATATTAAATTCGTGTACTGATTTTATTGCTCGTAGAATAAAATTATATTATGCTCTCTATTATTCTTGATAATGTTTATGAACATATTCACGACGGTTTGTTGTGATGTAATGCTTGATATGTTTATGAATATATTTACGAAGTTTTGTAGTGATATAATGCCTGTTAATGAACATATATACGACGTTTTGTTGTGATGTAATGCTTGATATGTTTATGAACATATTCATGACGTTTTGTAGTGATGTAATGCCTGTTAATGTTAATGAACATATTCACGACGTTTTGTTGTGATGTAATGCTTGAAAATGTTTATCAACATATTTACGACGTTTAGTAGTGATTTAATGCCTGTTAATGTTTATGAACATATTCACGACGTTTTGTTGTGATGTAACGCTTGATAATGTTTATGAACATATTCACGACGTTTTGTAGTGATGTAATGCTTGATATGTTTATGAACATATTCACGACGTTTTGTTGTGATGTAACGCTTGATAATGTTTATGAACATATTCACGACGTTTTGTAGTGATGTAATGCTTGAACATGTTTATGAACATATTTACGACGTTTTGTAGTGATGTAAGGCTTGAACATGTTTATGAACATATTTACGACGTTTTGTAGTGATGTAATGCTTGATTTGTTTATGAACATATTCACGACGTTTTGTTGTGATGTAACGCTTGATAATGTTTATGAACATATTTACGACGTTTTGTTGTGATGTAATGCTTGATATGTTTATAAACATATATACGACGTTTTGTAGTGATATAATGCCTGTTAATGTTTATGAACATATTTACGACGTTTTGTTGTGATGTAACGCTTGATAATGTTTATCAACATATTTACGACGTTTTGTTGTGATGTAATGCTTGATATGTTTATGAACATATATACGACGTTTTGTAGTGATGTAATGCCTGTTAATGTTTATGAACATATTTACGACGTTTTGTTGTGATGTAATGCTTTATATGTTTATGAACATATATACGACGTTTTGTAGTGATATAATGCCTGTTAATGTTTATGAACATATTTACGACGTTTTGTAGTGATGTAATGCTTGATATGTTTAAAAACATATATACGACGTTTTGTTGTGATGTAACGCTTGTTAATATTTATGAACATATTTACGACGTTTTGTAGTGATGTAATGCTTGTTATGTTTATGAACATATATACGACGTTTTGTAGTGATGTAATGCTTGATATGTTTATGAACATATATACGCCGTTTTGTAGTGATGTAATGCTATATATATGTAAATGAACATTTATACGACGTTTTGTAGTGATGTAATGCTTGATATGTTTATGAACATATATACGACGTTTTGTAGTGATGTAATGCCTGTTAATGTTTATGAACATATTTACGACGTTTTGTTGTGATGTAATGCTTGATATGTTTATGAACATATATACGACGTTTTGTAGTGATATAATGCCTGTTAATGTTTATGAACATATTTACGACGTTTTGTAGTGATGTAATGCTTGATATGTTTATGAACATATTCACGACGTTTTGTAGTGATGTAATGCTTGATATGTTTATGAACATGTATACGACGTTTTGAAGTGATATAATGCCTGTTAATGCTTATGAACATATATACGACGTTTTGTAGTGATATAATGCCTGTTAATGTTTATGAACATATTTACGACGTTTAGTAGTGATGTAATGCTTGTTAATGTTTATGAACATATTTACGACGTTCCGCAGTGATGTAATGCTTGTTAATATTTATGAACATATGCACGAGGTTTCGTAGTGATGTAATGCTTGTTAATGTTTATGAACATATTCACAATGTTTTGTAGTGATGTAATGTTTGATATGTTTATGAACATATTTACGACGTTTTGTAATGATGTAATGTTCGTTATGTTTATGAGTATATTTACGACATTTTGTAGTGATGTTATGTTTGTTATGTTAATGAATATATTTACGACGTTTTGTAGTGATGTAATGTTTGTTATGTTAATGAATATATTTACGACGTTTTGTTGTGATGTAATGTTTGTTATGTTTATGAATATATTCACGATGTTTTGTAGGAGGAAAGTGTATTCCAATTGACCGAAGAGAACCTGAAAATGACGACGGTTTTTCACGAGAAATAGAAAGTGTGCATAAGTATCAGCTTGTTCCTCAACCTAGTCATTTCATAATGATTGAAGGTCAAACAGTCAAAGCGGGTACAAGAGACGGTATATCTACATCTCGTTATTTTTATTCTTTCCTACTGGACCAGATTTATAATTAATAAAACATTGCATAAAATAATAACACTGATACGATATAGATTAAATGTTCATGAACTAAAGTCATGGAGTTTAATCTGTGCTAAAGTTTAACATAATAGCAAGATATTCCGTGATAGAAGTCCCATTTTCTGAATTGTATTGTTGCCTCTAAAATTACAAAACTACCTACCGGTATTGTGTTCCACATGGACCAGCTATCCGCATTGAGACTATTTGCGATAGATTGATATATACGTGATTTAATCATTGATCTTTATTCTTAATCGGCAATTTTTTTCACAAGCGGACGTTTTATTGGACCACTAAACTAAACTTTATCTCAATTTCCCAAACATTTATAATGAGCAGTTCCAAAACTTGATGCCAGACAAGTCCATTTAAGAAATTCATCAGGTTAAGAGATAAACAAATATTAACAATATTTATTATTTCAGACGACATCTTAAAGACATTGAAATACCATCTTGACGGTACAAATTATTATAAACAGAATGGATATGTTCATTTTGATGGCGTTACCCTTTCAAATATAGATAAGACACAGTACATCTGTCTAAATGTTGAAGAAAACAGGATCGAAATGTCGGTAAGCTTAAGTGTACTATAATCGGGTAACTGTCATGTCGTCTGTTTTTCGACATAACAGTGCGAATGACCGTAGAAACTTTTCATGATCAATCACATCGATGGTGATTTGCACCGTCCGGGAATCGAACCCGTGCTGCCCGATTCACAGTCCAACATATTGAGCTTGAAAATGCTGGAACACTTTCATTACTAATTAATATGCATAAAATATCTCAGGAAATGGTGATTGGGATTCGTTCAAATTCGCAGTCGACTTTACAATTTTACGGAGAATAGCAAGAACTTTCGATAGTGGTATCCGATAGTAGTAATGAAATCACACCCACTTCTTACGTTCTTAAGTATTGGGAGGGTTTTGCTTATAGATCAACATTTAAAATTCCATTTCTAAATGCGGACTTAGCAGTTGACACGAATGTATTCAGCACAACATTCAATATGATGCCGAGTTAGCATGTTTAGTAAGCACACTATTTGTATGTATGTATGTATGTATGTATGTATGTATGTATGTATATGTGTGTGCGTGCGTGCGTGCGTGCGTGTATTAATTTGTTTGTTTGTTGCAGGGTGAGCCAGAATGGTTCAAGATCAGCATGAACGATTCACAAGTCCACTTTTCATTATCAAAATTGCAAGGTAAATCACTCAACCTGAATTTGTTATTTTATTTACCTTGAATGTAATCAGGGAAATTCATTCTTTGTTGATAGGGATCTTAATACTTGTACAAAAATATATTTGATTACAGAGCTGAGTCTGATTAGACGCCTCTAGGCTGACAATTTCATGTCGCTAACGCCGCTCTGTCGTGAACTTCACAGATCTTAAAAATATCCTAAACTATATTAACTATTTATAAGAATTTAGGGAAATACACACACCATGTATTTTATAATGTTATTTGTATGATACAAATGTTACAAAATCTGTCTGTATAGTATAAACTTATTTAACATCATTTTTTACCCTTAAGACCATTTATCAGTCTTTCAAAGTTTCATTATAAATAAAATGATTTGATAAAGAAATAGCAACATTCTTATTTTCAGGAAGAAAAAGCACGTACATGTATATTGGTTACCACGAGGAAGAACAAATGTTGATGCCGCTTGACCAGCCCTGTAAATTTGAGGAAGTAACGGTGTCTTAATAACGTACAAGTTCGACCAGCTTCGCCATTTTCCGTGAAAATCGTTTAGATGGCGGAATTTAACTCACTACAGTATTAAAGTAGTACTACAGAGATCACAAAGTAGAAAAATATCGCCTTTTTTTATTTTTTTTATTCATTCATGATCGTATATAAATCAGTGTGAGAAGACGAATTTATTGTGCATTTCGGCGTGTAAACAGGCGAGATTTTAGCATTTAATCATACAAGCGCCCTATCCGGTATATAAATGTATACAGTATTAGTGGTGTTCCAACAATTTTTTTTCGTCTCATTCCAAAATTTCTGGTTGCTCCGTGTCAAATAGACGTTCGCTTACTTAGTTTTTGGAAGACAATATATGATATTTTTATAAGTGAATGTAAGTGAGACAACTATATTCAGCAATAAAGTCGTAGACTTGTAAGAAGAAAATTCCACGTTTTGAATTATTCTCACGCTGATAAAATGACACCAAAGAATTTAGATTTTCTTAATTACATAATATCAATGACTCCTTTTGAAAAGTCTGTAATTATTATAAAATAACTGCTTAATAGTTAAGTTATTGTATATATTTATATGAAAATCTTTTATTCTGTATCTTACTTAGAAAAAAAAAATATGAGTAAATTAGTAAAGCAGTATGCCTCCAGATGAACATTTTTTTTTTTTTTGAAGAAAGTCAATCTCGAGAAAAATGAACTAAGATTTTAAAGAAAGTAAAAAGATTCAAGATTCAATCTCGAGAAAAATGAACTAAGATTTTAAAGAAAGTAAAAAGATTCAAGATTCAAGTATATCAATATATGTGAATATTGACGGCAGTATTTATCACCATATTTCTACTGCATGACTAACGCAGTAAGAGCTATTTTTGCATATTTTGACCTCTTTTCTGGTAGTTTACGTGGATTTTAAGTGCTGTCTTGCAATGTGTAAATCACTTTCCTAGTTCACTTCGTTTAAATACATTTTCAAATTTTTATGAAAATTATCATGATTATAGATACAGCTTTGATTAAAGTGTGGTAAATAAAACACACAGGCTTGTTATAATATACTTGATATGTCAACCATATCTAACTCTCATTTCTGTAATGATAAAATATATATTTTGAATGTTGGATTATGACTCTATTGTAAATACTTTATATCATTATCATTTTATTTTATTGGTTGTCTAATATGGATTTTCTGCTTTCATTTGACAAAGAACTGGTGACGTCATTGCGCGTTATTCATCTGTTTCCGCTTTTGTATTTTAGTCTATTTTTTTTAACCGATCCAAAATGTCTATGGTCACTTTTATATAATTACCAATTACATTAATCTCTTTAAGGTTTACAGTAGAAACTTGATGCACATCACCCGCAATACATTTTTATATTTCTAATGAAGGATTACGTTTACAGTACTTGTAGAAAAGGTGTTTTTTATAGAAAAATAGTCTGAAATTGAAGGGACTTAATTAACTGAGGTCTTTTGACATGACGGAACTAGAATTGTTTTTTCACAAATTTGTACCATTTGATGTATATAGTTATCTGAACTAATTACCTGTGTGCAAAAATTTCAGGTCATTCATTCAATTTGTTTTGCCAGATTAACCGTTTTAAATGTAAAAAAATGAGCCAAACCAGGCTAATAACCACAGTATATAAACAAAATTACTGTACCCTGTCTTGAGAGCCTATATTATTCAATGTGTATACGTAACTTGTCTTGCGAGTACAAGCACATGTTACTTCCGGTTACTGTACCTTACTTGGGAGCTTGTACCTTACTTGCGATAACAGGATGTAGACTTGTTTATATACAGTGAGAACAGCACAAAATCGTGTTACAGTTTAATTTTAAGCATATTTCTTTATTATATTTAGTATATTTTTTCCGTTTTAAATCTCCCAGTGTATCTATTTAAGAATAAAAAGTCTCAGAGGCACTATACACAGAGTGGCTATAACAACTTCAAACACAGAGTGGCTATGACAATATCAAAACATTTTCTTTTTTGTTAAAATAAATAGAAAAGTTAAACATGTCAGGAATTATAAAAAAAAATGTGACATTTTGAATTAAGGTAAATGTATATATGGCCTTGAAATTTACTTTTTTTTGTTGTTGGTTTATTATTATTATTATTATTATTATTATTAATTTTGTTGTTGTTTTGTTGTTGTTTTGTTATTGTGTTATATCAAAAACACTGGACAAGTTCAACTTCCGCTGCAATCAACTCATTATTAATAGAGTTATGTCTCTTTAAAAAGAAATTTAAGGAAATTTTAAGTGAAATTTTTGGTTTCAGCAAAATAACTTTTGAAGGATTTCAATGATTATGTTTATATTTTGCAGGCAAATATGCTAGTATATGATGGTTATTTTCACTGCAATCAACTCGTTATTGCAAGAGTTGTGCCCCATTTCAACAAAATTTCTGTGAAATTATTGGTTCCAACAGAGTTACTTTAAAAAGATTTCATTCTTGTTTTGTTTAGATGTTTAGTTTATTTTTCTTTGACTTAAAGCGTTTACAAGTTTAAGTAAATTTGTATATAATGTACCGGTAGTATGTAATTTTAAACGTTTATTGTGTGCATTATTGTATATTTAGTTTACATTGTGTGAAATTAAAAAAAAATATGAAAGTTTAACATAAATATGTGTTTGTGTTTTAGCCCACTTGAGCATAAAGTGTATATGCACAGGCGAGCTTTAGTATGATGGCTGATTTTGACTTTTGTGCGTCGTGTTGTCGCTAGCGACAGCATGACAAAGCGCCAAACGGCGCGTTGTCGGCCTTTCGTTTTGTTCTGTTGCTAACACCAAACGGTGCGTTGTCGTGCGGCGTGTTGTTGCGATGTCACATTGTCGCTCTGATCAAATTGAAGGATTGGCTTATCAGCCAACCGACAGGGCAACATCGCGACAACGCGCCGTGCTTCGCTAGCGACAGGACGACAAGACCACAGTGCGACAAAGCGCTGTATGAGCACATTTGTCTCGGAGCACATTTGTCTTACGTAAGACCGATGCGGTCGCATTTGTCCCACATGAGACAAATGGGACCTCAAATGTCTACCCAAAAAAACTCATTTGTGTGACTAATGTGCTCCGATCAAGTTTTTTAAGGGACAAGACAGCACATTTGTCTCATGTGTTTTTAAGGGACAAGAAAGCACATTTGTCTCATGTCATTTTTTATGAATTCATTTGTCACATATTTCCCCACGGCAGAAATTCTTTTTATGCCACCGCAGCATCTGCGATGCGGTGGCATATAGCGATTCACCTGTGTTTATGTATGTGTGTGTGTTTGTTTGTTTGTTTGTGTGTGTGTGTTTTATATAGATTATATAGTGAACTTAAAAAACCTTCTTGTGAAAAACCACTAGTCCAATTTCAACCAAACTTGGCAGGATTGATCCTTGGGTGAAGGGCTTTCAAAGTTGTTCAAAGAATTTCATTCCATGCAGAAATCTGGTTGCCATGGCAACCAAAAGGAATTGAAAGAATAAATTTAAAAAAAATCTTCTTGTAAAGATCCAAAAGGCCTAGAGCTTAGATATTTTGCATAAGGCATTGTCTGGTAGACTTGTACCAACTTTGTTCAAATTATAGCCCTGGGGTCAAAATCGGCCCCGCCCCGGGGGTCATTGATTTTCACTATATATACATATAGTAAAAACATAAAATACCTTCCTGTAAAGACCATTAAGGCCTAGAGCTTAGATATTTTGCATAAGGCATTGTCTGGTAGAAATCTACCTAGATTGTTCAAATTATAGCCCTGGGGTCAAAATCGGCCCTGTCCCGGGGGTCATTGATTTTCACTATATGTACATATAGTAAAAACTTAAAATCCTTCTTGTAAAGACCAAAACGGCCTAGAGCTTAGATATTTTGCATAAGGCAATGTCTGGTAGACTTCTACCCAAATTGTTCAAATAATACCCCTGGGGTCAAAATCGGCCCCGCCCCGGGGGTCATTGGTTTTCCTTATATGTATATAGTAAAAACTTTAAAAAAAAATTCTTCTAGCAATTGACAAATGCTAGAGGTTAGATATTTTGCATGAAACATTGTGAAGTGAACTTCTAGCAAGATTGTTCAAATTATAGCCCTGGGGTGAAAATTGCCCACGCCCCGGGGGTCATTAATTTTCAATTATTTTATATACATATAGTAAAAAATCAAAAAAATCTTATTGTCTGAAGGTACAAGGCCTAGAGCTTTAATATTTGTTAAATGATATCATCTATAGGTACTCTACCAAAGTTGTTCAAATTTTGCCTCTAGTGTCAAAATTAGCCCTGCCCCGGGGGCCATAGGTTTTCCTTATATGTATTTTGTAAAAACTTAAAAAAATCATCTTCTCTAAATTTACAAAGGCTAGAGTTAAGATATTTTTCATGAAATATTATTTAGTGAACCTCTAGCAAGATTATAGCCCTGGGGTCAAAATTGGCCTGGCCCCACCCCCAGGGGTCATTGATTTTCACTGTGTACATATAGTAAAAAAATAAAAAATCTTCTTGTCTGAAGGTACAAGGCTTAAGGCTTTGATATTTGGTATATAATATCATCTATAGGTCCTCTACTAAAGTTGTTTTAATTATGCCCCTAGTGTTAAAATTGCCCTGCCCCAGAGGCGATAGTTTTTCTTATATGTATAAAGTAAAAACTTGAAAAATCTTCTTCTCTGAATTGAAAAATCTTCTTCTCTGAATTGACAAAGGCTAAGGGTTAAATATATGGCATGAGACTTTGTGAAGTGAACCTTTACAAAGATTGTTCAAATTATAGCCCTGGGGTCAAAATTGATCCCGCCCCAGGGGTCATTATTTTCATTATGTACATATAGTAAAAAAATAAAAAAATATTTTTGTCTGAAGGTACAAGGCATAGAGCTTTGATGTTAGCTATATAATATCATCTATAGGTGCTCTACCAAAGTTGTTCAAATTTTTCCCCTGGTGTCAAAATTGGCCCCCAGGGCAGTGATTCTCATTATGTACACATAGTAAAAACAGAAAATAAAACAAATGTTTTCTGAATGGGAGAAAGCTACAACTTAGATATTTGACTTGAAATGTTGTTTGGTGGACTGTATCAAGATTGTTTTGAATTAAATCCTTGGGTCCAAAATTTTGCCTTGCCCAAAGGAGACAATTTTGACCATGTGCACAGTTTTAGTTGTAAAATTGAACTTTGATATCAGGTGACCTAGATTTTGATGATGTGACCTACTTTCTTGTCCTTTGATGTACAGCTATGAAATTTGAACCATGTGCACAGATTAGGATGTAAAGTAAACTTTGATTTTAGCTGACCTAGATTTTTACAAAGTGTCTTACTGTGTTGCATTTGATGTAGTCATGAAATTTAGGCTGTGTGAAATATGACCTTCACCACCTAATTCACTAGACTCGAGTGCATTGATATATTCCTACTCTGATCTTTTATTGAGTTAACAACAGATTTAACCACTAATCTGATATTAAGAATTAGATAGGTCAGGGATCTATGCATTATGACAATCTTCAAAATTGTATAGAAACAAAAAAAATATGTTCCTACACTACTATTTAGTGTTGTATTAATGCGGTGGCATAGCATTTTTCTCAAATGCAATCTTGTTTTAAATCGAGGTTCGTCGATTTACCTCAAGTGTAATCATCAATAGGTTTGCTTATGCTTTCTTTATGAAAACCTACAGTGAACTAATAATTACTAATAATTATAATATCTCTTATGCAAGAAATTGAATGACTTAACCTGAAGGCGTACACTGAAACATACTAAATCCCGTTCACGATGGTAAAATGGTGACAGCGCGATGGCACGAAGGTTAGTTGATGAACGTTGATGAAAACGCTGATGGTGCAATGGTAAAAACACAATGGTACGAACGTGAAACAACGAGTGTACGATGGTGAAACAACGATTGTACGATGGTGAAACAACGAAGGCTCGATGATGAAAACGTGATGGTACTATGATGAAAGACGATGTTACGATGGTGAAAATACGATGGTACGATATGATGAAACTGCGATGGCATGATGATGAAAACGCGATATTAGTTTCTCTATCGTGGCATCCCATCATCGTGATTTCACCATCGTGTCATCGTGTTTTAATCATCGTACCATCTCAATTTCACTTTTGTACCATTGTGCATAGCTGTTCAGGGAGACAAAAATGTAACTTATGTCCAAACGAAACACCATTATCGGTTGATATTGAATGATACAATATCGTGACTCGTTTCGCATCTCGCCGAAATCTCGCGTCTCGCGAAATCTCGCGTCTCGCTTCGCGTCCCGTTCGTCGACGCGAGACAAGAAATTGATTCCAGGTCATATACCGCTAAGTAGTATTCCCTTTATAGTCTACATAAAATCACTTTAAGGCCCATTATGCCTGAGAAATGCTTTTATTTGTATTCCTCAAAAGCCTTTTATTTTTGGTATACTTTTTAGCTCTAAAAAGTTACTCATTGGCTAATTACCTGAAGCATTTTTCATCTGCTGCTTTGTTGCAGTTTGTACAGTTGAAGTGATTTAGAATTTTGTATTGAAGTCAAAGTACTACATTGTTTACATTTTGCTACTTTTATGACGCATTATTTCACATTTATCGCGAATTTCTTTGGGTTACAAGCATCTAACTTCCTCAGAAATCATTATTTGAATATTAATAAAGTCATACTTGCCCTATCTAAAGAAGTAAAAATTTATTAATTTCTGAAATCTCTTGGCACGGGATACTTCGACATTGCGAGATCTCCTGTTACAATATCGTGCCTCGCTTCGTGTCTCATCGGAATGTCGCGTCTCGCCCGATTCTGAGTGGCCCGATATTTCATAATCATGGTATTACCCGGATTATTTTAGGAACTCATGCATGTTGTGTGTGCCTTTTTAATGGCGAATCTGAAATACATATGCGCGTGCGCACGTAATAGCTATCGCGTACGCACGTAATAGTATCGCGTGGCCACGGAAAAGCTATCGTGTGCGCACGAAATAAATAAGAAAATTCTATGTCCCCTTTATGCCACCGTAGATACTACCTTGATTTTGCTAATAAAAGCATTGAAAATAAACGTGTCACAATTGATAACGATAAGAATAGACTCGCTGCATATGTGTTTAGGTTATGGATGTGCACTTGTAGAAATTTTCATTGTGACACGCAGAACAGGGATATTCTTAAATTAAATATATGATTCCTATGTAGAGGCAGGGAGTTTTTGACTGACCGGAAGTGACCTAAAAACGGTATTATAAATACAGAAAACACAGAACAATGGCTGGTAGCCGGTATACAGATGGACATGATTATTACCTTTTATGAATTTTATGGAAAAAATGTGAGACAAATGTGCTTCGAGTGTCCTTTCTATTGTGTGTCGAACACATTTGTCTCATTTCCATTTTGTCGCAAATATAATTGTTTACGAACACATCGGTCACACGTCGTGAGACAAAATGTGCTCCGAGACAAATGTGCTCATACAACGCGCCGTTTGGCACGTTTCGCTAGCGATAAGACGAAAAGGCGATAACGATATTAATAATATCTGTCATATGTTGCGGTTCGGACCGACGGGACCAGCCCATTGGGCGGTAACGAGGCTTGTCGAGTTACCGCCCATTTGCGGGTTCCCGAGGGACGGATATTCCGATCCGAACCGCAAACATATGTCAGATATTTTTTCTTGCATATTCTGCCATATTATTTCATATTTACAATGCCTTACCTCAATATGATATATGTTCATGGAAATCAAAGTCATTTCATCCATAACTATTTTTTAACAATAGCGTATGAACTTACAACTTAAATAACAACGGTGAAATGACGTCATCCTAAGCACATATTTCCCTTCTAAAACGACGACATTTTAACGCGGTTCATTCATAAAGCGCGCTTAAATGACGTTGTTGTTTGGCACGCGACTCATCTGGCAACCCCATGCCAGATGAAATTTCCGGCATTGGTAAAAATCACGGAAACGCCAGTCTGCTATGCAAGAAATAGGTTGTGTTATCGACAATGCAACGCGCAAAATGTACCAAATCAGCCATCTTAATTTAGTAATAGCAGGGTGTCTGTCGATATCTACCCACAACTTATTTTAACAACATCTGTTTGATATCAAAGGACACTTTCAATCTGTATTATCTTTTAGATGTTTATTGATGATCAGTGATGTGTTCCGAATGAGAACAATATATAGAGGATATTGAATGAATGTAAGTTCAATACTGAATTTATTGCACGAGTTGAATAAAATTATATTATGCGAGCCTCTGGCGAGCATAATATTATTTTATTCAACGAGTGCAATAAATTCAGAAATGAACTTACACGAATTTAATATTCTATTTATCACATACCAAAAATAAATACAGTTTAAAGTGAAATAAGAGTCATTTTTCATTGACGCGCATATAGTATAACGCCAACATTTAGCGCGTCTTTACACTATGTTTGTATAACGCTAATGACGTCACGTCAAAATATATGCACGGCCGTGCAATACCATATTTACGGAGTCGCAAAATCGGCACGGGTGTGTGATAAACACATTTAATCATGGCCCTAGGGTCACTATGTCCAGTGACAAATATCGTCATTGAAGAATTATAATATTTCCAACAAAAGGGTCTCAGGTGAGCGATGTGAGGCCACCATGACATTCTTGTTTTATAATTATAGTATAGTGAGACAAATTCTACAATATTCTATGTCAAATAAATTTGTTGACTTAAAATAAAAATATTTGTTTCATAAAATAAATGAATATGAACTCAAAAAAATAATTGTGTATTCATGATGTAAAAATTAATTAAATTGACAAAAATTATATTTTGATATCCACTAAAAATAAAAATGTACTTTTTTTGAAGGGGGAATATGCACTGGTTCGTTATTCGTATTTAAAATGTATTTGCGCTTTCATTATGATAATATCTATATTTTGTTAAGACTTGAAATCAAATACAAATTACTTAAATCTTGTTTTATAAAAACATTCCGCTTTTATCAAAATCATGATAATTATCTCTACGCATGAAATAACTCAAACAAATCTGAAATTTAGTAAGACTGTTACCCAATGTGCATAATATTGTAACATTACACTCTTTTTTATGTTCTTAGTCTTAAAATAAATTGTTTTCTTGATTAATAACTATATTGTACAATAAAAATGTACAAATGAGATTCGGTCAGTTTAGCATCAAAAACTCAAAAACCATTTTTTGTATTATATTTATACATTAAAATATCATTTTCAAACATCTGGAATATTCTTGACATTGTGAAAAAATCTATAAATAAATGTAGGTAATGGAATATCCAATCTAAAAATAGGTAATGCACAAACATTTCAAAAATTTCTCAAAAGCGTTACCGGCATTAAAAACAGCAGACTTAGTATTAAAGGAAACGAATACGCTGGGCGAACAGTGGATTTTCATATAAGTAAATATATTATTGAAATGGCTAGGTCAACCTTTAATAAACAACAAAGTATTGGAAGTGAACAACGGCAACAAACTGTGGAATTAAACTGTTTCGAAAGGTTATTGTCCTTATTCAACCTGCGAGACAATAGAGGCGAGGTAAGGACTTTTTATTATGAGAAATTGATATGAAGTATAATATCTATAGAAATAAGGAACTTTTAAAAGTATGTACATTTTGAAGGATAAACATTTTCAAGTTTGTGTTTTTATTATAGTATGTATATCTTAAACACCTTTCACTAAGAAGTTAGTTAAATAATAATACACATACCAGTGAGTAGTTTATATCAATTTATTAAATTTTGAAGTCGATTAAAGAGTATATTTAGTTCGATCATTATCCCGATTGAGTTAAAATGCGTTTAAATGCTTTTCATTTTTAGCTCATTTGCAAAAACTGAGTTAGGAAATGGTCCACATTTTATGAAAAGTCGAAAAACTCAGATGAGTCCCATATATTGAATAGATATTTACTACGCACTGGGGCACACATTCTATAAATCACAAATAGAAATTATGTCATCTTAAGATGTAATTTCATACTTTCACTGGGTTTACGAGTATTAGTATTTTTAGATTTTTACGTCACCGAGATCACTTTGTCTGCTCACCCGTGATGTAAATGTAAATAATACACAAGTCATACAAATTTAATTGCGTTAAATCATGATACATAACACATGAATGGAATCCTAAAAAGTCCGAAAATTATATATCACTTATAGCTATAAGCAGTAGATCTAAACTCATTACCCATTGAACTTATGTATGGATTTCCTTTCTTTCAAATATTAACAGTCCAAAAAACTTGAGATAGCAATAGCAATAGAGACTGGTCAGACAGCACGTATGTACGGACTGTCCTGGCTCAATGACAAAGGCTCTACACCTTTGACACAAGTAGATCAATGATTAAACAATTCACGTTGCACAAAATACATTAAAAGTGTTCCAGTTTTTTTGAATTGTAAACCTCCTTTTAGATATGCAAATATGTATATGAAGAAATAAATAAGAAACATGAAATAACAATTTTATTACAAGATAATATCTCTTTATTAACACCTTTATTTCATCTGTAAAAAGTTAAGATATTATTTATTATTACCCTTCCAGATTTTTTCCGCCTTTTTGATTGGATATTGATCACCCGAAAGAAATTGATATAACCGAGCCAGACGGGTAATATACACACTAAATTTCCCCGTTTGGTACCCAACGTTGTAAACAACATGCGCTGAGGTGATGCGCGTACGGTTCGATTATACGCGGTGTAAATTCTGATTTAAAAGCACTTTTTAACTGTCAAATGATAAATATCTACCAAAGTAGAGTAATGATACATATAACCATCAGTATCGAAAACAAATATGACCTTGTGAAAGCTTGATATTAATTACAAAAAAGTGCGTTCAATAGACTACTCCTTTTCTCTTGTTTACTTTCGTAAGGTACGGGAAAAATACGTCATGTATTTATGTGACGTCATGTTGTGACGAAGAGGTATCCTAAAGGGAATCTTATTTCGACGTTTCAATTGAAACAGCAATGATTTTTTAAAAAATCGTCTAAACTCGGCAGGGGAAGGCTAATAAAATTATTATTTTGGTTTTGGAGTGATATATGTGGATATATTACCTGCCAAGATAAAATATCACCCTCGCCTAACGGCTCGGGTGATATAAAATCTTAACAGGTAATATATCCACATATATCACTCCAAAACCAAAATAACATATAATATATTAATATGCTGTAACAACTTTTATACACTTATACATAATAGGACTCTGGGGATTGGACATACATTGAAAGACCAACGAATTTTTCTGTCAAGAGCAGGAAAGCGTCAGATTTAATTGTTCCGGAAGAAAGTGAAATCCGGATCTTTGTTGGAGGTCAGACAACATTTTTCGGCATCACACTGACATCATATCCATACCCTGAGAATGAATATACTATGAAATGCCAGCATATACTCAAACCCGATAAAGATGACCCTATTGCTGGAAAAATGAAGATAAGGTTAGTTTACTCTCCAATAAGTGGAGCCAAGCGCCAAGTTAGAAGTCATCCCCAAACTTCATACTCATACAAAATAATTAAGTGTATTAATGTTTAGATGGCAAGCTTTTATACATGACCAAAACATAATTGGTATCAAGAAGGAAACAAAAATCAAGGAATCAAAAACTGCTTGGTTTCATTAGTTTTCATTTGAATATTTTCATGTATTTTGTAATGAAATGTTAATCAGATTAAAGCACATTCTTAGCTCGTCTGTTTCGGCTATTTTTGTTGTTGTCGTTGTCAAAGTAGCCTAAATCAAAATCGCGCAAAAACCTAAATTTATCCTAATAGTCAAACATTTTAAAAAGTTGGAAATACTTGCCTATCTGACAATGCGTATTTGTAAGGCAAGAAATTATTCTTAAACCTACAAAACTACCAATTGCTTGGACATTCACAATCACATCATATTTTTTTGAAGTTGAGTGCATAACATAACTTATGGAATTAATTGTTTGGGGTCGTTGTCCTTAAGATTAATGGCATTGCAGATAGTGCTCTTGTTTAGAACTTTATTATTATTGTTTTCATTTACCAAACGTGTACAGAACATGTTTATAAATGATGTATAATTGTTATTGCAGAGATAACGATGAGTTAATATCGTTGCACGGCATTTTTCTTCCTTTCAAAACACACGACAAAGTGCTGGATATGTTCAAAGAAATCAAAGTTGACGGAGAAACGTTGACAAAAATGGTAAGCAGAATCCGTTATATTTTTTAACTAACTGGGCTGTGTTGGGGGTTCTTTTATTAAAAAGGGTTCGTTCATGAATACTAAGCCGTAAAGTGTAGAAGTCGGTAGATTTTAGTTGCAAGCTTCAAAGGGTTAAAGATAGTCTAATGAGTACCGAAGCAGGCCGAGTTTGGGCATAAGTCGGGCAAGGTTATGAGGTTAGCGTCTATTTCGCGCATGAATACAAGTCGAAAATGAGCTGAAGTCGAGCAAAAGTATAAGGCTATTTTACGTATGACATGTATACATTGTACTTTATGTGTTGATATTTTTTTTACTATGACATTGTTTTTGAAGGTTGTGCGAAGAAAAACAAGGCTAAACAAACTGAAATGGTACGAGCTTCTAACCATTCTAGCCCCAGGTTCAAGAACAGGTAAAAATGTTAATGTTACCTATATATATATATTCATGATAAATGACTTTAAACGCCTACAGTGGTAAAGGCTTGATCAAATTCTGTCTTCCTTTTTCTTGTTCTCATACTTTAGTAGTTACTATATTTTTTCTCTATCCTTATCCCCTTCTTTAACTCATACTTCTTCATCTCATTCTTTTCCTTCTATTTATTCTTACAATATTTCCTTTTCTTTATAATTTCATTGTTTTTCTTCTTTTATGATTTCTGCTTTTCTTCCCCGTGCACGTTTATTGTTTCCTTCCTCTTTCCTCCTTTTTCTCCTGTTGTACTTTTCTTTATCTTGTTCTTCGCCATCTTCCATATTTCTTCCATCATCTACTTCTCTTCCTCTCCCATTTCACCATTTTCTTTTTCCTTCTTCTTCTTCTTCGTTTTCTCCTTTTCTTCTTCTTATATCTTTACTGATTTCTTCTTCACATAGTTTAATCATAGATGATAACTGTACGGTATTTACACACGATGCTTTACACCACGTGGCATTTTGTGTTCTGCGTGAGGCATAAAACCGGTTTGAAAGTTGGTCCAGTTAAGATTTCTTTCATACCTTTTTTTATAATTTTATATTATTTTTAATATAAAGTGTAAAGCCTGCTCATCGTAGTCAATATCCTATATTTAAAATAATTTTTCGGCAAAAGTCATTAATACAAGTATCCGTGCGTGTTTGGACAATCAGAAATCCACGCTGTTTCAATTTACGACAAAAATGTGATATGTTCCCCATAAAACATCCAATGTATAGAAAGTAAAATGGTTTCCTGCGGGGAACATTTTTAATAATATAAAGATATTTCATTTAACTATTTTCAAGATTGTTTCGGGGGATAAATAAACATTTGTATCAGGAATATAGTTGACAATAATCGATCAATATAGAAGAAGGTCTTTGGAAACTAGTCCCCGTTTTGAAGACCTGAGACCGGAGAAGGTCGAACATAAAACAATTATTTCTTTTCAAGAAAATGATTAAATACCATTTTCTGAATAATTCCGAGCAAAAAAAATTAAAGTAAACACATAAATTTACGCAGAAAATATCTCTATTTGGTATGGCAGATGCCACTACGAATATTTTAATTTTGTAGATTTTCAGTATGAACATTTTATTGTTTGTAAAATTTGAGATAGATATTAAAGAAACATTGATAATTTTCAAACACATCATTCAAGTTTTTCCACCTTAAACGGTAAAATAATTGTAGAAAATTAGAAATATCACGTATGTCATATATCACGTAATAGTTTTTTTGTTGTTAATAAGGTGTAATTCGGACTAATTCCCTAGAGGTAAATCCGTAACGTACCGGCAAACGGTATTAAGCTAGGTTTTCCAAAAGGTCAATTAACCAATCATGTGCGGTTTACAGATCACATGCTCCTCCATGTACCGAAAACAGGTCACGTGCTCCTCCATGCCTCAAAAGTTAAACGCGTACCAATGCCCTGCGGTCTTCAGACCGCAGGGAATAACATTTGAATTAGCGGGTTCTGCACTTTTTTCCATTAAAATAATGGAAATTTCAAAAATGTTACTGATGAAAATGAATTCTGAACCGAATTTCCTACTTGGTTTCTGCGCGACGCAGATCACAAACTTCTTTGTTTTAAACATTTATCCTTTTTTGTGACCACAGAAAAATTACTTTTCAGTTTTAAAACCAAACAAACAAAATTTCACACTATTTTCTATTTCATAATTTTAGCGGAAGTTGTTACAGTATTAAATCACGAAAAACACAAGCTGAGGAAAAAAGATATTAACAATCTGAAGTCAGAAAGCGTCCATTTTTACAAGGTTCCTGGTACTCAACGGTATTTAATGATTGATGACACAGGACTTGATGCCAAACATATATCTGATGATACCAGCGATGATGCAAGTAAGCTAATCAACAATATATATGCATAATTTTGAAACCTTAGTGTTACAAGAAATTGAACAGTCACAAACGCTGAGTTTGATTCAAATGTTATTTTAATAATAATATTATACTAGAACGCTGTAAGAAAATTATTTTTGATGTCATTTTTAAGAAGTATCCGCCTGTATATAGCAATAAAGTTTTATTGTTTTCAGAGTTGATGATAAAAACGATGAAGATGTGTGTAAATAATAAAAAAAGCCAAATGCATTTTTATGCCAGCCTTAGAGACAAAGCTAGGTCAAGATATATTTCAGTAGACGGAAATGATGGGCGCATATTCTTAGCAGTATGTATATAACATATCAAATGTTTGTATATAAATGAATCCAAAGAATATTTCAAATACGTAAAATAAGGATTAAAATGGTTCAGTAAAATAAAAAAAATCAACTCAGTATGGAAAATCGAACACACCCTTTCCGGCATACAAGCACAAAAATTGCAACTTACTAGGCCCGCTGAGCTAAAGAACCGATTTAATTTTCTGAGGCCGTAAGTAGATGGTGAATATATCGTATTAGTAATCGCAGCAGATGTGAAATCATATACAACATAATTGTATATTTTTAGTTTGAATTTAATCAACTACGAATAAAGTGAAACAATAACAAGTTTGAGAATCTAGTAAATCAACTATATACTTCTTTTCATTTATTTTTCGTTGAACCTTTTATTGCCAGGATGAACCCCATTGGTTTGAACATCGCTCTGATGGCAACCGTACACAGTTTGTTGTTGAAGGCATGAGTACGTATATTTTGTCCACATTTATCTAGATCTCATAAGCCTTCTAAAGTTTTTTTTTATTTTTAAAGGGACTCCACTGAGGTGTTTTGACATGACGGGACTAGAAATATTTTCCCAAGATTTGTGTACTATTTGGTGTAGGTTTGGACCAATAACTTGTGTACAAGTTTTCAAATCAATACCTCACTCCGTTTTTTCCAGAATAATCATTTTTATTGTTCAAAATGAGGTAAAAATGAAAAGCGTTGCAACGCTTTTAACTTAAATCAGGCTAAGAACTGCACATTCTCTTTAATTCTGAGTATATTTTCTATATATTTTGAAAAATAATTTCCATTTTAAGTGCTTCCATATACACAATCTTTGTAAGAATTTCCAATTGTTTGGTTTTAGACTTTTTCACTTCAGTGGAGATTCAAATCATGTCAAATGCATTTCACATTGACAATAAGATTAGGAATTCAATTTGTTATAGTGAGTAAATATATAATTGGCAATGATAAGTCTACAACTCAATGCTGTTTTTCAAATTTTAATGACCATTTCTGTGTAGAAAGTATTAATAAAAAGTGTATACTATAACGTATTTGAAAACTTAAAAAAGCTTTACCTAACAAAATATTAAACTTCTGTACACCTATTGTTATAGATTTAAACCTGGCCTACGACCATGCAATAGATGATGTGGCAACGACACGGGCCGAGTTCATGTTTGAAGAATTTTCACAGTCGCAGCAATTGGAGGAACAACTGGCTGTTTGACATATGGGGCGTGGCTGTATGACATAGGGGGGCGTGGCTGTATGACATTTGGGAGCGTGCAAATAATTGTTTCATTCAATCACGTGATCATGATGAGAAAAAGAAGATTTGATAGATTTTTTTTTTCAGTAATTTTACCACTGTTGTTTATTCTCATATATTTCTTGTATTAACGTACTCAGGATGGATAATCAACAATTACGTTTTCGATTCATAATTTCTTTTCACATTTACGTTTGATATTCATATTTTGTTTTAGAATTTTATATTATCCTACGTTTTCATACGACGTTTTTTAATGTTTAAAGATTAACTTTATCAATATATGTGTGGATAGTTTACTGGTTAAAATTCGTTGTTATGAATTGATTCGAAAATGTTATTAATATATTGATAAATACCAATTGCAGTATTATCATTGCTATTATTTTTATTAAAGTGACATTATGTCCATTCATTAGTAAACGTCGACTGTCTAAGCAAAATTGAAAATAACTTCTATTTTGTCGTATTTGTCACATAGATATCTAAAAATAGCATTCAGAGTTTATCGGTAACATTCAATTTATAAAAAGAGTGGGGAAGTCTTTTTTATTTAAGGCAGTCCCAGGTGTTGGTCATTATCAATTATTGAGCAATGACCTTTATAATAGTCAATCTTTTGAAATAAAGTAGTATTTTGGCACAAATAGACAGTGAGAAAATGAGCATAATGTCACTTATAACTTAGTGTAAATACTCATCATGTTTCATCATTTCTTGACGAAAGCTTTTCATTGTGTTTTATGTACAGCTTCTTTATTTTTTTTATTTATCAACGTTTATTTATTTTATTGTTTATTTAATGCTATTTTCTATTAAGATATAGGATCAGTTCAAAATTGAAGAATTATTTTTGTACAAAGAAAATATTCATTAGAGCCTAAAACTCTCCTATTTTCAGGCCAATTATACAAAAGTAGCCGTACCTCTGTTATCAGTATGTTAAATCATAATTTTGTTTACTAATTTGAAGACGAGCAACTTTAGAGATAATTAAGATAATTTTTATGCTCAGTTCATGACAATAATAGCGTTGTTATACGGTGTTGTTTGTGAGTAAATAGATTTGATCCTATCAGTAATAAATAAATAAAGATGAATTTGTATTAAGATTATTATGTTTTACATTCTAAAGAGTACAGAAACTATCCTGTCCATCAGCATCTTTACGTCGCAGTAACCGAGAGGGTATTTTCGAGATATACCTATTTCTGTGGGTGTCGACGTTGGCACCTAGAAACTTGAAATAATGACAGAATGCAATGGTCAGAAATTTAGTCACGTGAAGAACAAGTAATTTTTACCTTGACCCTGGTGAACTTAATCTTTGACTTCCCGATTTAGCGACACGTGCGGGGGAACAAGATGGGTGGGGGATGGAATTTTTTTCATTAAAATTGAAAATTTTCAAAATATGTGCAAAAAATAATAAAACCTTCGACATGGTTGTATTTTATTTAATTCATTGCTAGATATACATTTTTTTATTTAATATTAAATTTTCTTAATGTGCGTATTCTGCTACTTTTAACACAAGAATCGTCTTTTCCTATAGCTCTAACAGTCAGCAAAGTCGCCACTAGCCTCCGGCACAAGAAATTCGGAAAAACGAAATTCCGATGGTTGCGTAACTATCCTACGTGACTCCGCGTCGAACGCTAAAAACATGTCTGACCCGGACTGATCTTAACAGAGAAAAATATGTAGGCAATTTAAAGAAACAAGTTATATGTGAAAGAATCTATATACATGTATAGGATAATATTCAAAAAGTCGCTACGTTGTAAACCGCAGGGTTATAGCGAACTTCAGTCGAATTTAATTTGAAATAAAAAGCCACTTATTATGTTCTTTCCCTTTTTTGGAATAACGTGCAAAATCTAATGCATACTATTACTTATATACATAAGACAAAAACTGTCATAAAAGGCATGCAACAAAACTCAGCTTTTTATACAGTCATTTAAAAAACATATAAAGTTAATGCAGGATAATCTACATTGTAAAAACATTTAGGTTGTATGTGCGACACAAGCACTTACTTTGCAGCATTCATTATGGTAGAAATATAACTACTACATTTTGTTGTCTGAATCATAGTCTTTCAAATAGTTTTCAGTATTTTTGATCGATTAACAAAACATTATTTTGAATGGTGATGTACTATGCCAGATCACGGTCGGTAAAATTAACCTGATCACGTGATTCAACCGAGACATCTTTTTTCGTAGAATTGGTCCGATTCCAGACCATTCTATTTGAAAGACCCTGTAGCCTTGACCAACAAACGTAACCTTACCAGTAGTCTGGAACATTATAGAATCGCCGTTTCTATGTGCAGCATACCACATGGCAGAGTCCTAAAATAAATCGTATATTTGAACGTTGTAATTAAATATGCAATTTTGAAGAGGAAGTCAACCTTATGCCTTATCCTGTATGGTGGGGAGACGAGTTTTAGGAAAGCAATAACACAACCTTACGCCATATTGGCCCAATAACTACAATATCAATGCATACGCATAACAATATAGTCCAGTGCCATTAAAGTTAACTAGAACGGGGAACTGTCAAAAACACCAACGTATAACGTAATAAATTTCTTGCATGCAAGTTTACAGAAATACTAAAAATTAAAACTGTGTCCGTTATATCGGAAGATACTACAATACCCGTTACGTATACACATCATTTGAATATTGAGAATAAAAACTGTCCGCGGTAGCTTTTCAAATTCTTCTGCTGATCACTAATTCGAAAATCGCCTTCCATCAGCATGCATTAAAACTTTACGTGTCTATATTAACTAGTTGGTGGGTGTATATTATGCGTATTAAAGTTTGAGTAGACGTCGCAAATTGTTGGATGAAATGAGATCACAACAAAACCGCGCAGTCTGATCAGGATCCATGCTGTTCGCTATCAGTTTCTTTACTTGTTATAGGGTCTGTAAGCGAACAGCATGGATCCTGATCAGACTGCGCGATCCTTGCTGGTCGCAAACCCATTATGTTGGTTTTGTCATGACGCGGCTCAAATATCACTATTGTGTTAGCATACACCGTGAAAAGATGATAAAATGAATAATTAATTCTTACGCCAAGTTCAACTCGGTTTCCATTGCGAACTACAATATATTTTGAGCAGGACTCACTGAAGAGGGCTACTTTTAAGTGTATCGTTTGGTCCAAGCTCGTTTCTATGTGCAATACTTTATGTATTCTCTCTGGAAAAAACATTATAAAAATTAGATGCAGTGTATATAGTTTATTAGAACTAGGGCAGTACAATTTCAATACAATTTGACAACTTTGGTATCTGCCGAATTCAAACACTTGTGGAGGAACAGCCAATATGTTATTTTAAGCCAGGGTAGAACTTCCGATTTCTCTTGCTGGTTGGACAACTTGAATAATCAACATACCGTATGCTGGCTTGACAACTTGTACCATCAATATACCGTTTGCTTTTTGGATAGCTAGAACCATCAATATACTTTTAAGTGTTTATACCGTTTGCTTGTAATACAGCTACATGTACAATCAGAACCATTAAGATATCGTGTGCTGATTGGACAGCAAGAACCATCGACATACCTTTTGCTGGTTGAACAGCTAGAACAACATTTTATGTCAGAAAAATAACCGGTATATCAATGTACGCTAAAATTGCTCTTCATGAGGCACTCTGTGACAAGGGAGATCACTTGTGAAAACCAAGTCAACAGCAGTAGTAAGAGTTTACAGACAAATTCGGTCCTATTGTTTCCGTTAATTTGTGTTCAACAATGACATGTTTACAGACCAGCCCTCAACCGCCGCCTCTCGCAGCACCCATGTTTACAGACTAGCCCTCAACCGCCGCCTCTCGCAGCACCCATGTTTACAGACACGCCCGTCCGTTTAACTCACAACGAGTGTAAAATGTCCATCGGTAAAAATGTTGTAAGCAACTTCCGTTCCTCGTTGTGAGCACCCATCTAGGACGTGTGACACGATAAACAAGGTGAGCTTTTCATAATTTTTGAAGATTACAGACATTTATGTAAAAATATCGGAATGCAGTTAGCTAGCGATGTGTTTTCCGAGTATGCACAACATAAAAAGATATGCCTGTTGGTGGACAATTTAATGGAAATACCATGCGACGCAGTCACTCGGGGTAGCTGGAAAACTGGAGACAACTTCTCTCCGGACCAAATTTAACATTGAAAACGTCGATTCTGGTGAAGTTTTGTGCATTCTAACCTAAAACAGATGCCCACAAGACTTCAGCGTAAATTATGACCTGAAAGTCTTCATAGATATAAACGAAGATATACCCTTTTTTGCTTTAATCCTCGTTGTGAGCACCATAACCTGTTGTGAGCAAGACAAGCGCAGTGCTTGTCTGGTTTTAATATGTAATTCAAATGGCGAGAATACAATTTTCAATCTACCAAAAGCAATCAAAACGTTTTTGCACAATAGTTTTCTTTGCAATACTTCTTTTTTTGAAAATTATTCTTCATATTCAAAAGTCATCAGATTAACAGAAGAACTAATCAAGGGAGGTAAATCAGGTATTTTATTTCGTATACTTTAGTGTGGCACGTGTCATCACGTGGAGTTTATGAATATTTCAACAATTTCACAATCTGTGTGATGCACACATACATGTGTTTATCCTGAGCTGCAGACTGACCAAGGTATGTAGAACAAGAACTGTCACGGTAAGTTGACAATGTCCCCGAAGTGGTACTTTGTCCTTATTATGGACTAGATAGATTATTTGTTTTTGGACAATTAGATCTTCAATGTAAAGGTCATTCAAGGTCAAGGTGAAATAAATATAGGTCAGTTGGAAGGTCTTGTCCAAAGGGGCATTGTGTCAAAATATGAATTAATTCCACTTACTAATAAAGAAGTTATGACCAATGTTAAAGTTTTTGGATGTTCTAAAAGGTCATTCAGGGTTCAAGGTAAAACAAAATACAGATCAGTTTGAAGGTCTTGCCTAAAGGGGTGTTGTGTCAAAATATGAGTAGAATCCGTATACTAATAAGGAAGTTATGACCAATTATTAAGTTTTTGGACAATTTGACCTTGTCCAAAGAGGTGTTGTGCCTAAATATTATGCCAGGACTTTATGGCCAATCTTAAATGTTTTTGGACAATTTCACCTTCAAGGTAAAGGCCATTCAGGGGTCAAGGTAAAAAATACAGGTTCGTAGGAAGGTCTTGTGCTAAGGGATGTTGTGTTCAAATATGAATCAAATCCGTTTACTAATAAGAGTTATGGCCAATGTTAAAGTTTTCGGACGGATTGACGGACTGACGGACGGACAGTTCAAAACTAATATGCCTCCCTTCGGGGTATGCACAACGTCTTGCAAAGAAATGCTGCTGTGCAAAAACGTTTCAATTGCTTTGGTAGATTGAAAATTATATTTTCACCATCTGAATTACATAGAGTCTTGCGCTTGTCTTGCTCACAACGAGGTAATGGTGCTCACAACGAGGATTAAAGCAAAAAAGGGTATATCTTCGTTTCTATGAAGACTTTCAGGTAATAATTTACGCTGAAGACTTGTGGGCATCTGTTTAGGTTATAATGCACAAGACTTCATCAGAATTGTCGTTTTCAGTGTTAAATTTGGTCCGGAGAGAAGTTGTCTCCAGTTTTCCAGCTACCCCGAGTGACTGCGTCACACGGTATTTCCATCAAATTGTCCACCAACAGGCAATATCTTTACATGTGCATACTCGGAAAACACATCGCTAGCTAACTGCATTCCGATATTTTTACATAAATGTCTGTAATCTTCAAAAATTATGAAAAACTCGTCTTGTTTATCGTGTCACACGTCCTAGATGGGTGCTCACAACGAGGAACGGAAGTTGCTTACAACATTTTTACCGATGGACATTTTACACTCGTTGTGCGTTAAACGGGCGTGACAGACCAGCCCTCAACCGCCGCCTCTCGCAGCACCCATGGTTTCAGGATAAAGTAAATTACAATCGAGCAATATTGTAGCCATGAATCAGACAAAAATAAAACACTCAGATATAGTAATGGTATGTTCTTCACGTTTGCCTCCATTAATAAGAACAACCTATCAAATCTTATTAGTAGCTCAATAGCAAGTAATACGTACTTGACTTGTCCTCCTCATTACCCGACAATGGTCCTGCTGTCACAATTCCATCTTTGATGTCAACATACAACGTCGTCCCAGGTATTTGGTAGAAATTAACAGATTCTATTTTATGTAATTCATTTTCGTCTTTGACAACTTCTACCGACGGTTCTTCGACAGATATTCCACAAGGCCGGATCGTACCTAAAAAGAAACACTGGATATTGACGTCTTTCAACACAGAATTTTAGTTGCTTTTTACATACCATATATATAAAAACAACAGCATTAATTAATTATGGAAACTCCTAAAATATCTTGCTTTTATCAGCGGTCGTTTTCTTGAACATTTTATTTATATATTCAAAATACTTTGAACAAATTCACTTCAGCTTGGCATAAAACATATGATTACAATTTAGATTTTGTCTGCATTATTGTGGTCCCGGTCGAAGTAGAAACTACACTCGTTACTCGTAATCATTTAGGTTAAAGTAATTCAACGTCACCAAAAATATCAACGGATGGTTTGTTACTTAAAATTATACCATGTACCAACATCGGGCTAATAAAGCAGTGTACAATATACACGCAATAAAATATCGAACCTATTAATGTGGCGGCATGGCCGAGTGGTTAGTGCGTCGGACTAGTAATCTAAGTCCAGGGTGGGGACTTGAGCAAAAAAACATTACATTGCTAAGCACTGGTTGGTTCCAGGAACGGTTTCGAGAGCGTTTCAATAAGTTTATAGCTTTCAACACAATCGAACTAAGATAAATTTGTATAAACTAAAATATCTTACCTTCAGAACTGTTACTGGTGCATGTTTCCGAACATTCGTTACCATTTGAATCCATTTTTGTATTCAGGTTAGTTCAATCTGAAAATATCCACAATTCAAATTTTTACGTATCCTACAATATTTTTGACTAGTTATATATGTTTATTGGCATCGGTGTTTACTTATAGCAGTTAGTAAAATGCTTTTTCATGCTGCATAAATAAAATATCAAGTCTTAGACACAGGGGATCAATTTTCTGTAAATAAATACTTTCCTATTAATTATAAACATGTTTCTCTTTTTTTGACATGATACCTTATCTGGTGAAATTAAACCTATCCTGTGACATGATAGCCCACTAAGTGACAAGATACCTTGTCTGGTGACATTAAACCATATCATGTGACATGATAGCCCACTTAGTGACATGATACCTTATCTGGTGACATTAAACCATATCATGTGACATGATAGCCAACTTAGTGACATGATACCTTATCTGGTGACATTGAACCATTTCCTGTGACATGATAGCCCACTTAGTGACATGATATCTAATCTGGTGACATTAAACCATATCATGTGACATGATAGACCACTTAGTGACATGATACCTTATCTGGTGACATTAAACCCTATCCTGTGACCTGATACCATTTAGTGACGAGATATCTTATCTGGTGACATAAAACCGTATCCTGTGACATGATAGCCCACTAAGTGACAAGATACCTTGTCTGGTGACATTAAACCCTATCATGTGACATGATAGCCCACTTAGTGACATGATACCTTATCTGGTGACATTAAACCATATCCTGTGACATGATAGCCAACTTAGTGACATGATACCTTATCTGGTGACATTGAACCGTATCCTGTGACATGATAGACCACTTAGTGACATGATACCTTATCTGGTGACATTAAACCGTATCCTGTGACCTGATAGCCCACTTAGTGACATGATACCTTATCTGGTGACATTGAACCGTATCCTGTGACATGAGAGTTTACCTACTGACATGATACCTTATCTGGTGACGTTAAACCATATCCTGTAACATGATAGCCCACTAAGTGACAAGATATCTTATCTGGTGACATAAAACCGTAGCCTGTGACATGATAGTCTACCGACATGATAGTCTGTCTACCTAGTGCATATTCCAACACGACCCGCATTTTTCATTATTTACTCGGTTACGAGGATATAACACTGGCTGGGGCGACATCAAGGGGTGTTTCTGCTAAAAAAAATGGCGAGGCCGTTAGGCCGAGACACTTTTTTTGCAGAAATATCCCGAGATGTCGCCCCAGCCAGTGTCATACCCCCGTAACAAACGAGTTTCATATACAAAACCATGCGATAACTCTTGATAACAGTTTACCGTTCTTAGTTTATATATGTGATAAATAGAATATTATATTCGGGTAGATTCAATACTAAATTTATTGAACTCGTTGAATAGAACAATATTATGCTCGCCAGAGGCTCGCATAATATGATTTTATACAACTCATTCAATAAATTTAGTATTAAACCTATACTCATTCAATATCCTCTATATCTAAATATTATAAACGTTATTTTAATCAATTTGACTTTTTTGTTATAAAATGCCAGAAGTAAAATATAATTACCTAAACAACAAAATAAATGATGTGTATCAAGTGCTGTGCCAACGTGAATTTCCTCTCGTAAAAACGTTTAATTTTTGTTTTTCACATATTGAGAGAAGCAATTAAATTTCTTACCTCAGAATGGTGAAATTAACAATTTTTGTACATGTCTCTGTATTAAGAGGTATATGTACGGAAATTGTTTGGAATTTCCAATGCACTGGTGTTCTCACATGTCATATTTCATAATCCTTGAAGTTCTTACAAAAGCGATTGTGACACAAACTTGCCAATATAAACACTTAAATTTCAAGTACATAGCAATTAACCCACTTTCCATTAATGAATGAAACAATTATAAACAGATTGAGATGTTGCGGGTCACGTGCACATTACGTAGTAGTCATACAAGGAAAATATGAATTTCCTGAATATCTAAATGGATCATGAGGAGGTGTAAGTTATTGTTATCATTATTTTTGGACACCTTTGGAAGGCAAAAAACTTCGTATTATTGAGAAAAAGCAGCATCCTTACGTTTAGGCCTCGATTAGTCATAACGTATTACTTAATGCCTTTTATTTGTTTCAAACATTGCCTATTTTAAGAATATCAGGGTCAGTATATAAACGATCTCCCGAATGTTTTTGCAAGCTATAGCACGCAATTTTCATGAGCTTTTAGTCATATATTATTTGCATGGAATCAATGTTCATGTCTCTGACTTAAACCACAGGTGCAGTCAGAAGAAAATGGGAAGAATTTAATATTTCTGAATGTGATAACATTTCAATTTCGCAACTTCAGATATGTTGCTGTTATTCCTGTTGATTCTTCATTTAAATTATTTAATTACATATAACACCGTACACAGCGCTTGAATAAGAAGTCAAGAAGCAAGACCGCTTACCGAAAAATACTCTTAGACAGAAATCATGGGTGATGGCTGCTTATCAAGAGTGGGCTCGTTGGAGAAACTGGCAGATAACTTTCATTAAACGTTTTCCTTAATGCTTAAACAACACTAGGGGGCAGGGTCTTTATTGGTTGTCCGGCTGAAGTTGAGAATATTTTACTTGACGTATAGATTCGTTTATTTATTGTATGCTTTATATACATCCTGCATTGACCTTTTTTTACCTCATCCATGGACTGAAAAAAATATTACAAACGTCCCTCTGAAGTATTAAAGCATAGAATTTCCTTAGCGTTGCAACCGCAGCTCAGTCACCTTTCGGAAACTCCACCTCCTTCCCAACCAGTGGAATCCCCTTTTCCCAAACCAGTAAGTGAATGTACATCTACAGTGTCTGCTATTAAGAGTGAGCCGGGCATAATGCAGGATGCGATTATTATCACATATTAGCACAAAAGCGGTCGTAAAATTTAGAAACATATACAGATTTAAATAGATTGATTTATTTCATTTCAAATAAAGAGGTCAAAGTTTAAAGGTCAATGATGAATGCCCAGCGTTTGAGCCTTCGCTTTCGTGTCTGTTCAATATTCCTTCTACCACTTTTTTGAAGAATTATTATTATTATTATTATTATTATTATTATTATTATTATTATTATATGTGAAATCTTGCTCACAGTTTATGAATCATAATAACTTCTTTTAAACAATTCAGAAGTACATGTAATTTGTTTTTGTTTGTTTATTTATTTTTCAAAACATGATTCATGCAATACTGACAAATGTAAATATTGTTATTGGATAAAGCGAATGATGTGACCGAAACAAGGAACTCGTGTTATTCTGAATACGTGAAGGTTGTTCTTGAGCCGGTCTCATATGATGCCTAAAGCGTGAAAATATGGATGACAGATAGCAAACAGGAAATTTCGTGACCTGTCTCCCTTACAAGTAATAGATATACCATTGCTGCGTTGACGATTTCTGGGTTTGCGTAAATTATACCATAATCACGTGACCTTTCTTATGCCTTAAACCTCACGAGACGAAGTCGAGTGAGGTTGCATAAGAAAGGTCACGTGATTATGGTATAATTTACGCAAACCCAGAAATCGTCAACGCACCAATGGTGTATCTGTTTTAACCTATAGCTCCGCCCAGAAACACTTATTCCTTCGATCTTCAAAACTAAAAATTATACCATAGTCTGGGTATGGTATAATTTACGGTTATTGGAAATTATACTTGGAAGAATTTTACATAAGAAGCGCTGAAGAGCTATAGGTTAAATAGGTCTATTGTATATGTCTACAAATTATACTATCGTAATATTTGCAAAAGTTGGTGTATCTTATATATTTGAGAAAATCTGTTTTAAGTGCACTCAAGAAGCTACGAATGTATCGTTGCATTGGTCACTCATGATTTTATTTCGGCTCTTAAAATATGAAGCGAAAAACACTCCTATAATTAAAAGTTCACCGATCCTAGTATGTTTCTATCCGTACAGATTAATAACTTACAATATTATACATTATAGCACATTGACAACTGTTTCAAGGCCCATAATGCCTCAGAAATGCTATAATTTTTATTTCTCAAAAACTTTTTTTTTTGTATCTTGTTAGTTTCCAAAAACAATACTCCTTTGCCATATAGATGAATAATATTTGCCCCTATTGCTTTAATTGGTGTAATTATAGTGAATTAGAATTTTGTATGGAAGTCAAAATACTACATTGTTCACTTTTTGCTACCTTGACAACACATTACTACGAATTCAGCGACACTTTCTTCAGCTATTGTATAAACGTCTAACATACCCTAAATCAAATATTAAAACATTATTAAACACGTGTATGACATTTCTAGATAATTTTATAATTATGGATTTCTGAGGTATAATGTGACTTTAAAGGAACATTAAGTCGTAAACCTTACTTATATCACATCCTCATGCCGCTTTTGTGACTTGTTATGGTGGCTTTTTCACGGTCTGAAACCTTTTATATAAGACGCACAAACATGCGTTTTTAATCATTTTGCTATAATTCGGATATTAATTTGCATTATACATTAAAGAATGAACCCGATGGTTTGGCTTTGAAAAAATAATAAACGAAAACAGTGTGTCCTTAATACAAAATGCATTTTAGTATGTTCCCTAAAGTTTCTGAAAAAAAAACTTGAATTTAAGCTTTTATGTATAATTTTATCTATTTAAATGGTTTTCTTTCCATGTAACTTTTTTCTGAAGGTCTCTTCTTTCACATATACAATCATGTACACAAAGACATATGTACATGTATAGCATTCCACTATCATCATATGTTAGTGAATTAGACTTGTTCACAAAGTGATTTTCTATTTTTTTTCTTAAAGTTTCAATATAAAATATTATTCCAAAACATGAATTTCTCAAAATTACTCATGGTCATATTAAGAAGTATAGTATCAGCATCAGCAGATTTCTAAAAAAAAAAACAGTAAATAAATTATAACTATAATAACAAGGGTGGTATTAGAAAACTGAAAATATAAATTTCCATTTTATCATGACTTATGTTTTATTTTTCGTGAATATTTTCATTCATAGTACGTATTTCCTGTTGATGAATCATATGATAAGTTAATATATATACATATATCATAGAAACTTTCCGTGAACGCTTCTATTTTAAACACCATCTTAGTACAATTACATCAGTTTGGAGATAAACATTCGAACAGGAACAACAACGGTAAGTGTTCATATTTGATCTTATAAAACAACAAAATAAACTTGAGACAACATTTGTTTCTCTATAACATTATTATTATTATTATTATTATTATTATTATTATCATCACCACCATCATCATCATCATCATCATATATAATCATCATATCATCATCATCATCATCATCGTCGTCATCATCATCATCATCATCATCAAGATAATCATCATCATCACCACCACCACCACCATCATCATCATCATGATAATCATCATCATCATCATCATCATCATCATCAAGATAATCATCATCATCATCATCATCATCATCATCATCACCACCACCACCACCACCACCACCACCAGCATCATCATCATCAGCAACAGCAGCAGTAGTAGTAGTAATAGTAGTAGTATTAAAATAAAGAATGTTACATTGGCATCACTTTAAAAATGTTGTTTTTTTTACAGCAGGAAACTATGGAAGGACCGGCGTGCAATACACGCTCTAAAACATGTCGTAAACACCAAACAACAGCCACCTGTAGTAGTGAAACATTTGAACATTCAAAAAGGACGTCAAAAAATCCAACCTACCAAGAACTGTTCAATAGGAAAGTTTGTCCATTATGTGATGCAGACATAGAGACAGATTACTTCTGTCCAATGGAGACAAAGGTGACGATTTTAAACAAGAGCCCATCAAATCTCCCGCACTCGTTACCAGACGGTGCACCTTTGCCACCAAAGAATAGCATTTGGCATATACTCGGATTTTCGCAAAACAAGGTAATGTAAAAACTGTTCATATAAAATATATTATGGTAAAACTATAAACTTGTATAATGATTACATCTGCATGTCTTTATTTCAAAAACACTAGTGGAATAAAGTACTGTACTTAAAATGGTACTTTTTACGAGAAACGTTCAATCCGTGCTTTATATAATGGATCGGTACTAAATTAGTAAAACCATTGTAATGGGGGATACTCGGTATAACAGAAAAGAAAATTGAGTTTAGAAGGGTCATTTTTCTGACTAATAGGTTTTTTAACATGATTTTTGTACAGTTGTTGGTAATGAAAACTGGAAACTTTGAAGTTTTGATGAGTATGGGATAAGCTAATGACAATCTAGTCTAGCCATTATGTTTGTAAGTGTAATTGTAAACAGGAAATTATTTCAAGTGGCAATTAGAAATAAGGCTATAAAAATTTGCTGACAGTGTCGTTTGTGTAAGTCTGACACTTCTGACGACAACTGAAATCAGTACCAAAGCAATCAGTGCCGCCTGATTATGGCCGGCACTGTTCTATATTAATTAAGTCAGTACATATTCTTAAATTTTCCCTAAAATGATGACTGGTTTTAATTTTGAAAGCTAGACAAGTCCATTTATTTTCTTTAGCGTGTTTAAGGTAAAACTGCATCACTTCCAAGAGCACTGCTAGCGTCTATTTAATACGTCACAAGGCTAGATTGGCGCATTCCATACAGTCTGCTGCGCTTTTTAATCATTTCTTATTTCAAAACATTATCTTAAGAATAAAAAAAAACTTGATACGTATGTTCCACAATGAATTAGAATATGGTTAAAATGCGTTTGTAAAAGAATACGAAACGTCTATTCTAACAAAAAGATAATGAACAAGACAAATTAATCAACTTTGGTGCAGAATACTTGACCCTTAACATGTGTGAAATGGACATGTCCAACTTACATTTTGAAAGCGTCATTTTCAATTTTGAGTGCACTGATATGCAGCTTGCTTGCCGAGCTATAGCATTATCACCTTCGATGCCTGCTCATTAATGTAAATCGACGAAGAAGAAAAAACGTTTAACTATTACGGTAAATTGTCTCACAAAAATATTTGCATTAATTTCCTTAGAATAAGTATTCCCCGAAAACAATAAAAATTCTTAATATCCATAATTTTCCTTCAAATAACTCTAAGCAACATATAGTGGCTTAATGTTCACTTAATTTAAAGGAGTTCAACTGAGGTCAAAAAGTCTGAACATAATATTTGATAGTTTTTAAAGATATCAAGAGAATCACTTAAATCTAAAAAAAACTGCAGAGGATAATATTAAAGAAATATAGAAGAAAAAACTGAAAATTGATACATAGTGCAAAGCTACCCGTATTTCAGTGAAAAGCGAGTCCCTTTAACCCTTTCTCCCATGAGCATATTGTGAAAAATGGCCGTTTTCACTGAAAAGCCTCCTGTTACAAGTTCAAACTGCTATGAAACTATGAAAAATGCTTCAATACTAATCAAACTTGGCACAAATGTTGACTGGACCATTGCCTTTGTAACTACATGCTCAGTCTTTAATTTCCTGTTACCATGGCAACGAGGGGACATCTCAAAATTGCCAAAAATCACTATTTTGCCTCGATTTTTTCCATCAAAATTTATTTCAAAGTGCTGCAACTGTTCAAGGGATTGAGATAGAGTCAAAGGCTTTTCAGCGTTGGTTAAACGTTACATTATGATCGACCTGGGGTCATTTTTACCCTCTCACAAGTCCAAAATTTTCTTGGCGATGAGGGGGACTCCGCCCCCCTTCAACCCCCCCCCCCTAACAGAAGGGGGCACATCCCCCTTCTGGCAACCCCCTTATGTATCTTTTGGATGGGCGGCGGCGCCGAAAAAGTGCTCAATTTTTTAAGCAACATTTCTCAAACGAAAACTTATGTTTGGGGTCCAAATAGGACATTTTTTCACTATTTGAGGTCTTTAAAAGGGGGGGGGGGTCGAAAGTGCGTTGTTTCGCGTATATATGTGGTAAAGGGTTAAAATCAACTCGGCGACAAAACGATTAGCTAATTTTCATTTAGAGTGTAGCACTGGTGCATTGGATGCACCTGTTGCAAGAATAGATTCAGTTGCTGCTAGAAAGTAAATCTTAAAAAGAATGTTGTGTGAAAATTAAACGGTTAAATTGAAAGTGATGAATTGAAATTAGTAAGCATACCATATTTGTGGGTATAAGTGGCTAATTCCGGGGAGAATTAGTGTACTGTATATATAATTGATTAGTAGATTTTGTAAATAATGTGATTATTTGAAAATTAAGAAACTTGTGTCAAGAATTTATGATACGGGTAACAACTTAAGTCTCAGTTAAGAATTTGTAAAACTGGTTACCCTTGATACGATTTTGTATACAATACACGTAGGTAAATTAATTGGAAAAGTAATAGACTCGTACTTTATGCGAAATGGTATTATCTACACGAACAAATACTCCTTTTTTATTTTCATTTCGTTGCAAAAAAACAACAACAAAAAAAAAACAAACAAACAAACAAACACACACACACACACACACACACACACACACACACAAACGAAAAAACACGACGCACTTAATTAAAACAATTACGTTATTGTGTGTTAATCTAAAATCAAACAAGTTTATCTATTTAACGCATTGTTACAGTTTTTAAAATTTGTATATGATAATGTTATCTTGCTTTTACAAGCACGTGCATTGACGAGTTTACTAGTATACTAATTTCATATATTAATACGGTGTTACAATTCTGCAAACTCCAGTGCGGTTGAAGATACATAATTTTTTTCCTCGGTCCTAGACATACGAAAGCTTATTTTACTTAATTGACAAAACATGTCTGGTTCTCTAGAAACTTATCACTCAGTGCTAATTGCTCAGAACACTTTTGAAACCAGAAGTTCATAACCATTTGTTATAGATTTATAAAACACTGCAAAACTGTACTGAATATAGTTATATATGTAACTAAAAGAACATATCACTGTGACGACCCATCTCCATTCCTCCTCACATACTGTTAGCTAAATTTGTGTCAATAGCGGATCAAAAGGGGATCTAACTAGTGTGTCTAACCCTCCAGAGAGTGTGTGAGGGGGGGGTAACGAAAATGGAGCAAAACTTGTAAGTCACTCAAAATTTGACTCACTCCCTCCCCCACCCCCCTCTGGAAAAATCGTAAAATGCCAAACCCACATTACAATTTATTGAAATTTTGCGACCTCTCTAATAAAAATCTTGGATCCGCGCCTGTTAGCAACTGTACTCTCAAAGGTTGCAAAGTTGATTTTTCTTCGCGCACTTCGTCTTGTTAAAAAAATAATGAATTTCCCAACATATACTTAAAATGCCCACAAACACAAACATTGATATAATCAGTTATTGCTACAAAACTTTAAGTTAAGCTTGTAACACAATTTTTCAAGGTCGTCTAGTTGTTTTTGTTGTTGGTTTTTTAAATCGCATATTTGACACTCCTTAAAGTTTAAACTAGTAATATTTAAACCAATATAATATATCTAGTTCATTTAAATGGGACACAGTCTCGATCAATAGGGTATAATTAGTTAACCTTTAATTTAACAGATAATATTAAAACATACTATAGATCTAATATTATTGTGGTTTAAGCGGAGATCGATTAAGCTCATAAAGATATCAGGTGCGGCCTAGTTTTCGGAAAAACGCGGAGTTCATTTTCCGAAAATGTAAATAGCTAGAAACGTGGATATGTTAGTCGTTAATGGTACATTTATAGGATTGGGAACTGTCTATTGACATCAAAAGATTTAACTGTACTGTATTAAAATAATGGAGAAAAGGAAAAGGTTAAGTGCTATAGGAAAACAACGAAGGATTAAAGTACGGAAATTAGATGAGGATATTGTTTCTTATTGTGATCAAGAAAAAAACGTCGATGATGAAGAGGATTTCACTGTAGGTTCCTTGAACAAAACAGGACGTTATCTCAGGTCAAACGATTTCGAAGAAGGTCAAGAGCCTAAAGCATTTACAAACGCCGTTAAACACGTGAAATCAAGCCAACAATTGAGTGCGTCAAGTGATGTAAGTACACATTATCATATACAAGGTGATACAAGAGGAAGTGATCATCTGCAAAAAGAGCAAAAAGATGACACGCAGGGCTTGGCCAATAGAACGTATTTACGTGACGATTCCGGCTATAAATCAGACGACTTTTCAGAATCTGACGAGAATGAAACTGATGAGAATTGTGTTTTTCAACTCGAAAAAATACCGAAAGAATGCTTAAAAGATTCGAACTCAGACATAAATATTAAAGGCGTACTAGCAGACGATAACTGTAACGTTACATCTACGAGAGGAAACTTAAAAACAGAGTCTGCTAGTGTCATTAAAGATGTCTTTGTTGATGAAAGTGATGAAATAGTAACGTCCGAGTGTGTTGATATTATTACAGAAAAAATACCAAAACCAGTTGATAGACGCTGGGCTAGAAATTCTTTGGAAAGTAACATTGGAAAACGTTTGTATAAAACCGGAACAGTAAAACGCAGAAGCAATTCACTTCCTGATATATTTACACGACACAAACATATAGTAAGGTTTACTTTTGATGCAAACTATGCTTCGACAGTTTCACAAATATGTAATTGTTTAAAATTTATATAAATGACAGATGGGTTTTTTCTTGTCGTTGTTAAACATTTAGATCTGATAAAAATGAATTTCAAAAAAGGCATGTATTTTAACCCGATACGCTTTATAATATGTACAGTACACACAGTACATGTAAAAAACACATCACACCTAAATTTCACAACAATTTTCTCCTTAATTTATACAAATATTTGCTTTTTTCTTCATTTCCTTTCAAAGGTTTCTTTTTAGTGTGGTGTCTAGTGCACGACACATTCCGGTGCACGAATTATTTTCGTAAAGAAAATTTTGCATTAAAATAATGCATATATTTTTATATCCCCCTTCATATTTATTTTAATTAGATTTAGCAATATTTCGCATTCATTTATATACATATACATGTATGTCAATACTTTCGTTTGAAAAGTAGCAGGCGAAATATAAACAACACTGTATTGGAAGAATATTTACTCCTAAAATCTGAAACATGTTACACATAAAATCAGTTATTTTGTATTGTATCTGAAATAAAGAAAATAAAGTTAAATTCCTGGCATTATCTTTATTTTGTTTTATAAGTTTTAACATCACATGAAATTATCTTGAAATATAAAATTTAATGTAAGCAGAATTTTACTTGCGTATATTATATTATATATGTATTTTTGATAAGTATATTTTTGTGTTTTATGTTTTACAGAAGCCCAACTACACATCGACCATTTACATATTACACGAACATGCTGATACTGAATTTGGAGACGAGTTTGGTGCCGAACTGTGGACTTTCATTACTCAACAGGGTAGCACTGTTTATAAACAGCACTTTCTTGTTGACGTAAAACCGGGTGGACCTGCTGCAAAAATGAAAATATCGTAAGCAGTCTTACATCCTTCAGGCCAAGAATATAGTCTTAAAGTCTCCATTAATAGTAAACGTAGAATTAATAATTTTATTAAATTCAAGCAATTCTAAATGGTCCATCAAAGTGTCGTGTAATTATAAAGAATGTGACCATCAAAAGCCAAAGGCTTGGCACTTTTTAAATAGCATAAACACGTAAATACATGACAAAAATAGGTTTAAAGAAGGAAAACGCCAACAAAAATAATATTGAAAATGGCAGACGTGGTGTTGTTTCACCGAATTTAATTATTGCTAGGGATTAATCTATTCAGCATGATTGCTGACTTACTGTAGATCTACTGAAGCCTGAAATAATGTAAAGAGTGTCATCGCGGGGTCTTTGCCCTTAGTTACTATAGGAACGTTATATACTGGAAACGATATACATTTTGTAATTTTATAATTATATTTGTTTTTCCTGTGTTTTCAGATCAAATGATGAATTAGTCCTCCTGAATGGCAGATTTGTACCAGATCTAGATCATGGCGAAGTTTTAAATCTTTTCAAAAATGTCACGGTCGATGGGAGGACACGATTCAAATTAGTATGTGATACAAATATTAACAGCTTTTAGTTATGCACGCAGTCTACCCGATAAACTTTTATGTACATGTATATCTCGTATATATTATACTTTACATTTTCAGCAAGTTAACTTTATCAATAGATAATATACTGTTTTAACAAACTACCTTTTTGTCGGAGTCATATGTCGGTTTAGTAATTAGATAATCATTTCGTGAAAAGAACACCACCAACCGAAATTTAAGTGGGTTATAACATTCAAATAGAATTTTTGAGGTGATAGCTGAATATCCAAAATCACATTCATACTGTAAGATAAGTATGGACAGCATCATTAAATCTTACTTCCAACTTATTTTTATTAATTCAACTTTCATATATTTATGTGTATGTATTACAGGTACTACGTCGTCTTGTGCAAGAAAGATCAAAGAAAGAGTGGGAATGGATAGAGACAAGCGCTGTACTATCCCCAGATAGTCCACGTGATAAGGGTATTTTTTTACATTCTTTCTGCTTAATAAGGAAGTAAAAATCACCTGACATAATAACATGTTTAAGTTGTGTCGAAAACAGAGCGCACACTTTGAATAGGCATTATACATAATTACTAATTGTCCTACGTTTGTCCATTTGAGATCTGAATTTGAAACTTCTAACTGTCTAATTCTCATTAATTCTTTTTCAACAGCTTATATTTAGAATCGTCTGCATTATGGAAAGAACCCTCGAGCGAATTTAAAGCTATATCAGTTTAACCCTATTAGGAGTATATTAAACCATCTTAAATCGCCCTTTAAACTTGTTTATATCGTTTATGTTTGTATAAGCGTGTTACATATACTTTATTGTTGTTTATATGTATGTATGTCCAATTGTCTATGCTAAGTGGCATAGATGGAACTGACAGAACATACAAATGCTAAAATACATCTTACACGTACACTATAATAGAAGTTTTTTGCTATAGATTTCAATTGCTTTATTTTAATTCCATACTTTTTAGATAAATATCCGGAAGTAAAAGCCGAGAAGTGTAACGTTATAAGGTCGAATATTTTCGAGGAAGAAGAAGTGTGTTGGTTTAAAACATCTAATAAACAACAACACTACTTAGATATCAAGAATAATTCTGTTGTGGCTAATGTTATGACAGGCACGGACACAGACAAATCTAGTAAGTAAGAGATAATCTAAGAACCACTATAGAATTTCAAAAAGAACGCGTAGACACGGGTGATTATATAAAAAAAAATCGTAAGGACTAAATATATTTATTTAAATTGTAGACACTGTAAGATCTGGAAAATGTGTCGAATATTGAGCGGTCCCGTTCACGTATTTCTATAAGTCTGAGTATTATATCATTTTACAGACGCATGTTAATTGTAAAAACATCACCGAAGTTCGGTTTTCTTTAAATTTTTACAGTAAGTGCAATCGAGAAGGCCTTTAACAAGTTGCAGCAATAAACATCGCATTAAACTTATTGAAAAAAGGAATAGAACTATTATTTTAATTCAGCAAAACCTATGTACATTGTATGAATTAAATGGTTCAACATTTAAATACACACAATCATTGTTGTGATATCTTTTACAGAAAGAATCAAGAAAAAAGTGCGTATTCACATCATGCCTGGAAAAACACAGCCTGGCATGACAGCTGCTTTATTTTGTGAGATTAACTCAAAATATATAGTAATAAACAAGGACCAAGTCAGTCTGGATGTAAGTATACCTTACTTTCTGTCAAAGCCTAGTTAGTGGCAAAGTTTTTCCTAATATTCATGCCTGGAGTACATGTATATGAACCTTGACGTCAATACTTAATTGTAGTCACCAGAATACATATATAAACAATAAGATTTTTGAATGCAATTTGAATACTTTAAATGTGTTATGTGCCAATTGATAAAAGCCGATGGAAAAATAGCAGTTTTGTAAAGAGGCTGGCCTACATTTTATGTGTATTTTCTAGAGTTATAACACAGTGAAATCATTGTTCGATAATAGCATGTGAAGAACATGTCCGCTCGATTTGGTACAATAATGTAAAGTGCTAATATTGATTTTATATGGCAAGTCAGTACATTAATGTTAAAAGCTTATTGGCATGTCTCCCTTACTTTCAGGAAACACCAATGTATTTTGACATCGGTCAAACATCGGACAATATTTTCTTCAAAAACAGTGGTAAGAAATGTTAACATATAGATATACAAGTAGGCATGAAGACGGTAGTTTTAAAAATAATGAAGTTTTTAAGGTTTGAAAATTTGACCTTCATTTGTCAAATAAATTGTTTTAAAGGTCATCAGTGATTCGAACAAACTTGATAGATGTTTTATGCAAATTATCAAAAATCTAGGTCTTGCAGTTCTAAAAAAAGATTTTCGATGTTTTTCCTATCTCTTCATAAAGCTATATGCTTCTCATGCGCACCATAGGTCACGATTCAAACAAACTTGGCAGGAGCTCTGGAGATTTTTTTACTATTGTATTTTTGGTTTCCAAAACTAGATTTCTGCTCAATTCTTTGAGTAACTTTGAAAAACCTTCACCAACTAAATAAGCATGTCAAGTTTGGTTGAAATCGGACTTATGGTTTTTAAGTTCACTTTGTTAATGAACATAAACACACATGCACGTTGAAGCGGCATAAGTTATATGGATTAGATCAACTTGAGCTTTGTTTCGTTTTATATTGCAGATAAGTATCTGGCATGCAACCCAACAAATCTTAAAATAGAAACTAGCTACAATGAATACATGTTTGAAGAATTTCCTGCTGATGGGAATGACCAGGTTGATCACTGCAAGCTGATGACGTGTTTAACATCAGGAAATGATCCGTCAATATGCACTGATAGTTCATTCTCCAGTACACGGAGGAACAGTTGTATAAATGATGTCAAAAGTAATAACAGCAATTCCAAAAGGTCCCAACAAAGCATGGAGTGGGATACTGAAGTCCCCAGCTTGAACAAGAGTCTAAAATTGGACATAACTGAAAAGAGATCAGCACGTAAAATAAGTTCAGAAATTTTGAAAACGCCAACGACTCCATTTGAATTGATGTGTATGTAAACCGACGGGTTTCTCAGACATGTCAATTATCATACTTAGTTTTCATTTTTAAGAAAAGTAACAACTTATTACTTATTTAAGTGGAACACCAGGTTTAAAGCTTCTCGGGGTTATTATAAATTTGGTGTTCAGAACTAGATCATTCATGTAACAGTTGCCTTATCCTGGTGTAACATTTTGCATTTTTGTGACTACTGGATTAGATTTTGGAGCATTATTGTCAACCTGATAGGCACTGAGTAAAAAATGCCAATGAGTGGTTTTTCAAGGACACGCTTACTTAATGCTTAGTATTTCAACCCAAATAATCCCAAGGGAGGTAACAAGAGGCACAATTTTAGAATATTTTCATGATAATCACTTTAGTCTTAGCAAACCATTACTAAAACGGCACAAATGCCAAAATAATCATAACAAAGAATTAGTTTATAGTTCCATGAAACTAATATCTAGTCTGAAAAAAAAAATGATATTAATGAATTTTTATTATATGCTAATATATTCTTTTACATTAAATTAAAATGTAGATCTATATGAAGATATTTTATTTATATGTAAATAAAACTTGAAAATATATTGTTTTTATAATATTTAATTGCTGATATACACATGTTAATATATACATGAACAACATGTTTTTGAATTAATGAATATAAAAAGGGATGAGCCCAAGTTCTTCCAAGTTCAGCGATCGGGCCCTCCGAAAGGAAAAAATCGTACATGTATCATTTATCAGAAAAAATGGCACTTTAAAGAAATATTGAAACATTTATATATATAAGCATTATAAGCAATTAAGCATATATAAAATAAAGCTCCATAGTTTAATATCAGAAAAATAATACCAAAGGAAAGAAAAATGATTGAACATAAAAATCATTGAACTAGGTGTCCAGTCTATCAATTATCAGGCATATTGGTTCGTCCCTCCCGTCATAAACAAGATTAATAATTCTTATAGAACCCTGATATAGGTATTTTAATAACAAAATGATTAAAAAAGATTTAACAACAGAAAATATATTCTACTGGTATTGTGGAAGAAGACCCAAGTAATAAAACTATGCACACTTCCCAAGATATGAAGGCAGAGCAGCACCGCACGAGTTTTATAATTCATTAATTGAAATATTCTCAGTTGCAAGTAATTGTTTAGTTAACTGTTTACCTGAATTATGTGACATTTACACTTAGAAAAGGAGTTATATAAACTGCAAGAGATGATAGATTTAAAAATTACAAAACTGTATATTGAAACATGATATTTACACTACAACTCAATGTATCACAGTAGAGAAAATATTAACTCGTAAAAAACAACAAGAGGGCCATGATGGCCCTGAAGTCGCTCACCTGTATATAGGCCCCCTGGAGCGGGGCCAGTTTAAACCCCAGAGCTTTTATTTGAACAAACTTGGTAGACACCCATTAGAAGATGTTTCATGCTTAACATCTAAGGTCTAGCTTGTTGGGTTTTTTAAAAGAAGATTTTATAAGTTTTTTCTTTACACATATATTTAAAAACAATGACACCCCTGGGGCAGGGCCAGTTTTGACCCCAGGGCTTTTATTTGAACAATCTTTGTAGACACTTCCTGGAAGATGTTTCATGCTTAATATCTAAACTCTAGCTATTCGGGTTTTTTCGAAGAAGATTTTTAAGTTTTTGCTATACACATATAAGGAAAATCAATGTCCCCCAGGGCGGGACCAATTTTGACCCCAGGGCTCTTATTTGAACAAACTTGGTAGACATCTATTAGAACATGTTTCATGCTAAATATCTTAGCTCTAGCTCTTTGGGTTCTTTAAAAGATGATTTTTAATTTTTTACTATATGCATATAGGAAAAATCAATGTCCCCCTGGGGCGGGGCCAATTTTGACCCCAGGGCTTTTATTTGAACAAACTTGGTTGACACTCACTAGAAGATGTTCCATGCCAATTATCTAAGCTCTATCTCTTTGGGTTATTTAGAAGAAGATAATTAAAGTTTTTTTTCTTTTGGTTGCCATGGCAACCAGAGTTCTTCATGGAATTAAATTCTTTGAACAATTTTCAAAGGTGACCACCAAAGGAACTTTTCTGTGAAGTTTGGTTGAAAATGGCTTAGTGGTTTATGAGGAGATGTCATTTGAAGTAAAAGTTTACGGATGGCCGGACGCCGGACAAAAAGCGATCACAAAAAAAAACAAACAAAAAAAACAACAGATAAAACTGATTGATTATTCTGACAAAATCATATCCCTAAATATATCCTCACCCAAAGATCTTTATCAAACCCAGAAGGACATGCACACTTGAATGCTTCAATTATAGAACTGAAGTTTATCCTTGCTCGACAATGCTTTAGTTTCATATAGTAATAAGGTGTGTTACATCTCTAAAATCACATAAAACTTTTATATACTATCCAGTTAATATAAAGTCCGGCCTATTTCACAATTTTAATTAATTTATCTAAAACAAATTGAATAATGAACAGCCAATTACTCAGGGTGATAGTGCATATTAGTCACCGGAGAACTGAAATAACGCCTGAGTCCGAGCCACGGGTGTTGTATCAGTTCAAGGGTTGCTTACATGCACTGTCACTCTGAAGGACATTGTTATCTTTTTAATTATACCGAACCAACATTTCATAAACTTTACAAGAGCAGAGGGGTCAGGGGAGAGAACTAGAATGTCTATAGATTACTCTCCCCTGAGGAATATTGCCACAGGATAATAGATTGAAATAACACCATGTGTCACATAAGGCTATATAGTAAAAAGTTAACATGATGTTTAATAAACCATAATGTGACACATTAAAATCTATCACATAAGATAAAATAAAAGGTATACAATGAGTTGTACATGGTTGTATAATAATAAGATAAAACATTGTATAAACCAACAGATAAAACATTGTATAAACCAACAGATAAAACATTGTATAAACCAACAGATAAAACATTGTATAAACCAACAGATAAAACATTGTATAAACCAACAGATAAAACATTGTATAAACCAACAGATAAAACATTGTATAAACCAACAACAAATCAAAATCAGATCTAACAGAATTATATGCATTGTGTATAATCATGCTGTATAACAAATTAAGTTAAAACTTACATTAATAGAATCTTAAGAGTGAGTATTTGAGTTTATTTATACTTGCCATCGGTTGTCCATATCGGCGAGTCCAGAAGAGTATTAGTCATTTTAGAATTTGGAGGACATACAGATACAGAAAGATGCCAAATTCCAGAAGTTTCCTGGTTCTTTAACGTGCCAAGTGTTTGAGCACTCATACACGGGACCTCAATTTAAAGTCTCATCTGACAGACTGACTAGTAATTTTAGTTGGCCAGTCTGGGAATCAAACCCACAATGGTGAGATTACAAGTCTTGCACTCAAACCCACTAAGCTATGCAGACTGGTATAACCTAGAAATACCACTTATCAAATTAAATATCTTAAATGAACTTGTCCATCTTTCAATCTGAATGAATCCATTGATCATTTTGAGGGAAAATTTCAAAACAAGTATTGACTGAATAGTGAACAGTGTAGATATCAGACAACATAGTCGTTCCTGTTTATCTTGGTCTGCCCTGGTCATATTGATTCAATCACCACCACATCATCAGCATGTCAATGGTCATTTTCTACAATAACAAGTAGCTAAAACATGTTTGTTTAACACAAATGCCCCTTCACCTTTAAACACTTATGACCCTTCATTTTCAGACCCTATGAATTGTTAAAAATATCATCAAGGTTATATTTTAGTCAATGTCATATTTCAATAAGTCAAGAGAAATTTTGTCAGTCACATATCTCGACAAAACAAATATAATACTGCCCCTCTATGTACATATAGATACACAAGCACTTGTGAATTTATCTTATGTGAATGTAACACCTGACATATACAATGTATATATCTGTTTTCATATTAAGTACATGATTCCCATGTGTACAAAACATTATATGACTTCCGATTAAATAAAGTAAGCTATCCAGGTGTAAAAGTTCATCTTCTTCATCCTAAAGGTTCATCTTGCAGGTCCTTTGTTGACCACAAGTCGCACTCCTTAACATTACTATATATCTTTCTAACAAACCAAAAGCTGGAGAAGAAACCTACACTTCCTGAAACAAAATAAATACAATTCTTTATTCAGCAAAAGTTTCAAGGTCACAGTCAAAACTAACCAACAAATACAATCAATTTGGAATGTGCAGTATACATGTATAATGCTGAATCATCAATCAATTTGGAATGTGCAGTATACATGTATAATGCTGAATCATCAATCAATTTGGAATGTGCAGTATACATGTATAATGCTGAATCATCAATCAATTTGGAATGTGCAGTATACATGTATAATGCTGAATCATCAATCAATTTGGAATGTGCAGTATACATGTATAATGCTGAATCATCAATCAATTTGGAATGTGCAGTATACATGTATAATGCTGAATCATCAATCAATTTGGAATGTGCAGTATACATGTATAATGCTGAATCATCAATCAATTTGGAATTTTTGTGCAGTATACATTTATAATGCTGAATCAGTCTACAATTAAGACTCCAGATATAAGTACCATTATTCTTTAAAAAGTCAAAATAAAAGAAGAAGTACATGAGCCACATTGATAATTCCTTTCCTTCTAAATATTGTAAAGTATAAAATGTGGGTTACAAATATGCAAATCAATGCCACTTTTACATCAACAATTGCTTATCACACACCATTTTTACAATGTGTTATTTATAGAAAAGGAAATATGTACCTGTTACAAGAAACAGCAAAAACGACAAAATAAAGACATATATGCCATAGATGAATGCGCTAACTCCATCATCAAAGTCTGTTTTAGCAGCGTAGTAATAAATACAGTATATGAACATGTAAACAGCACAAAAACTACTGTTTAGGAATGACCTCCACCACCAGCGATAATCCTGTAAATAAATCAACTTTAGTTATTGTATCTTTCCTGTAACAGGACCATTAAAGTCTTACAATTATAAATGAATTTGCTTACATACTTCAGATTTCATATAGAAGCATTATCATGCTAAATTTCTATTTTATTATTTACAATGTGAATGACATGTGGAAACAAGAATGCCATGCTGGGCCTACTTGTTCACCTATATATGCAAACAAATTTGGGGCAGTGTCAACCATGGATGCTATCACCACGTTTTTTATTAGTGTTCCAGTCATTTTTGTTTATGATCTAAATTTTCATGACTTCTATATGTACAACATGTTTGATAATACTCTGCAAAGATTGATGAAGGAATTAATAATAATAAACTACCTTTAATCATGTCATCATTATGAAATTATGTCTTCCTGTTTTATTCAAATTTACAAATTTTAGGCCTATTTCAGCCTTTACTCCTATTACAAAGCTTTGAGATAATCGGAAAACTGTTCTATACTTATATAATTGCATAGAAATAGTTTTATTTAAGGTAGTACACCCCTAATGCACTATCTCCACTTTGAAGAGTATTCAAATAGGCTAGAGTCACTTTTAAGTATATTGAAACTGGGGGCGTGGGTTCAAACCCCAGAAGGGGCAACTTTTTTTTCTTTCTTTTTTTTCTTTTTAACGTTTTTTAATAATCTCTCAGATCCCTAATGGAAGAAAAAAGTTTTTCATTTTAATCATATAATTATTGTAGGTATTTATTTGCTAAATAATGCCAAATTTAATAGTAAATTTGATACCAGATATTTTCAAAGTTTAATAAGATAAAAACTACACGGTAAAAGTATTTTATATTTTGCAAGACCAACCAATATACATTTAAGAAAATTTTGACAAACTTTGAAAACAGCCCCTTATTATGGAAAATTTTAGAATATTTTAAATAAGGCTTTTTACATAGGGAAATGGTCAAATAAGTGTTAAAAGTGGGTGGGGTAGGGTTATATTTTAATATATATTAAAACAATTTGTTTAAAAACAATCATTTTGCTTGTTTAATTTGTTACCTAAATGTCATTATTTGTTTCTTAACAATGAGCAATAGAAAAAACATTTTTCATAATGATGATATTATAGATTATTTAGAGTTTCCTCATTTCTGAAAAAAAGCCCTTCTAATGGCAAAATTTTAGTTCAGAAAAATGTCCATCACTGTAACTCATAAACCACACGGTAAATTTTGTTTAAATTTTGCATGCAGGTGACATTTAAGGCATATAACTGTCCTATGTTGTCAATTTTACAGTTCCTTATAGGTGTCAATTAGGGGTGTTCTACCTTAAATCATATAAGGATTATAAGCCTATGATGACACATAATAGCATAATACAAGACAATGAACAGTGCACATGTTGACATACAAAACATACATACAAATTACTTAACATAACAAGATAATATCAGATAAGACAAACTCTTCAAGTCTGAATACATTAATGTCAAAACATGTATCTTACCTCTGCACACAGATGGAAATAGGACAGTAAAATCGTTACCAGGAAACATGTGACAACCAGCATAATAAATCCCAAAGCCAGGAAACCAAACTTGTAGTACAATTGGTGTGCACTAAAATGCATACATGTATGTTATTAGTTATACAAGTTGCTGACTGAATATACAGAAGAATATAGCCTGAATGAGATAAATATGACCTGAGGCGCTAGCAAATTGTAATGACGACAAGTTCATAAGAGCAGCCTCGATCTGCTAACTTTAAGCTACTGGAACCAAATCTGATATTCATACAGTCTGACCAGGCTCTATACTGATAGCAACTTCTTTTTCTTTTCTTTCTTTTTTATTTTGATTATATCTTATATCCTTTACAATTCAAATGGACTATTCCAAATTCTCAACAGGGCAAGTCCACCTCACTAATTCTGCAGGTTAAAGGTTTTAAAAAGTTATTTTGAGCTATATATAATTATAAACAAAAGATCAGACTAAATTATTTATAATCTTAGATCTTATTTTGATCTGAAAATCATCAAGACCGGTGTCCATCAACCCTTATTTAATATCTAACCATATAAACACACATCACCCCTCATATAATATCTAACCATACAAACACACATCACCCCTCATATAATATTTCACCATATATATTGCACATCAACCCTAATATAACAACTTACCATATAAACAACCAGCAACCCTTATATAATATCTAACCATATAAACATACCACACCCCTCATATAATATATAACCATATAAACAACCATCAACCCTTATATTATATCTTACCATATAAACACACATCACCCCTCATATAATATATAACCATATAAATGCACATCAACCCTCATATAATATCTCACCATATAAATGCACATCAACCCTCATATAATATCTAACCATATAAACAACCATCAACCCATATATAACATCTAACCATAAAAATACACATCAACCCTTATATAATATCTAACCATAAAAATACAAATCAATCCTCATATAATATCTAACCATATAAAAGCACCTCAACTCTCATATAATATCTAACCATATAAATGCACATCAACCCTCATATAATATTTCACCATAAAAACACACATTAACCCTCACATAATATCTCACCATATAAACAACCATCTACCCTCACATAATATCTAACCATATAAAAGCACATCAACTCTCATATAATATCTAACCATATAAATGCACATCAACCCTCATATAATATCTCACTATAAAAACACACATTAAACCTCACATATCTCACCATATAAACAACCATCTACCCTCACATAATATCTAACCATATAAAAGCACATCAACTCTCATATAATATCTAACCATATAAACACACATCAATCCTCATATAATATCTAGCCATATAAAAGCACCTCAACTCTCATATAATATCTAACCATATAAATGCACATCAACCCTCATATAATATCTCACCATAAAAACACACATTAACCCTCACATAAAATCTCACCATATAAACAACCATCTACCCTCACATAATATCTAACCATATAAAAGCACATCAACTCTCATATAATATCTAAACATATAAATGCACATAACCCTCATATAATATCTAACCATATAAACACACAAATTTCATCCATTGAATCATGCCTAATTCTAAGTGACAAATAGATACATGTACAACTGTAAGATATTTAATCATAATATTAGATTCTGTCAATATTGTACTTACAAAATGCTATTCAAGATAAAGAACAAATGAAGGAAAATTGTTCCAAAAGGTAGAAAGCCTCCTATAATCATGCCTGAAACAGGTTTTAGATGTAGTCTCAGTGGAGGTACTTGTCTTGCAACTTCAGATGTTTTCACTGGATATTGATATCCCTGCAATGAAAAAAAACAATTTATCATTTTACAGTAAATCAAAACTTTGATATTTAATTTACCGGTAAAATAAAGTACAGACTTTAATCCTTATGAATTGTAAATTTGTAAGTAAAGGACTTTCAATTTGTTTTCTTTTTTTCATAACATAATACTTCTCTGTATACTGAATATTTCCCATTGCATAACATACAAGTTTATGTAAAATACATGTATATTTATAAAATAAACTTTGGCACAGGAGAGTAATTAAAAGCCATTTAATATTATTACCCCTCACTATTTTTGAAATGTTAATATCCCATAGGCCGATGAGAGTTATTCTCACTGTTAATTCAAGTGTACCATGTGACTAAAAATGTTCACAGTAAAAATCTAAAAAATAAAAACCAATAAAAACAGTGTCCCAATGAAGTATTTGTTCAGGGTAACAGTATTTTCTTTGTGATGTTATTTTTACAGTTACACATAAACCTATGTGTTATTAATATAAAAACGATATTACACAAATGTAATAACAATGCAACAAGACATCATTTACATTATACAAATATTGTGTAAATTTAGTATTGAACTTACACTCGTTCAATATCCTCTATTTAGTTACATGTATATCATCACCTTAGTGCAATACCTTATTAACTGCTATTAAATCTAGAAGAACTTATTCCGTTACTGCACTAAGCTGGAGATATGTAATAATGGGTAATCCAGTTAGTAAACACAAACATTTTAACTTTGTAGAATTCAAAGACCTTGACATGTAACTAAATTACCTTAAAGCGGAATATCTCCAGGGAAATAAAAAAAATGTACAATATCAAACTTAAGGAAAATAGATGCAAAATATGATTGGGTTTTTTTCTACACATTCATACTCAGTAACAGTGTTTGGGCAATTACATTGTATTTCATACTGTAGCACATTTTAAGTAAAGTAAACTTTGTGGAATGTTAATGTCTTGTATGGACATTACATTTAATCTTTTCTTAGATAAAATACAGAAATTAAGCATAAATCTAGAGTCAAGCTGCTCTAAAAAAAGTAAATTTTCTCTGTATAGTATTCCTGTCATATTTGGTTTATACAGAATTTATTTTAGTTCGATTGTGTAGGAAGCTATTAGCTTATAGACATACTTTTAAATCCTTTCCTTGAACCAAACAGTACTGAGCAGTGAGTGTAAAGTTTCTTGCTCAAGGAAACAATGACTTGCCCCTGTCAGGGTTTGAACCCATGCGGCTAGCGATCATAAGATTACTAGCGTTAACCACTCGGCCATGCCACCACATATGTTCCTGTCATATTTGATAACAGTATTAAGTGACACTTAAAATTAATTGAACTGGCAAACATGCACTAACTACATGTGATAAATCTGCCCTTTGAAATGCAAAATAAAAAAAACCTTTTTTCTAAATCCAAAGAATGAACCAAGTAGCGTCAAAGGCAAAGAAATACCCAACCATAAACCCAACAGAGCAAGTATTGTTGTAAATGGTATTGCCGCACTTGACTCCTCTATCATATACAGAAAGTTGGAGATGAGTATCAGCACAAAAACTATCCTGAAAACATGCAAGCAAACAAACCTCAAATAATAATATCAAATCTTTAAAATGTGATTATATATTTTGATGAACAAAATTGTTCACAGCTTATAACTAATTGGAAAGGTAACAATTTATGACACGATAATTGTGAAAGGTTATCCACTACTGGTACAAAACATGCTTGTTAAACACACATCTATTAGCTGATGAGATGAGGTTATAAAATTTCTCCCTCCCTCACATTCCTTAATTTTTCTTACAACCCCTTGAAGTAGTAAATCTCCTTAGACTTTAGAAATAAACATCCAACAACACTTTGTAGATTTAATCTAACTGACAGCTCATATCTTGTAATTGATTGACAGTAGAACATTTGAAGTGTATAAAGCTATATATAGATTACAAAATTATTGTTTTCTGCTATTTACCAATTATTGATTTCTGCTATGTGTTGTTTACAAAATTATTATAATTTGAATTCCAAAATACTTGCATAAAAAAAATAATGTTTGCATATTTTCTTCAGAGTAAATATTGCATTTCTAAATGCTTATAAAATAGAGAATACAAGAATCCTCAAAGAAAGCCCAACACAGCACAATTGAAAATGTTGCAGACTCGGTTTCATTGAGCGGTTCATGGACGGTTCTGTTAAGTGCAAACTACCTTCCACGCCCCCTAGCACCGGCTTAAGCAGAATTCAACATTTAACATGAACTGGTACAATATTTTGAATTTAGAATCCGCAGATGTGTCCATATGGCGGTTATCATGGAACCTTCAATTTCACACATGAGTGCCATTCCATGAAAAGAGGCATAAGGTCCCCAAGTAAAAAAATGCGTGTGTGCTAAACGGGAAAACAATGGGCGGAACTAAATAAAGGGGATCATTTTAGTTAGATCAGGTTATGAAGCCTGCATATCACAGATAATTTAAAAAGCAGGCCACATATCCTAAGGGTGATTCAACAGTATTCAATAGAGGAATAATGGAACCGCCCAACTAGAAAATAGCCAAATAGAAAGAACTAAATTACCACAAGCACAACAATAATGTCGTGCTGAATGATCTTTAAGGATCTGAAATATAACATCTCTGATTGAATGTACGGGGCAACTTTTTACAGCCTCCACAATATAAGACAAACATTTTATTCTGTTTACCTACAATATACATTTGTGTTAAATTCCAGAGACATTTTCTCTCTTACAACATTTTCCAGAATCCACCCTAAGATTTTGGAAAGAACATAATTTGATCATTATCAATTTTATAAAAATTATTTCATTAGATATTTCCTTTGCACACTTTCACAAACAGAAATGAGGCCAAACAGTACATCAAATGAATAAACATGTAAACTTGTACTTCATATTTTCTTAACAAAATTAAAAAGTTATAGAAATCTGAAGCCTAACAAATTCTTCAAAAATTTAGAAGGGAAATAAAAGATCTTGGTGCCAGCACTGGTCACTAGGAATAGGATGTATTCATGGACAGAAGAATTAAGGTTAAATATATCTACCTACCCTGGACAAACTGTAGCTGTTAGAATAGCATTTAACAACTTCCTTTCCCCACCAAAAGCTGAAAAATAAATTTTCAAATGATGTTTGATTCTTTCTCACTGCTGTTTTATCATAGTGTATCAATGAATCTTGGAATATTACATTTCTCAACTTAAGTAGTTTCAGTACTTTCACTCTAGTCATCCATTTCATTTTCAAGCAAGTTTTCAGACAAAAAACTTTCAAACTATTTTTTAAGAGAGTAGCCAAATTCAATGACTTTGAATGTCCTTTTTTGTGCCCCCATGTTAGTGGCGGGCATTTAGATTTACCCTTGTCCGTCCGTCCGTCCGTCCTTCCGTCCGTCCTTCCGTTCACTTTTGTGTCGCACGTAACTCAAAAAGTATTTGACCTAGAGTCATGAAACTTTACAGGAATGTTGATCAGCATGTGAAGTTGTGCACCTGGGTATTTTCGTCTGGATATTTTTAGTATTTTCTGAGTTATTGCCCTTGACTTAGTAAAATATTGCAATTTTCAACTTGTGTCGCATGTAACTCAAAAAGTATTTGACCTAGAGTCATGAAACCTAACCGGAATGTTGATCAGCATATGTAGTTGTGCACCTGGGTATTTTTGTGTGGATATTTTTAGTATTTTCAGAGTTATTACCCTTGACTTAGTAAAATTTTGCAATTTTCAACTTGTGTCGCATGTAACTCAAAAAGTATTTGACCTAGAGTCATGAAACTTTACAGGAATGTTGATCAGCATGTGTAGTTGTGCACCTGGGTATTTTTGTGTGGATATTTTTAGTATTTTCAGAGTTATTGCCCTTGACTTAGTAAAATTTTGCAATTTTCAACTTGTGTGGCACGTAACTCAAAAAGTATTTGACTTAGAATCATGAAACTTTACAGGAATGTTGATCAGCATGTGTAGTTGTGCACCTGGGTATTTTCGTCTGGATTTATTCAGTATTTTTAGAGCTATTGCCCTTCACTTAGAAAATTTTTGCAATTTTCAACTTGTGTCGCAAGTTACTCAAAAAGGATTTGACATATTCATTAAACCTTACGGGCAGATTGCTCAGCATATTTAGATTTGCACCTGGGGTTTCGCTTGTGGATTTATCCAGTATTTGTAGAGTTATTTCCCTTGACTTAGTAAAAAGATTGACAGAACAGTGGCGCGGTGGGGGCACCCGTGTCCTATGGACACATTTCTAGTTTAATTTTTATTCACATTATCAGAAAGGGACTCAATTTTAACTCTTTGAGACACTATGAATCCTCATGGCATCACAAACTGAGCAATGGATCGTGTTGTATGTATTTCTTAAGCAGAGAATGATTGTCTTTTCATCAGGAAGCATATTAGATTTTCTAATAATTTACCTTTATAAAGTCTTGCTGAAACATAACCTGCTGGGGATCCCAGGCAAACATAGAACACTAATATACATGTCTCTAAGGCTCCTCTATTTGCTGGTGAGAGAACACCTATTGTTGCCAGCACTGTAATATACAGGTGGGAAATATGAAGACACGATTCCATTAGTTATAAACACACAGTTAATTGACAACTGCTATCTATACTACACCAATATGTGTACAGAATTTAGAACAAAATGTCAAACACCAGGGTGAGTTTCAGCCCACAGAGGCTGTAATCAATTTTATAGTTTCTTTGTATTATCTGGTAACTAATATCAATTTAACACATTTTTGGTCTTCTCTCCATTGTCGTCTACCTAACTGGCTTTCCTGGATTAACTAACCAGTAAATTCCACTATCTCTGCAATAGACCCTCTACTTATCCCACTGAATTAGTGGGGGTAGACAAATGACCATTAGATTCAATGCCTGATATCAACTGCTACAGAGAAATTTTGTTTCACATGAGGATCAAACCAGCAACTCTTGTATAAAAATCTGATTTTCTCCCTATTGAGTTAAACAGGTGGACCAGTTTCTGTGTAAGATGATGTTTTAGATAGACATTTATGTAATGCCTAAACAAACATAAATTGGTTTATCACAGAAATGAATATGCACATTTATCATTATTATAAAAAAAATTACGTTGGAGCCTTGATATAACGCTTATCTCAGTATAAAGCTCATAGGCCTTGGTTCCCCCAAAAAATCGTAGTTTTTGCTGATCATTCTTTGTATGTATATTTTAATGTTTCTGGTTGTTTTTTCAGTAATAGATAAATTTACCTAGTATAATCACTGCAGTTACAATGAGTTGCACACCACTTCCATTCAACACTGCTAATGCCATACCAGAGCCTGGAGGTCGAAATATGTATGCATAAATTAATTTCCACTTAAATTGGCTTTCATCATTTTTTCTTTTCCAACAACGCCAACCATTCTGTAACAATGAAATAAAGACAATGCTAACATTTATGAGCATGTCTGCTATATGTTTAAAAAAAAGAAATATGCCCACAGGGTAATAATAACCCCACTTCATATGCCTGTCATTGTGGCATATTTACATACTTTTGCATATTTCACAAAGGTCATGTATAATATCAATAATCAATATATATAAGAATAGCATAATGACTCAGAAATTTCATTAACCTATTACTGAGGAAACTGGCCATGTTACTACCAAGATAAACAAATCCAGGTTATTTTTTTCTCAAGTTATTGATTGCATAACAAAGGTTCTAAACTAAGTTTCATTCAACAGAAAAGATAAAGTATTACTTACTTGTTTGCTAGTTTGTACAGTCTTTTTTAACAGAATTTTCCTCAAGACTACTGCGAGTATTGAGGCCAGAAACATGGCAACAATCAGCGAGTTTAAACAACTGAAGTAGATCACCAAAATTTATTACACAATAAACCATCATTGGTTAATTTGTTAATAAACATACTCTCTGTAATATGTGCAACTAAATGCAGGAACTGTGAAGAAGCAATACTGAATTTCAATTACTATATATAGTCATACATAAACATCAATTAATTTGTATTATTCATAGTAAAACAAGAGCTGTCACCCAAGTGATGAATGCCCCCGAAAAGGTTTCCTAAGCATGCAGGTATAATGAAAAGAAAAGAGAATGAAAGTAACGAATTGCTGAATATTGTTCTTTGTATTATTGTACCTGTAATTTCTAATTGTGACAGCATGAACCTTCAATATATTAGTGTGACCTTGACCTTTGAAGAAGGGACGTGGTTCCTGGACGCGACAAAATGTTGCTATAATGATAGACATTTGTGCCAAATTATTTCAAAACCCCTCAATGCATGACAAAGTTACAGTCTGGACATGATTGTTGTGTAAGTGGGGACACATGGACAGACGGACATGAGCCTCAGCTGCGACACATTGTCTTGATGTGGTAGACATTTGTGCCAAGTTATTTTAAAATCCTTCAATGCATGACAAAGTTACAATCCAGACATGAATGTGTATCAGCAATGAGAATGAGCACCTTCAAACTATAAGTGTGACCTTGACCTTGAAGGTAGGAACATGGGTCTTTGTCCGACATGTAGTCTTGATGTGGTAGACATTTATGCCTAGTTATTTTAAGATCCTTAAATGCACGACAAAGTTACAGCTCGGACACGAATGTGTGTACCTATAAATGAATTGAACTTCAAAATGGTAGTGTGAACATTACCTTTGAGGTAAAGACGTAATTCTTAGAAGCAACACATTGTCTTGATATGGTAGACATTTATGCCTAGCTATTTTAAAATCATTTGATGCATGACAAAGTTACAGTCCGGACACAAATGTGTGTACCTATTTACTCTAATTGCGATAATGTGAAACTTCAAAATGATAGTATGACCTTGACCTTTGAGGTAAGAATGTGGTTCTTAAACGCGACACGTTATCTTGATGTTGTAGACATCTGTGCCAAGTTATTCAAAATCCCTCAATGTTTGACAAAGTTACAGTCCGGAACACAAATGAAGTGGGACAGACAGACAGACGGTGCAATTATATTATGCTTCCCTTTGGGGTCATAAAAATTAAGCTGTAAATAATCACAAATGAATATATTTCAGCTGTAAACTAGAGCTTGTAACTAGTGTTGCATACCCCCAGCATGCACTTGTCAGAAAACATGCTTTTTAGTAAATAATTTTGCACATAGGGAGAATGCATTAGTTTATAGATTTTTTAAAAAGGTTATTGAATTATTTGTCTTACATCAATAAGATAAATTAAAGTTTGGATTTGGAGTTTTCACACCTTCTTTTAATGGCAATACATTCTTTCTCACTTCTTATCAGTGAGATCTCTCTACCTACAAAGTTTTAAGTTGATACCCTTTATAGTTCTCAAGTTATGTCCTGGACAAAGTTCAAAGTGTAAAAATAAACAAAGGACAATAACTTCAATGGGAGGGTTAAGGTTCTTATGTCAAGGGCAATTTGAGCTTAATATTCATAGATGTCTTATCCTAAAGATTGTTCTGTTATAATATGAAGTAAGTCCATTCAATAATAGCCAGTTACAGCAAAAAAAATGACAATTTCCATAATCTGACCTTCAAGGTCAAGGTCATTTATGAGTGAAAGTCAAGGTCTCTCTGGTTAACATGAAGTTCTATCCTAACATATTGTTGTGTTCAAATTTCAAGGCAATCCATTAAAAAATAACAAAGTTAAAGCAACTTAAATCAAAAATCAGCAAAAAGACAAGCAAAATTTAGACATTTAACCTCGAAGGTCAATGTAATTTATGAATAAAGGTCAAGGTTAGTCTAGTCTACTTAAAGGTCTTGTGCCTAGGGTTGTTTCGGCAAAGTATGAAGACAATACACCATGAACTTAAAAGTTTAATATGATAAAGGTTCAAGTTTGCTGGCAACATCTACAGCAATGCCAACATGACTGGAACAATACCTCTATTTTTATTTTTTTTTGGTTAAAAAAAAGTTGATCTAAAAATGAACAAAGGGCAATAACTGCAATATTAAGGAAGGGAGGGTTACAGTTCTTATGGATCTTATCCACTGCTCTTCTATGCTATAAATAACCTCAAGGTAATACATTACAACAGTTAGTCACATTTAGGTAATACATTACAGCTTTAAGTCACCACAAGGTAATACATTACAACTGTAAGTCATAGCAAGGTAATACATAACAGCTGTTTGTCATCTCAAAGTTATACATTACAGTTGTAAGTCACAAGAAGGTTATACATTACAGATGTAAGTCAGTCACTCACCAAAAGGTAAAAAAAAAACAGCTGTATGTCACCTTAAGGTAATACATTACATCTGTGAATAACCAAAAGGTTATACATTAGAGCTGTAAATCACTAAATAATACAGCTGTAAGTCACCTCAAAGTAAAACACTGCTGTAAGTCACCTCAAAGTAATACACTACTGCTGTAAGTCACCTCAAAGTAATACAGCTGTGTATAGCTGTGAATCACCAAGAGGTAATACAGTATAGCAGTTAAGTACTATTAAAACTGTACATTACAACAAGAAAATCTTTTTACATTGTAATGGTCATCAATTAATTCATTATAACAGTACATTACAAGTGATTTCATCATAACTGGACATGACCAGTGAATTCATCATAACTGTACATTATAAGTGAATTCATTATAACTGTACATTACATGTGTATTCATCATTATTGTACATTACAAGTGCTTTCATTATAACTGTACATTAAAAGTGAATTCATCATAACTGTACATAACAAGTAAATTCATTATAACTGTACATTACAAGTGAATTCATTATAACTGTACATTACAAGTGAATTAATCATAACAGTACATTACAAGTGAATTCATCATAACTGTACATTACAAGTGAATTTATCATGACTGTACTTGACAAATGAATTAATCATAACTGGATATTACAAGTAAATTCATCATAATGAATTTATTATAACTGTACATTACAAGTAAATTTATTGTGACTGTACATTACAAGTGAATTAATTATAACTGTACATTAAAAGTGAATTTACAGAGTATCTTTAGACAAAAAACAAAATTCATTCATTTAAAAAATAAGCACATTGTTATGAGACAGAAATATAACAAAAATCTTACTTCAACCATAGAAGATGTTCATTGGCTGGAAAGTCCTCTAGAATATAGTCCCATCTTGATGCCCACTTTATATTTTCCTCAGCCTGACAATAAAAATTTATCCTGTAACTTTAAATTTGATTGGGTTTTAAGTCAAACTGTTTCAGTCGAATGGCAACTTTGCAACTTTCCTAGTGGAGGAAGACCGCAAGTGCCCCTCCGTACTTTATTTCAAAGATGGACAAGCACCTGATGACTGTAATTTCATGCATATAAAGTCATGCATATAGATTATGAATTATCGTATATCATATGATATTGTATCTAAACAGATCAGTAAATATTCTTAAATACTTATACATTTAAATATCAAAAAATAGTTACTCACAACCCATCTGACAGAGTAAGTATATGTAATAGTTGTTTCCTTCATCAAATGGCCATTTCTGATGCCCATGGCTTTTAAGTTATTATCTTGACAAATATCAATATCCTGATTATAGGCAATGCTGAAGAAAAGACACAAAGTTATGACTGAAATATCATACATTCCTTAATAAATGCCAACTGGCATGTTACATTTACCAAAAGAGGATGAGGTGGGGGAGGGGTGTTAATCAAACAAAGAAGACATGGGTACTATAAAAAGTAAATAGATATGAAACATCTAACTATCAAAATGCCTATTTCTTTCAATATCCATCAAATTATAACCGAATCAATGGACACATAGACCATCAATTTACTTTTTTGACATATTACCTTTGAAGTTTTAATATGACCTTAACCTATAAGCTACAAACTTGTTTTGACTCATCACACATTGTCTCAAAATACCACATATCAGCAAATTTATTTAAAATTCAGCAAATAAATGACTTAGGTATATGGACTGGGTATTTAACCAATTAAACAGTTGTTTTAAGGGGGCCTTCTCCAAATCCCTCATCGCGGAGAAAGCACACGGCAGGTCAAGGTCAAGTCATCTTAAATACCAGAGGTGATTTGTTTGACCTGCCGTGACTAACTCTGGAGGGTTGGCGCTAATGAAGGCCGTTTTTGTTATCGTCAGTAAGGAACATGATGCCTTGACAGTATTGTCGTCTCCTTTACCACCAACGAACGAAGAATGGGCTACCAGGAAGATTCTGCTTGAAAAAGACGTCCCCGATGAGACTACCGTAGTGGACTGGCAAGGATGCTATAATCTTGGACATATGGTTATTCCGGCGCCGAGTATAAATAAACTTACTTACACACACTTTTGAGGGGCGTTGAACAATTTGTTCTCTATATATGGCAGCTACTTTGTAGCATGTTGCAGGCTACACAAAAATCATTAATGGTGCCAAAATTAAATTTTTATTTAAGGGTCATAAGTCAGCCAAAAATTATCGTAAGGTTTGCCCAAGCACTTGAGGTACCGATCAATTCAGTAAAATTCCAAATTAGATGAAAATAATAAAAGGGCAATAACCCTGACAAATTTATTGAACTGGAAATTGCTAAGATTATGCACAACTAATTTTGGTACTGATCATTCCTGTAAAGTGTGCATGAAATTGTACCAGTAGTTTGTGAGGAGTAGTCTGGACGTTTTTTGTGACAAACAGACTTTCAAGGCAATATTGCTACTCAATTTTATTTCTATTGTTCTTTTTAGCCACATAAAGGAAGATAGCCACATAAAAGCCTTATAGAATTAATGACATGAAAGAAAATGTACAATAACTTATTGTTCCTGTAGCCTCATATGTAACTAAATGTTTGCTTGGACAGACAGACAGGCAACATAAAAGTGATCAGTGATCCCTTTATGTGGCAACTTTGTAGCAGACGACACAAAAAAGGCTGACACATGGTCTCTGTCTGTGGCCCATTAAACAAGCTTTTGAGTATGTTGTTTTTTTCTTTGTCTCATATACTGGTTTTCTAGCAGTGTCTGCCCCCAAATCATATAAAATAAAAACCTGTCAATTGACAGGTAAAAAAAACTTTGATAGACGACAGTAATGTACCTGTCCAGCAACCTGTCCTATTGATATTGCTGTTTTACTTTAACTATTAATAGGCCAGAAATGTAACAACTTTTCTTGCTATTATTCATAGACCTTTCTCATTTTATATATAATTCAGTACCAGTAAGCAATGTTGAGGTCAATTTATAAAAAAAACAGAATTTTTCAACTTTTTCCATATTGTATGCAAGTATACTGATTTACTGGGAATTGGACCACAATTATTGCGCAGGAGCATTCACACTGGAAATGCCAAGGTGTTGCTTACTTTTTCATATATAAAACCTCTGTGCATTATTAACTGCTGTGTTGCCTAGAAAACAAATGTCTCTCTGATTTGATGAAGTAACACAGATGCTTTATTGGTAAAAATAGATTGTTATATGTAATAGAATTTTCTGTGACTCCAAGGATTATTGTTAATACACATGAACTAGACAATAAAATTGGAAACAATTATGGCATAAAACCTAGTGATTTTTTAACTTTGACCTGTATACCATTTACACGCAAATGGGCATGAGGTCACTTCAATATATTTGTTATAATCCAGATTAAAATCCATTTAATAATGATCAAAGAGTTTAGTAGTTGAAGGTTACAAAATGAAATACCTTTTGGGCGTGGCCCAAACAGAGAGAATTCTACCACTATCATCAGCAGATGGATGGTACTTTATGGTAAAGTCAATATGATTGAAGAAATAATGTGTGTCGGGCTCTGTGAACAATGTGTCCTGAAATAAAAAAATATAGAAAATACATCTCAATTTTAATCAGGCCTGTGTTTATAGCGTCAAACATATTTCATTTTACTTGAGTGTAATCAAACGTCTAAGCTTATCATAATCGGTCTGAACACTTGACTAAACACCTAGCAACCTAGCCTTTATGTTTCCTGCATATGTTCTATTTTCAAAATATTTCAACTTTATTTACCAGTTAGATGATTGGAAATAAAAAATGGTTAAAATCATATCTAACTATAAAATTTTAATAGACAAAATCTGAATTAGCATATCAAATATCCTGCAGCCTATACAATTCTAACCTTTATTCACTATAATATTTGTGCACATGTGTATATTTTCATATTCAAATGTTTTTGTTTCGATATTACTTCATACTGTGCCTTATGTAAACATGTTATGCTCTCCCGTATGGAGGAAATAAAAGTATCCAGTATATATTGAAAAACAATAACCTAATTTTCATTTTCAAATTTCCATGTTATAACCATGTCTTCTATATAGAAAAACATACAGTAGAGGAAGACAATATGGTATCACATAAGCTGCTTGACCAGGTCACCTAAATAAGAAAAGTCCGCAAAATGAAATTATCATTTAACAAACAAAATTGTTGGCATGCTTGATGAACAAGAGCACCGCTAGCAGAACATTATATGCCCCAAAATGTTTTTTTTTTTATTAAGGATGAAGCATTTGTAAGACATTACATAAATTTAATAAAGTATTACCTCCTTCAAATAGCAATCCTCCAATAAAGTTTGAATATTGTGGGCCAAATGGAACTTAATTTATGCTCTAGAAACTGTTTTCAGTTTTAAAGTAATAGTGACCTTGACCATTGACCTTGAGGCCCAAAATCAATAGGAGTCTTCTACCCAATATGGACAATCATCCTATGAAGTTTGAATATTGTGGGCCAAATAGACCTTAAGTTATGCTCCGGAAACTGTTTTCAGTTTTAAAGTAATAGTGACCTTGACCTTTGACCTTGTGACCCCAAAATCAATAGGGGTCTTCTACCCAATATGGACAATCATCATATGAAGTTTGAATATTGTGGGCAAAATAGACCTTAAATTATGCTCCAGAAACTGTTTTCAGTTTTAAAGATATAGTGACCTTGACCTTTGACCTTTTGACCCCAAAACCGATAGGGGTCTTCTACCCAATATGGACAATCATCCTATGAAGTTTGAATATTGTGGGCCACATGGAACTTAAGTTATGCTCCGGAAACTGTTTTCAGTTTTAAAGTAATAGTGACCTTGACCTTTGACCTTGTAATCCCAAAATCAATAGGGGTCTTCTACCCAATATGGACAATCATCCTATGAAGTTTGAACACTGTGGGCCAAATGGAACTTAAGTTATGTTCCAGAAACTGTTTTTTGTTTTAAGGTAATAGTGACCTTTGACCTTGTGACCCCAAAATCAATAGGGGTCTTCTACCCAATATGAACAATCATCCTATGAAGTTTGAATATTGTGGGCCAAATGGAAGTTAAGTTATGCTCCGGAAACCAAATTGTTAACAGGCAGACGACAGACTGAGGGACGGATGTACTCACAAAATGGTACTTATGTGACTTTTCCTTTGATCTTTTTGGCCAGTTTTAGTCACACTAGGCTTAAAAAAAGACACACAAGTAAAAACGGAATGAATAGGATCAAAGAGAATTTACTGTTACCCATTGTTCTCCAAATCACACAAGTACCTCTGGGTTCGTACGGATAGACAGACAGACGGACAGATGCCAGGGGGAATAACATAATATGCCCGAAATTCTTTCGGGCATATAATAAAAATGACAGACAAACAAGTAACTGGTCAGATGCTGTAATGAAATTGAACATTTTGTAAAAAGTACAGTGCCTTATAAAACCAGGTCTATTATGTTCTTTGTGAAATTGACCTTCGACTACTACTATTACTTACACTGGTTACACAAAAATCTTTCTGTACAAAGTCCTTAGCAACATAGCAACCAACTGGAAATGAGCTAGTACAATATTGTCCTCCACTTTCCACCTCGTAACAATATGTCACCGGCATATTGTCCACAATCCTAAAATAAACATGCACTGTTTTGTAATAAATCAGCTATAAAAAATGAGAAGTCTATGGTACGAGTTGGATAATTTATAATATAGTCAACTGATTATTTCAATCTTAGTTCATTTTATTACAATTTCACAAAATCAACAGTAAAGTTATTGATAAATACATGCAATAAACATTTATTTTTCCATCAAGCTGACAATTCTTCAGAATCTGGCTTTATGAAAATTTTAAAAGCAAACAAATACAATAATTTGAGTTAGCATAAATCATTTAAAATCTACATAAAGTACCTTAGTATTTATGTCTAAAACTGTGCAAATTAAAACTTCACCCACCAATGTCTAATGGAGATACTGTTAGTTATTTATATTACTTATCGTTAGCAGATTATAAAAATTAATATTTTGTATACCCAATGCAAACATGTTATAAAATGTTTAATGGCATAATTATTTGGACAATAGATAACTTTTCTAATGTAACATGATGTCTACATTCTTAGCAGCAGCCCACTGACCCAAAGTAATTCAAATCTAAATTGAACCCTTAAAGTTTTCTAAAACATTAGTCCAACCAACAGGCCTGTGGAAGATTTTCAGCCATTCACCTTATTTTCTGAAAATGAAATGACTTACAAATGGAACAACTTATTTATTCTTAATCACTGAAATGAAAATTGAACCAAGCCATGAGTGCGCAGTCTGATCAGGACACATGCTGTTGGCTTACCAACCCTATTACAAGTAGAGAAACTAATAGCGAACAGCATGGATCCTAATCAAACTGCGCAGATGTGCAGGCTGGTCTGAATCCATGTTGGTCACAAACGCACTATGTTGGTTTTGTCATGACGCGGCCAAATTATAAAACAACAATGTTTTATCATTATTCTTGACGTTACTTTCCACTTTCAAAGTCTAACACATTTGGGTTTGTAAAAACCTTTGGGTTAGTTGAATATTGCAAACTACTTGCTTCAATGATTTGTGATTTTCTTGCCTGAAATTCTTACAAATTTTTACAAGACAAAAGAAATGAAAATAAAGTACAACAATTATACCAGTGGAGATTATAGTTCTGGTCAATCATTTTCCTCATCATGTTCAACTTAACTAGGCTGGTTTTATTACCAGGGTAATAATTCTTCTCACATACTTTCTCACACACACGATCTTCTTTGAAATAAAACTGTAACGGAAACATATATTCAATACTACGGCATTCTGTTTGTATTAGAGAATGTACTACAAAACTGATAAAAAAATAGCATGCACAAAATTCATATGTTAAACAAATTTAAGATATATCCATGTGGTATGCATTAATCTATATATAAAAAATTTAGCCCATGTGCACTCACAGTATCAAATGGTAACAAATGGCTGAAGAAAGTATAAATCTATGAATTACAAAGTACATTTTACTTTTATTTAGTACAATACAAATATGAAATTTTCATATACTTTTACTTTCATTCATTTTTACCTACAAAGATATAAACTTACAATGTCAAAATATTTCATATTTTCAATCATAGTCAAGTTGAGCTGAATTGACTTTATATTTCAAAAGATTGACTCTCAAAATGGTCTTTGACCAACAGTTGATATTGGAAAATGTTTAGGATAAAATCATAAATCTGCCTAAAACTTAAAAAGACTGCCCCACTCTTTTTATAGGTAAATTCTAATGGATATTAACAGAAATTTCGTTTGGATAATGTGCGTTATTTATTGTTATGAACTTAATTATTACATTCAAAGGAATTATGGCAAAATGAAAACTTATTTTGATCTTCACCCATTCACTCACTATATACCCTTAGATGGGCATAATGTCACTAGGCTTGTCTAGGTTTTAACTGATTTCGACACATATTTGGTCATATCTAGGCAGTCAGTCCACCTACCCTGCTTTTTTGATAACTAACCAGTAATAACCAGTATCTCCTGAGCTTACCTATTTGGAACTGTCCATTATCATTTCTGGGGATATGAAGATGAAAAATTTCAAGTAGTCTCTACCAACTGTAGCATATGTAATCAGACTGCATGTGCTAACCAGGCTCTATACTCGTGGTAAAAGCTGAACACTTTTGGTTCCAGCAGATTATTAAAATATTAATATAAGGACCTTTACAATCAATCAACAATCAACAGACAGTATTGAAATAATTGAAATAAAAACTTTTCTTAAAGTCTTATTTTTATTTGTCACTATATTTGTACAGAAGGTTAATATTCATACCTTATAAAGAGATGGTTTTATTCTCTCTCCAAATACCACTTGACCTAAATTCATCTGAGGATCAGCCTGTGATTCATCATAGCCACAAAAATCAAACCTTTATAATATAAAGACAATGACTATGAAAAATTACAAACATATGTCAAAAGAACATTAAAACTTTCCTGCAAGGAAAAAAATGCACAATGAATTGCAAGGAAAAATGCACAATGAATGTTCCAGAGGAAATTTGGACAATAGAATCTGGACTTTAAGCTCCTCTAATGCGTTTAATGGGGAAAAATTCTGGTTGGTTCAAATGACTACTAATAGATTTGTCTATAATTGTATATTCAATCATCGGTTTAGTAAGGCCTGATGTTTTATAAACTAGTTCATGTAGTTGAATTTTGAGATGACAATTTTTTGTATGCAAACAAATATATTTCAAAAACAGTGTATAGAATGGAATAGACAACAAAATGTTCTCAAATAACCTTCAATTCTGATATAAAATCAAAACTCATGTCTACAACATATCATTCGTGTATCAGGTTTGATATATTGGAGTAGCAATAATTTTTGCAAAATGTTCACCTCATTTTTAGAATGTATGCATGCACTTATGGTAACTACCTGTAATGGATGCCTGTTTGGCTATGGGAACAATTAAAGTAACTTTAAATCTTCTTTGATGCAATTCATTCCATATCTTTATGTGACTAGAAAATTCTAATACTTGCAATGCTTAGCTAAACGAGAAGGTAAATCTCTAATAGCATTTTATGAAAAATACCATTAAGAAATGGGCATAATCATTTAAAAACAAGATAACACAGGTTGCCTTTAACGGCTTACCTGTGAACAGATAAACATTTTTCAATGAGGAATTAGGACAATGGGTCAGACTGGTGAAGGTCTATTTTTGACCCTAGGGCCATTATTCATATAACTTAAGCAGAGGTTCACTAGGCAAAGTTATGGGTCATGTAGTTTCACAAAATTAGTTTTCATGTAAAGCCTATGAAAAACTTAGTGACCCTTAATGCAGGGACAATTTTGTCCATATGTCCCAGGAAAAGATTTTTATAAGATTGTATAAGACAATGTTACATAAGTGACCCCAGGAGGGCAGGTTCATTTGGAAATCAGTGCCATGATTCATATTACTTTTGTAGAGGTTCAATGGGAAATGCCAAATATCGAACTTCTAGGAAATGAAGTTTCACAAAAAAAAGATTTAAAACTGTTTTCCTATGTAAGTCTATGAAAACTAAGTAATTCCTCATGCAGGGCCAATTCTCCTCAGGTAATGCTACATATGCCAAATATTTAAGCAATATTAGTTTCTGTGGATAAGGAGGATAACTTCTGGATAACAAAAGACATAATGATATCTGGATATTTTATTATCTCTAGTGACCTTGACCTCCATAATATTAACCTAAATTATATGTGTCACACTTGAAGTCATGATAGTTATCATTTGTGTTTCAATCCATCAACAAATTATGACTAAATGGTCCCCGTACACAAACTTTGACCTCTCTATGTGACCTTGACTTTGGTAGCAGAGACATGGATTATGTGCTCACAACTGTAGTAATGATAATGACCATTTGTGTTCCTATCCCTCAATAAATAACGACTAAAAGGTCAGAATACATATTTTCAAATTTTATCTGCACCCTATGTGTGACCTTGACCTTGGCCACAGGCACTTGAACTTTGCATGTGACACTCTGCCTTACAATTGTGAACATTTGTGTCAAGTTATATTGAAATCCCTTGATCCATGTAGAAGTATTGCTCTGGACAAATGATTTTCAATGACGTAAGTGTGACTTGACCTTTGACCTAGAGACCTGGTTTATGTGCACAGCACTGCTTTTCATAGTGGTGAACATTTCTATGAAGTTTCATTAAAATCCCTCAATATGTGTAGGAGATATGCTCTGGACAAAATCTCTAATTTTATCATATCTAGTGACCTTGATCTTGCATATATTAACCTAAATTACATGTTTCACACCTGTACTCATGATAATGACCATTTGTGTTTCAATCCCTCATTAAATGATGACTAAAAGGTCTGAATACACATTTTCATAATTTTATCTGGACTTTGACCCCAATGTGTGACCTTGACCTTGGTCGCAGGGACCTAAATTTATCATGGACAATGGTGAACATTTGTGACAAGTTATATTGAAATCCCTCTATGTTTATAGAAGTTTTGCTCCAGACAAGCGTTTTTTAATGACCTCTTATGACCCTGACCTTTGACCTAGAGACCTGGTTCATGTGCGAGAGACAGCCTCTCATAGTGGGGAACATATCTACAAATTTCATTAAAATTCCTCAATGTGTGTAGGAGATATGCTCTGAATAAAATTGTGGCTGCCGCCCACCCCCTGCCCGCCAGGGTGGAAACTATAATACGACCTGTTTTTCAATAAGGCATATAAGAGGGATGGGTTATTGGGGAGAAAAAAAGTAAATAACTATATAGCAACTTACATATCATATTCATATGGTATCAAAGTTCTTAGTGAGTTAAGTCTATTGACGAACACTGGCACCTCAATCTGAAATAGCAAAAGAAAAAAAAAACACTTTATTGAATCTCTGTGCCATCTGTGTTCCTTTCCATAGGTTTTAATTTTTTGCCTCTATATAGGATAAAACATTTTACGCCAATTTGTAACAGACCCTGAACACCATTCATTTTGTTGAAAAATGAACGGTTGTGCCTACTTGTTACTGTACATTATTCAAATGAGTGGGACAAAAAATTAATATTTTTCTATTTCAAATATATGATTTTATGTAACATTTATTTCAATTTTAAACACCTTCAAATTTATCATTAACTTTGAAAATTGAATGTTCTTTTCTTACAGTTGTCTAGTTGATGTTGGTACTAAACACTGATCATAAAAAATAATGTGAAATAATTAAAAGTGAAAAACACTGCGTTAAAAGGGATTTTTTTGCTTATTTAACAGCCAAGATTTGGTCATAGTCCCAATTGAAAATAGTATATTATTTTCCCAATCCACAAGAAAAAATCCCAATTGGAAGTAATACAAAATAAAAATATTGAATAAAGAATTTTTGAATTTCTTCTAAATGGGACTTTCATGCACAGTAATGAAGTACTGCCATTGAATTGGGCTTGAGCTATGCCAGCAGGGTCTCAAACCTGGGCACCACCACAAAAGCTGGGTTGGTCTTGCCAAGATGACTAAAAAGTAACTGTGTACAACTGTTTTCTGCTACTTCATTTCTTTTTTACTTTTTTCTAGCAACCGTGTCCGTGTCTTTATTCCGTCTATACTATTTCATTTCTCTTTTGTCTTTTTCTTGTGCACAGGTAAAAGAATGTCAACTTTGACAGTTTAACATATGGATGTAGATGAAGTTTAACTGTTAAAAATATACATAAAATTACCAGCAGTTAAAAAATTCTGAAAGTCAACAAAATAATTATATAAGGTATACATGTAGATGTATTTGTTATTGAAATACAGTATTTACTCCAGAAATACTTAGTAATAGAGATTGAGGGGTGGCTTCTTACTGATTTTGGGGGGTTAAGTGTCTTGAGATGTACATTGTCTTGTTCCTGTTAAACTTTACTTACATGGTGCTAGGGGTGTAGATGGTTGAGCTCATTCAAGATTGCGTTTTCTAGTGCAACATTTTCAAATTTTCAAGTTTTGGACATTCTTAAGAGGACTCTTTTTGTCTCTTAATTATCAATAGACATAGCTAAAGAGACTTCAGCGAACACGTTTTTTTAACGTTTATAGTACTTTACTGTCAAATTGAAAGCGACATATATAAAGTTATGGAAGAACTATACAGTACACTGATATAGCAGTTTAGCTGTTTAGACAATACCTGGCAATCATCATCATCATTTCCGTTTGAGGAACAAAATAAGACGGGTGCTAAACCAGGTAGGTAAAATCCTTCAATCTGTAGGATAACAGTTGATATCGTCAATAGCGCTAGATATAAGAAAACAGCCATATCTTTATTATTATTGGTTTTGTATTTGGGTATTTTCTGGGAAATCCCAAGTTTCTATTTTTACCTTAACATGGTATTTTCCGTACCGGAGTAATGCTCCGTGTTTATACCGTACAGTGCGATGCAAATTGCGTACCATCGAATCTGAGAAGGAGACATGTTATGAAAAAGACTCTTTAGAGAATTGTTTAATAAAATAGGATATTATCTAGCTTTGAATCTTCACTGTTTATTTTTTATCAAGAACCAAACAGGGTCTTTCAAATAGAATGGTCTGGAAATGCGCTATGTAACCTTCTCACTACAATTAAACATGTCTTGGTATACTTTGCTATATGCAAATTATGTAAGTGTTCAAAAAAGGGTTGAACATTAAATACAAGAGCAAAAATGAAAGTTCTTACAACATGATGTTCTTTTAAGATTTTTAAACTTGTGAAAAGAAGATAGATATTTCAGAAAATAATGCTCTTTAAGCAATAATCTGTTGAAAACATTTGTTTGTTTGTTCAGAATATTACTTCTTCTTCTTCTTCCGGGTAATGTGCTGGGCCCCTCTGGAGCATCGTCGCACAATTGTGACTATTTACATGAGTGAAGGGAACATCAAGTGCAGCTAAAAACAGGTTAAAAACACCATGCTCCAGAGTTACTCGTGCAGCGCACCCATCCTCGTCTTGAAGACCTCTAGGAACGGGGCTGTCATCACGACTTCTGGTAGGCTGTTCCAAAGTCGGATCCCAGAAGGAAAGAACGAGTACAAACTGCACCATTTTGAAAATGCACAAATTTAACATTAAATATTAAACATATCCTGATTGGCTGAATTGAGGATGTCAATTAGGGAGTTAACAATACAATTTATATATATAAATGAGAGAATTAATACACACAAATACCACACAATCGATATGCTAGACCAATAACGGCACAGCACCTAGTGGAACAGTCATAAAAGCAAAACCACTGCTAATCCACCATTACGAAAATACAAAAAAAAAGGAAAAATAAGTGCCGGAAATATATATGTATATTTGTGATATGTAAACATATACAAATGTAGATTTTCCGTGGCATTTCAATTGCATTCACGCAGAAGATACACAATGATACGTCACTGTATCGCACGTAATTTCCTGTATAAATGGTTATTGCACAGTATGCCCGTCACCCTTCGATATGTGTACGTAGTTGAGAAGACACAGGTCATTGGTAGATGATTGAAAAACCAATGTTACATGTAAGACGGCAAGTTTGCATGTTTTCTTCAGCTCGGGGTAACGTTTAAGGCGGCACGACTAAGCTTGCATGAAGTTAGCTGCCGGTGTCCTGACTTAAGCCAAGGGAGTGACCCTACAATGTAGGCTCTGAGTCGACGAGGATGGTGTGCTAGGGTGCACAAACAGCCCTTTTCACGGCTGCCCTTTTATATTGTCTTAGGTTACTTACATTTAGGTTCTCATTGACCGCCGTAGAGTGACCTACTTTTGGCTCAAAATGTGGCTAATACTCTGTGGAAATTGCATGGATGTAAATTATCACCACTTTTTGCTTAATTAACTCTTTAAGGGCATGACTTGTGACATGTCCGGGGTCCGTACTCGACAGCAAAACTGAATTTTGTGCCTGAAAGGGCAGATAGACCCTTATTAAGCATTAACTACATACATACAATGCCCGTCGCAAAAAGTGCTTTCAGCACTTTGATTTTGTGTACGGTATAATGTACGGCAAACACAGAGAAAAAAATCCATGCACCTACCTTTATTTTTTTTAAATTTTATTTCATTTATTAAAGTTTTCAATATCTGAACATCTATAAAAATTTATTTTCTTCGTTGATATTGTAAAATAATTGAAAAATATAAAAGAAATAAATATTAGTGAATGAAATCTCGTGCGGACGAGATTACCTCATTACCGAATTTATTGACAACTTGCGAAAGGATTCTGAATCGTTTTCTTTTAAATCAAAAGTTGTTCATAACAATTTGACAACGCAGATGCGATTTATATTCCACGTTACGGTTCATTCCTTTCAAAGAAAATTAATTGGTTAAGGTAATTTTTGCATGTATTAAAAAATATTTGGGAAATCGAACGCAAGTCGGCCATGTTTTGATTTTTGACTGAATGACATGCAACTGTCACGCCGAAGATTGAACATCATGGTCCATGTTGTCATTTAACTTGTAACATTTTTTCATTACAATGTAATTGCATATCTTGAAGTTAATATTAATCTTTGAACCTCGGAGATTTGTACGGTTTGTTAAACTGAGATGACGTGACCCTTGTGTGTTTGAAAGTGAAAGTTAAAACTTTGATTATGTCCTTATTTCAAAGTAATGCAGTAGTTAGGGAAGCATCATGTGTTTACTGCAGCTGTCATAAATATTGTAGAAAAGGGTCTCAATCTTATATAAAAATAAATAGATGAAATTGTAAATGTCCAAAGAACTGAAGAAGTTGACATATAAATTTATTTTCAACTGAAAAACGTATATCAGGATTACAATCTCTATTTAGTATTTTGTTTTCCTGCCTATAACATTGGCGAGAGGGGTTGGCAGTACTCAGAGATAGATGGATAGATAGAGTCACGGAAGGTTCAGATTCGAGTCGCAGGAGGGTCAAAATATTACTGTTTATTTATCCCGGCCCTTTGTAGCTTAATAAATTAGGAGATGCATTACTGTTTGAGGGATATGAATTGCAGCCACCATTTATCCATGCATTATCATAACAGGTGACTAAATGGGTTCAAATAAATGGAGTCTGTGCATCTCTTAGCTCGAGCAAGTATGGTGGTTCTGATCACTGGTGTTGCTTTGCAGTTTGCAACACCCAATGTTAGTCAAAATCTTCTTTTCTATTCATCACCATATGACCTTAATTGTGTTGATGTGTCGTCAAACCAAACAAACAAAATTACTTTTATCCTGCTACTGGTTTTGGACCACCAACCAGACACCTTTTGAACATTTTTGCATATACTTTGTAAATTTAACAATTTAAAAGGTAGTTACCTTGAAATTTGACACAGTAAAGCTAGGTTCTTCTTCAAGCTAAATAGCTAGTTTGTTTATTATACCCCCAAAAACGAAGTTTGGGGGGGTATATAGGAGTCACCCGGTGGTTGGTCGGTCCAGACGTCCGTTGCATTTTCCTTGTCCGGAGCATAACTTGAAGACTAATGGTTGGAATTCAATATAACTACATACAATGGTCAAGCACATTGAGAGGAAGTGCAGTGCACAAGAACCATAACTCTATCTTGACTAATTACAGAGTTATTGCCCTTTGTTACTTTTCCTTGTCCGGGGCATAACTTGAAAACTACTGGTTGGAATTCAAAACAACTTCATACAATTGTCAAACACAATAAGGGGAAGTGCAGTGCACAAGAACCATAACTCTATCTAAAGTAATTACAGAGTTATTGCCCTTTGTTGCTTTTCCATTGCTTTTTTTTGTCCGGACCATAACTTGAAGACTAATAGTTTGAATTCAATATAACTACATACAATGGTCAAGCACATTGAGAGGAAGTGCAGTGCATAAGAACCATAACTCTATCTTGACTAATTACAGAGTTATTGCCCTTTGTTACTTTTCCTTGTCCGGGGCATAACTTGAAAACTACTGGTTGGAATTCAAAACAACTTCATACAATTGTCAAACACAATAAGGGGAAGTGCAGTGCACAAGAACCATAACTCTATCTAAAGTAATTACAGAGTTATTGCCCTTTGTTACTTTTCCATTGCCTTTTTTGTCCGGACCATAACTTGAAGACTAATGGTTGGAATTCAATATAACTTCATACAATGGTCAAGCACATTGAGAGGAAGTGCAATGCATAAGAACCATAACTCCATCTTGACTAATTACAGAGTTATTGCCCTTTGTTACTTTTCCTTGTCCAGAGCATAACTTGAAAACTACTGTTTGGAATTCAATACAACTTCATACAGTTGTCAAGGACATTAAAAGGAAGTGCAGTGCACAAGAGCCATAACTCCATTTTGATAAAATACAGAGTTACTGCCCTTTGATACTTTTCCTTGTCAGGAGCATAACTTAAAACGTACTAATTGGAATTCAAAACAACTTCATACAATGGTCAAGCACAATAAGAGGAAGTGCAGTGCACAAGAACTATAACTCTATCTTCAGTATTTATAGAGTTATTACCCTTTGTTCCTTTTCTTTGTCTTTCTGGACTTATTACAGAGTAATTCAATTAAACTTCATCAATGGCCAACCACATTGAAAGGAAATGCAACATTGAAAGGAAAGCAGTCTTGTGGGGGTATTAATCACATTCAGGGATCACGTTTCTAGGCGACTTGGGCGACAAAGTCGCCTTGTTTCTCTCCATTTCGCCCGGATCGCTCAGAAAAGCGAAAACAAAGTCGCCCTAATTTTCAATAATCGCTTGCAATAAATTTTGAAGTGTCAAGCAGCTCGGTAATTGTTTACGCTCCTCCTATTTCAAAGCAATTTGTTAAACGCATTTTCATTGGTCGGTAAAATTGGAAAGCCAATGAAACGCAGCGAGACAATTTAGCAAGTGTTGGAATTGAATGGTTGACATCTTCGGGTATAGACAAATGCCGACTGATTATCAATAAACAACAAATACACAGATTAGCGGCCATTCATGTCAATTAGGATAAATTGGGGGCATACTTATTGCATTAATTAGTCGGTAAGTTTAGTGATCTTATTCACACATTATCTACAAAAGCGTGTCCCCAAAAGTGTTTGTCACCTGTACATGTTTCGATGTTTACAATTGCCTCAGCAATTTGGAAAGTTGGAAACTTTTTTTTGAACATTTATAAGTAAACATACATATATTATAAAACACTGATGTCATTTGCTGGTTAATGGGGAAAAGACCGGTGCAAATAGTATCACCGATAGATCTAATGCATTATGCAGAAAAAGTCCGTCGAAGAAAAAAAATTATTCAAAAAAAAACAAAAAAAACATCCACATAAACTTAATAAGTTTATATGAACTTTGACTCCGCACTCCCTATGAATATTTCTGGGGTAAATGATGAAATACATGATGTATGAGCCTGGGGGCCTACTAGTGATTTACTAAAATATTTTTTTTTTCTTATTTCAGCACAACATCACATGGCTGCAGCATTAAAATCAAAACAAGCTACACAAAACCTATGATAAAGATGATATAGAAGAAAAAAAAACTGCCACATTTGTAATTTTGCTGTTTATTGTCATTGAGTTACTTAATAAACTGTTATGTACTCCACATAATGTTAATCAATCTTAAAAATTAGTATGAAATGGAACATCAACACTTCAAAAAAATGCAGTTCGTATGCACTTCTCCTTGTCCCTAAAAACTTCTCCCTATTTTCACTGGAGGGAGAAGTCACTTCTCCCTAAATTTTAGGTCTAGCATGATCCCTGACATTTAGTGATAGTTCTAGTTTTTGATATTGTAGTCACTTGTATTAAAGGCCTCTGTAGGGGGGCATCAAATTACCTAAATTGTCCTCACTACAGTACCATGTGTCCAGACAGCTACATGTATGTAGAATAGAATAGAATAACTTCATTTCTGTAAATTTGGTAAACAGAAAATCATGTTATACATACTGTATACTAAACTAAATAGTAGAGAGTCACAATAACATCTGTTTTTTCCTTAAATACTTTATCATCTTGCAAAGTATTATTATTTGCAGTACAACATCTTAATATGCATGGTGGTGAATGATTTTTATACTTCCCTTTTTGTATGAAATTCAATATAGTATAGGTATAAAAGCATATCTGTGAAACACTTTTGCTCCATACAAGTCATTCATAATTAGAAATACAAAAGATCTTAAAAGAAATAACCAAGAAAATGATGATATTTTGATAGTATTTGATTTCCGGAATTAGTATCGTTCAGTACGGAATATAGCCAAGAAATAAATGGCAGCCCCCATTTTCATATACCTGCAATGTTTTTGGTTATTTTGGGCTACAATTGATGGGTTTATTTATTTTATGCTTTTCAGTGGATTACTGATTTATCCGTGAAAATTATATTTGGTAATTTCACAGTGAAAATTATCAAAATATAATTTCACTTTTTTCAATGACGAAACTACTTTTTTAAGATTTTCCCCATGTGGTACCTCAATTTTATTTTTGCTGACAATTCTGACAATGTCAGGCTGTTTAAAGAAAAAGGAAAGCTGAAATTGATAAATACCTTAAACGTCAAAAGTAATAAAAAGAAGAAAACTTACTTCTATTCATTCAAATTCCAATCACCAAATTTCGTCTCTAAATTTTTGTTTCATTTTTACAGTCTGAAAAATACATTCCTTCCACATGCAAACTGCTCTTGATGACATTTGGGCATATTAAAGTATCCTACGAGTAATAACTGCCGTATGCTTTATGAAAATTGAAAAGCAATGACAGCTACAGCTCGTAGAACAAGTAAACCAACCCAGCGTTCCGAGCAAGTTCCAAGTCTTCCATTTTCATAGCTGCTTTTTTCATGTTTTCACATCTGTCAACACTTAATTTTTGTCTGTTTCAATCCTAAAATATGTTTTCTTTCTTTTAAAAAGGTGTATGACTAACAATTCCAAATGATATCCCTCTGAATCAAACACAAATTATTTTCCTCCCGTGAAATACACAACTTTAAAAAATGGCTGCCGCTTACATTTAACAAAGCCAGGTCTAATATAAATTCGCAGTAGGTAACAGAAATATGGATGGATGGTTGGAATTTTCTCCTACACGAATTGTTTGTTTTTATTATTAAAACAAGCGATCATTCATATTTTTTAAACAAAATAAATAATATCACTGTCATTTAATGTTGATTGTCGGACTTATTTTTTCGGCTCAAGACTTCTTGTTTTTAATGAGAAATTCTCACGAAATGGGGCTCTCAATGGGGAAACAGATTTTAATATTTATGTTGATATTATGGAAATTTCGTTTAAACTTGTTTTTTAGCATAAAATAAAAAGAAAATTTGTTTGTTTGTTGTGTAAGATGTAATTTTATTTCATCTCGTGAACTTTAAAAACAGTATTCTCACTCGTGGCTACGCCACTCGTGAGAATACTGTTTTTAAAGCCCACTCGATGAAATAAAATTTCATCTTACACACAAACAAACAAATATCCTCTATATTGCTAAAATGGAAAAACTTAATATTTTTTTGCCCTTTAAGTATTTAATTCTTTAAAAGTTGAAAGGGAAAAAAAATTTTTTTTGCCTTTTAAGTATTTAATGCTTTAAAAGTTGAAAGGGAAAAAAGAATTTTTGGGGAAAAACTCGGCTATTTACTGAGGGGAAGACGCCGACTATCGGTGTCAATTTGTTAGTAAAAAAACCCTTGCAGACTAACATTAATCTGCTTTTGTTTGTTTTACCGGTCAATTTAGTCAAGTATCAAAATGTTAAAACAATCTTAAATTCATAGCTGTGACACGCAAATACATAAATTGATAATTAGTAAACCACACAAGCCCAAAATCAATCAAAAAACTTTAAAAAGCATGTACTTTCTGTTGAATAGCAAGAAAAGATTTTGTGACAGAAGATTTATGACATTTGATTTCCTGACACAAATAAAGCTAGAAACCTTAGCTACAACCGTAATGGCTGTGTTTACATTTGCAATTTACTTTTTCAAAAGTTTTCTGTTTCTTTTAAACATAATAAGTTATATTTTACAAAATAATGCATGTCGTCAATATTATTTGATTGTGTTAGAAAAAAATTATTTGATTGTGTTAGAAAAAAATTGTTGCTAGTAATTGATTGGAAAGTAAAACTTCATTAGTGTTATATGCATTGGTGGTAATTTTGATCAGCCTACCTCCAAGGTCAAGGTCACGCTTAACATAGTCTGTTACAGGGTATAATTTGTATTAGGTCCAGAACTTTTTCATAGATCAAAGGATTTTTAAATAACTTGGCATAATTGTTCACAATGATAAGATGACATGTCATGCAAAACACCCGGATCCCTACCTCCAAGGTCAAGGTCACACTTTGAGATCATTGCTTTATATGATCTGTTATAGGGTATTTTGTGTATTAGGTCCATAATTTTTTCATCAAGGGATTTTAAAAGTACTCTTTACAAATGTTCACAATAATAAGACATCGTGACATGCGCAACTGAAAGTCCATATCTATACCTCAATCTTATGAAATAGCACAATTTGGTGCTTCATGTAAAGTGGGAGACATTGGTCACTCGTTTATATAAAATCGTTCTCTGAAATGATGTGAAGTATTTGTTTTGTGACATGCTGAATTCAAAATTAGTATACATGTATGTGATTTTAATGTACAATGTAGTGTGTTGATTTTTTTTTCCTTAAAAAAAATCAAACTAAAGCAAAACATTATATGAATTTAAATACATCTAAATTGAATTGTAGAATTATTTAAAATACAATGCATGTAGACATATTAGCTAATGAATTTACATGTGAAAGCATCAAGGCATCTTGTGGCGAGTGTCCGTGAAATCCTGGCGTGGGTCTCCTGTTTGCAACAAAAGTACTCATGTTTTTCTTTTTTTCAAGACCTAGTAAGAGCAATCATACAAAAAGTGATGGGTTCGCATGTCCAGTATTGTAAGTTACCCCTGTAAGGTAAATCATATGCAGCCTATCTGTACACATTGTATTTACACAAGCACTTTATTTTCTGTTCTTTAGTGGCAACTATGACAATAGTTATGAGAGGTAGCCCTGCTGGTGGTGATACCAGTCAGGAGGCTCAGCAACCAGGGGGTACAACTCCTGTTGCAGCACCAGCAGCACCAGCCACAACACCACAACCAGTACCACCTACCCAGCAATCTGGCCCTTCACCACAGGGTGAAGAGAACGGACAAGGGGATGTTAACATGGAACCAGGGGAGGATGGGGAACCAGACTTCCCAATCCAGGAACTGACCCGTCTGGATGAAATGATTAATAGACCCCGTTGGGTTGTGCCTGTACTACCAGGTGGCGAGCTTGAACTCTTGCTTAATGCAAGTATAAAGCTTTGTAGAGAAGGTAAATGTCAATGTGTTATATATCATTGATTTTAAAATCATTATTTATTTATTTCATTTGCATGATTCATAGTAGCTCAACTTGAATGATGTTTTTAAATATTCCTGTCATATACAAACTTCACTTGACTTGTGTTAAGTTTACAGTCATGATTTATCATGTTTAAGTACTATACAATGTTTTTACTTCCTTAAAGAGGATCTGTATTTTTAATTACTTGAAAAAAAAAAGATCATTGAATCATTGTGTATGTTAAACCTTTTTAAATCTACAAGTGTCTGGGTTGTTCCTTAGGGCAAGATTTTAAAGATCAAAACTGATGAAAGATGAAAACTTGCCTTGTTTGTTTTTCTGATTTTATTGTATTCTTTTTCTGGATGTTTTACAGGACTTGACACAAGGAGCGAGGCTTGCCAGAGATTTTTCAGGGAAGGTTTAACAGTTTCCTTCTCTAAGATCATGACAGATGAAGCAGTCAGTGGCTGGAAATATGAAATCCATGTATGTTAAACAGACTTTGCTACACTTCTCTTGAATAGGAAATCAGTAGAACTTTATAACCAATATGGTCCAATTTCAAATGAAACTTCAGTACAAAAAACCCACTATATCTCTGTACTTTCAAGAGTTACACATTTTAAAACAACTTAAAATTGTCATAAAATTCTGTATGGTGGTTATAGTTTTTATGTCTTTTTTTCTTTCCATTTCAAAGCCAAAATTAGGCATTATTTTCCATAAACAAATGGTATGTATTTCTGAGTACCTTTAACACAATAACCCTACAATAAAAGATATGTAAATGTATAAACATGTTCTAAGTGATTCTTCAGTACATATGAAGACTATTTTGAAATATTAGAGCACAGGGTACTTTTGCATTTTAAATATTTTTCTGAAGTATTATTTGGTAGTCAAAGATTATCTCTTGCTTTCTTGTATTGTTTCTAAAAGTGTTCGTTCTTGAAACATGTGTAATATTTTGTTCCAATTCATATGACAGGTATTTTGATGATACTTACATAATACTACATTTTATAAGTTTGAAAATTTATACAAATGTAAATATATAATGTTTATTGTAGTAAAAAATAATCTGTTTATTTTGTAAAAAAAAAAATCTGTGTATTTTTTTATGTTAATCATATTGCATATTGTAGAAATGCATATTGAACAATGCTGCCAAGCTAGTAGAGTTATGTGTGGTGAAGTTATCACAAGACTGGTTCCCTTTATTAGATTTGCTTTCAATGATATTTCATCCACAGTGCAAGTAAGTCACAGTCAACCTTTACAATTCTAAAACTTTTTTCACAGACTGGTATTGCTTTTATATTGTAATTGCATTTTTAGCTCACCTGTCACAAAGTGACAGGGTGCAGTGGCGGATTCAGGCCTGGGCTTCAGGGCTGCAGCCCCCCCAGCTCTGCCCAAAGATACGTTTACCAGCTGGGCTGGAATATATTTTTGGCAGTTTCATAGTTAATTGGCTGCAGTGTACCCCCTTATCAAAACATTTATTGCTGTCATCCAGTTGTTAATCTCCTGCCTGGGGGCTTGGCAGAGATCTTTATCTATCAACATGCTTGGATGACTTCAGTGCATAATTGATTGGTTTATAACTTTCCAAAGGACTAATGAAAATAATAGTCACAAATAGTGGCAAATAGATGTTTTACATAGTACACCTTATTTAACAATCTTTGTTTTTCTATTTTCTTTGGGAAAGCCCTATAATTAAGAAATTGAAAATTATGATTTGAAAATTAAAAAGGTGGCGAGTTTAAAAGAAAAGATAATATTAAAGGAATCACATTTAAATAACTAGTATTACTAAGATTTTTATTAAGATGAAAAGACTGGTCATTTGCTTTTAATTAATTTTTATGGCAGTTATATATTTTAAATGAAATTTAAATTAGTACTGACCTCTTTTGTCATAATCTAAAATGGATTCATTGATGGAAAGCATTCTTATTGAATATAAATGTTTGTAATCTTTTTTGTACATTAGAAAGGCAGTAATTTAATAACAATTTATTTAGGAAAATCGTCTTTTATTCAGATCAGTAAATTGATCAAGTGTTTGAAAATTATTTTTATCAACGGTCGCACATATATTGGTAAGTGTGCTGTTATTTTGTAAATGCTTACTACTAAACACCAGGGAATGCTATTTGAAAGACGCTGCAAACACTAACCTATACAAATTACCATGTGATGTTTAACCATCCAAAAGGTACAATAAACAGCACTAGAAAGTCAAGGAAATAACACCATTTTCAACCTCATATTTCAAAATTTTCTCAGTCTATGGGAGGGGACACCCCTCCCAGACCCACCCCAATTACAAATATTTTTCTTAATTCCATATCATCTAAATATTTACAAAAACATTAGTTGCAAAGTACATTGCCACTCATAAGATGAGCTATAAAACACATCAAGTACATTTTTTGTCACATGAACAAGATGCTGGCACAAATTCGCCTGTTGCATTATTTTTGTTAAAATCTACCACTCATATGTCAGCCCCCCAGGAAACCATGTTCTGTATCCGCCCCTGGGGTGAGCTTTTGTGATCGCTTTTCGTCCGTCGTCCGTCCGTCCGTAAACTTTTACTTTAAATGACATCTCCTCATAAACCACTAAGCCAATTTCATCCAAACTTCACAGGAATGTTCCTTTGGTGGTCACCTTTAAAAATTGTTCAAAGAATTTAATTCCATGCAGAACTCTGGTTGCCATGGCAACCGAAGGAAAAAACTTTAAATATCTTCTTTTAAAAAACCATAAAAGCTAGAGCTTAGATATTTGGCATGAAACATCTTCTAGTGAGTGTCTACCAAGTTTGTTCAAATGAAAGCCCTGGGGTCAAAATTGGCCCCGCCCCGGGGGGTCATTGATTTTCCCTATATGCATATAGTAAAAACTTAAAAAATCTTCTTTTAAAGAACCCAAAGAGCTAGAGCTAAGATATTTAGCATGAAACATGTTCTAATGGGTGTCTACAAGTTTGTTCAAATAAAAGCCCTGGGGTCAAAATTGGCCCCGCCCCGGGGGGTCATTGATTTTCCCTATATGCATATAGTAAAAACTTAAAAAATCTTCTTTTAAAGAACTCAAAGAGCTATGGCTAAGATATTGAGCATCAAACATGTTCTAATAGGTGTCTACCAAGTTTGTTCCAATAAAAGCCCTGGGGTCAAAATTGGCCCCGCCCCAGGGGGTCATTGATTTTCCCTATATGCATATAGTAAAAACTTAAAAAATCTTCTTTTAAAGAACCAAAAGAGTTAGAGCTAAGAATATTTAGCATGAAACATGTTCTAATAAGTGTCTACCAAGTTTGTTCCAATAAAAGCCCTGGGGTCAAAGTTGACCCTGCCCCAGGGGTCATTGATTTTCCCTATATGCATATAGTAAAAACTTAAAAAATCTTCTTTTAAAGAACTCAAAGAGCTATGGCTAAGATATTTAGCATCAAACATGTTCTAATAGGTGTCTACCAAGTTTGTTCAATTAAAAGCCCTGGGGTCAAAATTGGCACCGCCCCGGGGGTCATTGATTTTCCTTATATGTGTATATAGCAAAAACTTAAAAATCTTCTTTGAAAAAACCAAATAGCTAGAGTTAAGATATTAAGCATGAAACATCTTTTAGTGAGTGTCTCACAAAGTTTGTTCAAATAAAAGACCTGGGGTCAAAATTGGCCCCGCCGGGGGGTCATTGATTTTCTTTATATGTGTATAGCAAAAACTTAAAATCTTCTTTGAAAAAACCCAAATAGCTAGAGTTTAGATATTAAGCATGAAACATCTTCTAGTAAGTGTCTACAAAGTTTGTTCTAATAAAAGCCCTGGGGTCAAAACTGGCCCGGCCCCAGGGGTGTCATTGTTTTTAACTATATGTGTATAGTAAAAACTTAAAAAAAAATCTTCTTTTAAAAAGCCCAATGAGCTAGAGCTTAGATGTTTAGCATGAAACATCTTCTTATGGGTGTCCACCAAGTTTGTGCAAATAAAAGCCTTGATGGGGGGGGGGGGCCTATATACAGGTGAGCGACCTCAGGGCCATCATGGCCCTCTTGTTATTCTTAATAAATGTTTTAAAATCCAAATCTTATTTTTGGCAGCCTAAAGTGATAGTTTTTTCAGACAGTAATGGTTCTATATCTTGGCTGAGATAAGGTAGAAATTTTCTATAACCAGTCCAAGTATTTGCATGTTTGCAATGATGAGTCCAATACCAAAAGTATTGAGTTTCCAAAGTTGCTTTTAAAAAATGTTTAGTTACATACAATTTTAAGTAAAAATTAATTAGCAAAGAGCTATTTTTTTAAAAAAAAGAATTTGGATTCTATTGTGTTTACTGGTATCAAGCAAAGAAACTACGATATTGATATACATGTATCATACTACATGTATATAGTTTTTGTGTGTATATTAAAGGTTTCATACTTACAATGGAACACGTACCTCGGAGACGGTCCAGCTGGTGCAACAATTGCGGATGATGCCCTTTTTGCCAGACCTCCTGATCCTAGAACTCCAAGGGTATGTTAAATTATTTTTGCCTGAAAATGGTGTATTTCCCATATGCTGTTATCTTTCACTTTTAGATAATTAACAATATTGAAATTGCTTTCAATTAAGATTCGGTATAGCTTTAAATAATTTTATCAGTTTACTGAAAAATAATTGAAATCTAACAACAACTTTGTTACTTTCATGTGTGAATTACTTTTATTGTTAGGAATTTTATTTGACAAAATAACATTGCACTGTGTTTGAGTAGTTATTGTGAATGTTGTTGATTTTTCAGGGTTGGTTGGTAGATCTAGTGAATAAATTGGCAGTTTAGATGGCTTTCAGATTCTACTGGACAGATTTGCCAACAGTTCAACATTATCAGTACCAGTTATTGCTGCCCTTGTCAAGTAGGTTATCACTTAGGTTTTCCTTTCTCACTTTCTCAATGTGGCTTCCTTAATGGAACATAAGATGAAAAGTTTAATATATTGTTTCTCACTTTCAATTTACAAATTTTATCAATGTGTTTCAATAATTTTTCATTTGTGAAGACTCATGTTTTCCGAATATATCTGAATTAATGACTAAATAATTTCACAGTTGATTGGACACAGACACTTTCCAACCAGAGTGAAAACACTGCTTAAATTAGTTCTACTTGGTTGTCTTCGTGTGCTTTGAATATTGCTTAAAGTTTTACCGGAGTCCTTCCCTGATAGTTAAACTGGTATCCTGTTATTATATACTAGTAATGTTGGAAGTTATAAAACCTAATGGGAAAAAAAAGAGTATTAGGGAAGCAAAACGTTTTCTTCATTGTTGTTACTGTATTACATGGGCTGTTTAATTTGTGATGTATAGAACCTTGTGGGTAATTTGTAACAGTTTGTATTTAGAAATTAGAAATATTTTGTTATCAATGTATCAGATTTTATAATATGGCATGTTGATAAGATCAAATTTCATTGATTAATTGTGAAGTTATTGTAATCTATATATGCAGCTGCTGTAAGTTTATGCATTTATTTTCATTTTTCTTGAAAAAGGAATTGTGCAGTTATAAAGATTTTTGACATGCTTTATGGTTTTGATTATTTGCTTACAACAACTTACAAACGTTAATACTTGGCCATACATGTATAATAACCCATCAAGGAAAAATGTTTTCTTAACAACTGATATATGGTATATTTATAAGAAATAGTATATAGTGTAGAATGGTGTTATTTTGATACATATTTTTACAGGCCATTTGGATTGTGTGCTGAAGTTCTACTCCTCATACTGTACAGAATACTTTATGCCAATAGTGGTGATTCTTTTTCTATAAAACACATTTTAAAACTCTGCTGAGTAGTTTAGGTCAACAGAGTTTTATATTATTTGCCCCTCGCCGCAGTGTTTGAATCCTGTTAGGGACTTGAGCTTCTTTCATGTGAGGAAGCTATCCAGCTACTTTACAGAAGGTTGTTGGTTTTACTCGGGTGCCTGCTTGTGTCTAAATAGAGGCATCAAAGGGTTCTTCTGCCAGATAACCTGATAATTTAGATGACCATTACAGTGTTGGTATGGACTTAATTCCAACATTACATAAGATCTTAAAGTGCTTGCACAGAAATATCATAGAGAATCGTTCTTATAATTGTACTATCCTGCTTATTCAAGATTTAGATATTCAGAATTGGAAATGTAATGGAATATTCAAATTGACCATCAGCCTACCTTTGTATTGGATTTAAATAAGATATTTATGTTACTTATTTAATGAGAGATATTTGTTACCTTTTATATCCTACATTTTCATATATTCTGTATTTTGTTTGCAGGATATTGTTCCAAAGTTTTTAGATGGACTAACAGATGAAGAGTTAAAGAAAGAATCTAAGACAGAAGCCAAGAATGATGCACTATCATCTATAATCAAAGCATTGAAAACAGCTAGTATCGTCTTCCTAATCAGGAAGATACAATCAAAAGTTTAGAGATTTTTAGACTTTAAAATGATTCTCAGGTCAGTTTTTTCCTTTAATTTATTTTGAAAAATAAATGAATAAGGTACAAAATTTGTTTAGCTGTATTTTTCTAGAACTATATAAAAGCCGTGTGATTAAACCAAAGAGCTCTTTGTATGCCTTTTAATACAGTCATTACAATAATGTATATCAAAACCACTTATAGACAGTCCTAATGATCAATATCATAATTGAGCCATGCCATGACAAAACCAACATAATGGGTTTGCGACCAGCATGGATCCTGACCAGCCTGCGCATCCGGGCGGTCTGATCAGGATCCATGCTGTTCGCTATCAGTTTCTCTACTTTTTAGCTCGACTATTCGATAAGAATAAGTAGAGCTATTGTAGTCACCCGAGCGTCGGCGTCTGCGTCGGCGTAACCACTTATGTTAAAGTTTTTGTAATAGTTTTAATATTTTCAAAGTCCATTGACATATGGCTTTGAAACTTTGCACACTTGTTCACCATCATTACCCCAACCTGTAAACAGGAGGAGGTAACTCTATCAAGCATTTTGACAGAATTATGCCCCTTTTTCGACTTAGAATTTATGTTAAAGTTTTTGTAATAGTTCAAATATTTTCAAAGTCCATTGACATATGGCTTTGAAACTTTGCACACTTGTTCACCATCATTACCCAACCTGTAAACAGGAGGAGGTAACTGTATCAAGCATTTTGACAGAATTATGCCCTTTTTTCGACTTAGAATTTACTTACGTTAAAGTTTTTGTAATAGTTCAAATATTTTCAAAGTCCATTGACATATAGCTTTGAAACTTTGCACACTTGTTCACCATCATTACCCCAACCTGTAAACAGGAGGAGGTAACTGTATCAAGCATTTTGACAGAATTATGCCCCTTTTTCGACTTAGAATTTACGTTAAAGTTTTTGTAATAGTTCAAATATTTTCAAAGTCCATTGACATATGGCTTTGAAACTTTGCACACTTGTTCACCATCATTACCCCAACCTGTAAACAGGAGGAGGTAACTGTATCAAGCATTTTGACAGAATTATGCCCCTTTTTCGACTTAGAATTTACGTTAAAGTTTTGTATTAGTTCAAATATTTTCAAAGTCCATTGACATATGGCTTTGAAACTTTGCACACTTGTTCACCATCATTACCCCAACCTGTAAACAGGAGGAGGTAACTGTATCAAGCATTTTTTTTACTATCAAGCACTGAGAATAGTCGAGCGTTGCTGTCCTACCGACAGCTCTTGTTATAGAGTATGTAAGCGAATAGCATGGATCCTGATGCGCAGGCTGGTCTGGATCCATGCTGGTCGCAAACCCATTATGTTGGTTTTGTCATGGCATGGCTCATATGTTTGTTGTAGTATGATTGTAGTTTGTTGTATGTATGATGGTATTTATGTTTTAGTTACTTATTTACTTGGGCTGACATTGACTCATAGTTTATAGTTACAGAGTTACTCGAATAGTTGAAATAGTTTTTCGTAACACGGCTGTCCAACAAGTTTATGGAAGGCTGCAGTTCTACTAGGTTGCCAGAGATTGCATAACACAATCCACCTAGATTGATATTGATGTTACTATTTTTGTCACACTAAAAATCCAGAATGTAGTAAAATCATTTTATAATGTTTTTATTTCAGATTATTACAGATATCATCATTCAATGGTAAGATGAATGCCCTGAATGAGGTTAATAAAGTGATAGCCAATGTGTCATTTCACTCAAGTAGACATTCACAGTCAGAGGATGATGAATGGCTCACAGCTGATAAAATGGCTGTAAGTTTTTATATATTTCTTTTATGATTTTGTAGAATAAAAGCTATTTTGGTGAAATATTATAAGATTTTCAGTCTTTTTTCGTTTGCATTTTATCTCATCCACTGTTTCACACCAAATAACATTCAGTGCTTTTTAGGGTCGATTTAGGGTATGTCCCATTCCCTCCTCAAAAAGATAATATTTTTCCCCTCAAAAAATTTACTTGTTTTCCCCACTCCATGTGACAGCTCTTGTCTTTCTAGAGGTCTGCATATATATATATTTTGAATCCTTGCATTTCCATTTCTCAGATTTAGATCTTTCAATATTTTATTTTTGTATATATAGGAATGGATACAGGAGAATGATGTATTATCTATTGTGTTGAGAGACAGTTTACACCAGCCGCAGTATGTGGAGAAGTTGGAGAAGATATTACGATTCATGATCAAAGAGAAAGCACTGTCGTTACAGAATCTCGATAAACTATGGGAGGCTCAGGTATGTTTACTTGTCTAAGTTAATCAAGCTCATCAGAGATATTGTAGTGTTTAATCATCTTAAACATATTGGCAATTAAAATCTGTACTGCTTTGTTTTGTATTAAATCTATTTTTGCAACAATTCCATAGGAATTGCCTGAACACAGACAATTCAACTTGATATTGTCTAAGTAAAATTGGCCAAAAATTTTAGATATATGTAATAGTGCATAACAAGGGTGTCCATGTTCTTGATTTACCAGTGAATACTAATAAGTCACATTGACCGCCTCCGTGGTCGAGGGGTTAGAGTCGATGACTTCTGATCCAGTTACCTCTCGGCATGGGTTCGATCCCCGGGAGATGCTTTGGTAGTTTAGCACGGAGGAAGGTAGTCTAGTACTGGTGTAACTCTCCAGGAATGATGGTTAGGAAACTACCCCCCTACATGACTGAAATACTGTTGGGAAATGGCGTAAAATGAAACAAAAAAACAAAATCACATTGTTATCTTGACAACAAAAATCAAACAAAAGATAAGAGGTGCAGGAATCATTGTTATATTAAAGCATCATGGGATATTTAAACTCATAATGGGTGTAAAAAGATTTCTGGGTGTAACTCTGAATGTAATTTGTAAATTATTAATTCAATTATTCACTTCATGTATATTTTACAGTCAGGAAAGCATGATGCTATTGTAAAGAATGTACATGACTTGTTGGCTAAGTTAGCGTGGGATTTCTCACCAGAACAACTTGACCATCTCTTCGAATGTTTCCAAGTGAGTAGAGCAAATTTTTTCATGCAAATCTTCATTTCATTACCTACACAACTGAAATGTACAATGTGTTCCTGTAATATGTCATAATCTAAGTAGAAACCTTGTATCCTAAAGAATGAATAAGTTTGGAATTAAATGTTTTTACATTTTGTCTGAAAATGTTATACCTGGAAAAACTGTCATGTAAGGTTTTTTGGGTTGAAATAATTGAAGTGAAACTTACAGTCTTGATCCACTTCTAAGATGGAAATGACTCAAAATCTCACTTATATTTTGTAACCAACATCAAATAATCTAGAGTAAACTAGCAGATTTCAAAATTTTATTTCTCTTGGTGTAGTTATTTGGCAGTCAATGATTTGCTTTGTAACAGATTTTCTGTAAATTTAGTTATATAGTCATAGTAAATCATTTCTGTTTTAAAATGCTTTAGAAATTCATTAAATTGCAAAGACATATTTACTTTTTCAAAAATAATTTCTTGGCAGGTGTTGTATATGTAATATATATTTTTATCACATAATACGCGGCGCAGGAGTGTAATAAAGCCATTTAATAAAAACGATATTACACTAGTGTAATAACACTTTGACGTGACGTCATTTGCGCTATATATATACATAGCGTCAAAGCGCGCTAATGTTAGCGTTACACTACAAGCGCGTCATTTAAAAATTACTCATTTTAACAGTTTTCTGTTCTTATTTTATATATGTGATAAATAGAATATTATATTCGTGTAGATTCAATACTAAATTTATTAAACTCGTTGAATAAAACAATATTATGCTCGCCAGAGGCTCGCATAATATGATTTTATTCAACTCGTTTAATATATTTAGTATTAAACTACACTCATTCAATATCCTCTATAAGTTTATAACTTCCTATCCATGTTATGTTTATTTATGTTTGCTCTGTTACCAGGTGAGCTGGGCTAATGCATCCAAGAAACAGAGGGAGAAGTTACTTGAGCTGATCCGCAGGCTTGCTGAAGATGACAAAGAGGGTATCATGGCTCATAAGGTATTTTATTTTCATAATGCTTGTAGGATTTAACACCCATATCATATCTTTTACAGTCTTGTTAAAGAAATTAACACATGTATATACTATTTTTCATTGCATAAGCTATCAATCTAGGTTGTAGGGATTCAACTTCAGTTCACTGAGGTCCCCTATGCATAAAGTTTAACTTGTTGTATAACTATAACAGTGTTGGTGTAACTTTAAAGCCCAGCATACAAGACAGATAATGTTTTTATGATCTGTATATTTCAGGTATTGGGTTTACTATGGAATCTAGCTCATAGTGAAGATGTTCCTACAGATATCATGGACCAGGCTCTCTCAGCACATATCAAAATCCTAGACTACAGCTGCAGTCAGGTTGTAAATTTTATTGTGATATCAAACTCTATTTATACATTTGAACTTTCTATTTATACATTTGGCTAAGTGGTAGTAATTATTCTCCCAATTTATTCAGTATAATTTGTATACATTATGCATTTGTCAAGACATTGAATCTTATGGTCATTTGTCTCTCGCGGCTGATTCAGAAGTCATGTGTGATTTATAGTTAGTCACTTTTGAAGAAATTGGAATAAATTATCCTGGAAAGTCGGCTGGGTGAAATGAACACTAGATGTCATACTGTGACCAAAAATTGTGTTAAATTGGCATTAAAAAACAAAAAACAATAACAGAAAAATAAAATTAACAAATAAATGGACCTTACTCTGCAAATAAAAATCTAGATAAAATTTATTTACTTTTCTTCAATAACCTTAAAAGGAACAATAATATTTTACAAATATATAAAGAAGAAATGTTTAAAATGTTAAAATTTTAGCAGGACCGTGATGCACAAAAGATGAGCTGGATAACGAAGTTTGTAGATGAAATAAAGAATGACAAGTGGGTATTGCCAGCTCTTAAACAGATACGAGAAATCTGCCAGCTGTTCCCAGAGGTATGATGAAATTTTTTTTAAATATTTTCCCCCCTTTTTTGCAAGATTTTATGTGTTTTGAGTTTATTAAGTCAAGTTAATTAGGATTAATTTGTGTAAGCTTTGATAATTAAGAGAATGGAATGTAATTAACATATAAAATAAGCAGATTGATGCAACTCTTAAGATATTTAGAATTTTTTTAATATTTTCTGAATAATTTTTTGCAGGCACCTCAGAATTTTCCACATGTCCCAAACAGAGTGAGTCATGTGTACTATAGAAACTCTGTGATTAGTGTTCTCCAGTCTAACCATGCCATTGTCATGGCTGTAGCACAAAATCTCTCTGCATATATGACAAAAGCAAGGAATTACTTTAAAGGTAACTATTTTTGTATTTTAGTGCACTATATCATAGTATTTAAGTACATGTATATATGGAGGTTCATGGAAGTTCAGTGACTTAGTTGACACAGTAGTCAATAACTGTGATGCTGTATTTTCATGTTATATTTATTTTGCTGTTCTTTGCATACCTTAGCTAAATTTGTCACAAGTTTCCAGGTCTATTGGTGGAGGAAGCCTCTGTAAAGTAGTAAAATGCTAACTTGCATGCTACTCAGAAACTAACGGTCAAACTTAATTAACTCTGAAGTTTACACACACAAAATTTTCCAAATGGTGTTTGCTTACCTGTGTCAGCATTTTTAATGCCGTTTGCCGTTTCAAATTTTTGTTTTAGAGAAATTAGCATTTATTTGCTGGATAACAGGTAAATATTAAAAACAGATCAAGGAACATTTCTCCGGTAACTGCCCTCCTAATAGGTAGAACTTGTGTTAAACTCAAGAACATACTTAAAGGGTATTAACTATGTTAAAGTTGTATGTTTATGTTTTAGTATTTAATTTGCATTTTTACATTGAAAAATGATTTTTCTTCAGATCATCCAAATGTAGATCCAGCAAACATTTTACCTGATGGAAGGTTTAATCATATAGTCCAAGTTCAGGAACGCTTAAGATTTTTGAGGTAATTGCATTTGATAATTGTATTATATTGATATTTTTTTCTGAACCTTTAAAGCATGATACATTAACATTCTGATCTGTTTGATTAGTAAGATTATCAGTAACATTTTCAAAACAAGAATTTCTTATATTTCGAAGTATCCAACATGCATAAATCACCAACCAGTACAGAACATTCCACCAGAGTATGCTATTTGCATTACTAGCCAGTGTCGATACCAGCAGATATCTGCATCTTGCACAGAATATTTATCTATTTCATTAAAGATCTACATTCTTTTATCATCTTAAAAAAAGTAAAATTTTGTGTATGATCAATATGCTGAAAACATTGGCCTATACGCTCATATAGAAGAGAGCTGTAAGACTTGGATTTGTTTGTGAATTTGTGAGCAATATAATTTTTAGTTTAATGTTGTTCATCAGATACAGCTTTTGTTTATAAATTGCCAGTTAATTGTTAGAAAAATTAGTTGATGCTGAAATATCCTGGGAAATATATGTATAGAGTATTGTCTATATAATTCCAGATTTCTGTTGAAAGATGGACAGTTGTGGTTATGTGAATCTCAGGCCAGACAAGTAAGTACCTCTTATATTTATAGATTGTTCTAGAGGAATGAAGCCTCTATAAAGTTATAATTCTAAGTAAATTCATTATTTTAGGCAGACAATTGAAGACTCTGTTGCCAGTTTTAGTTAAGCACCCATCACATCTTTTAGTTTATTATCATGCCAGAGAAGCAAATGAAGTCATTCATTTAGCTTTATGCTAAGTCAGTCAAGCAATAAATTGTTATTATTTCATAGGTTTTATTAAGTCTTTAACAACTAAGAAAGATATATGTTTTAAGGTTGATCTTGCCCATGTATTGTTGTAGTTGACTTGGATTACTTTTTAAAACTTATATACACATCTGTAGTGTCAGCCTAAAGCTGTAAAGTGTTTGCCTGGTAAAATTTGAAAGGCAACATTTGTCATCCATGGCTTGGGCATATCAAGGACCATTATTTAAGTGGTATAATTACTTGGGGCATATTGAACTTGTTAGGTTATTGCCAGTTTAACTTAAGAGTTCAATATCATGTATATATGTTTTCAGTATCATTTTCAGTGAATTAATTAGGGGAAAATGTTTGCATTGTAGTAATGTTAAATCCATAACCTGTTCAAACTTTTAGGGACTTCAAATATAAAATGCAAAAATTGAGTGACCAACAGTATAGAGCCTGTTTAGATTGCATGTACACACAGGCCATCTGACTATACTGGTGTCAAGGCTAAACATTTGGTACCAGCAGGTTAAATGCTTAATAAACAATGCAGCCAGTACAACTGAAAGATGGTTGTAAGAATTGCAAAATTCAAGCACTCATTAATGTATTTTAATAACAATTTCAGATATGGCATTGTTTAGCAGAATCTGCAATATATGCTACAGACAGAGAAGCTTGCTTTAAATGGTTTGCAAAGGTAAGAACTTAGTAATCTAGCAACAGCTTTTTATAATTTCATTACAAGAATAAATTATATGACTTTTTATGCTTCCTAACTTACAGCCTTTTGATGTTTTTGCATTTGTCATTCTTGTTTGGACTGTGTATGTATTTATTCTAGACTTAATGAGGGTCCATCCGCCCTTTAGACACTGAGATTATGAACCCCAGACATGTCCCCATTCATGTCCTTAAAGGTTATAAAAAGTGACCATTCAATTTTGAATATGAAACTCTGTACTATCGTAACAATTTGATTTAACTAAAACTGCCCAGGATGCATTTCTGTTAGGAGATGTTAGTATAGTGTTTGGGTTTTAATACAAAAAATTCCATATCATAAGGACTGTATAATTTGTTTAATTAGTATTACAGATAAATGCTAGTCTATTTTTCAGCCACACTTGGTAGTTTCAAATAGTAAAGTTTTTTATGATTAGATATATAAAATTTAATGTTTCATTTTGTATATATTGTAGTATTTTTGTTTATAACTACAGTTGATGGGAGAAGAACCAGATTTAGATCCAGAAATCACTCGTGAATTCTTTGAGAAGAATATTTTACAGTTTGACGCCACTTTACTGTCAGAAAATGGAATGAAGTAAGATTGAATAACTAGTCACTCTTATAACTATCAGTGTTGTAGGATGTTACATGTTATAATATGTGCAGCGTTTGTAAAGAAGTAATATTTCAGTATCTGTCTGTCTGATGTGAAGATTTGTAAATAGCCTCTTTTGTCTAGTAGACTATCATAATTTATTAGTCAAGAAGAAAAAATATGATAGCTCATGAGTAAAAGGTGTCATTACACAATAAAACATTTCAACTTATTCTTGTGACAAACCTTGCAGACTGTCGAATATTGTATGGTAAGAAACCAATTATTGTCATGAAAAGAGATTTATTACATACTTCGACGAAGCTTTCCTTTTAAGAAGGTCAAAGGTTCTGCTCAGTTGCTTGCTGGATTAAAATATTTCTAGTAGTTGAATCTTTGGGTCCATATAATGCTATGAAAATTCTGTGGAGTAACTATCAAGTTTGTTAAGAAAGACAAGTAGATAGTAAGCCACTTCAAAAAGTAAGGACGGGAAAATTTATTTTGTCAAGTGTTAGTTGGGAAGTTAATGATGTTGCCTTATTACAAACAATGAATAGCTACTTTATGAAATTGGGATAAACAGTTGCAGCATAATTATATTGTCAATCGAAAAATGTTTCTTTTAATATTATATTATATACTGATCTCCTGATTTTCAGTTGCTTTGAGAGATTTTTCAAGCATGTAAACTTAAAGGAGAACAAGCTGATTCAGAAAAGAAGGGGAGGTTATATGATGGAAGATCTAGAACTTGTTGGCTATGATTATCTCTGGAGGGTATGTTCACTAATGTTACAATGTATTATAAATACTGTACACTGTAGTTAAAAGTTAGTTTTTAGCTCGACTTTTCTATGAAAAGGGGAGCTATCCTACTCGCCCCGGCGTCGGCGTCACACCTTGGTTAAGTTTTTCGTACCACCCCACTTTATTTCAGAAGTATTACAAGTATGGCTTTGAAACTTACCATACTTGTTCACCATCATAACCTCCATCTACAGACAAGAGTACATAACTCTGTCAAGGTTTTTGACAGAATTATGGCCCTTTTTTGACTTAGAAAGTGTATTGAGCTTGGTTAAGTTTTTTGTACCCCCTCACTTTATTTCAAAACCATTGGAGGTATTGCTTTGAAACTGACCATACTTGTTTACCATCACGACCTTCATCAACAGACAAGAGGACATAACTCTGTCAAGGTTTTTGACAGAATTATGCCCCTTTTTGACTTAGAAAATACATTGAATATGGGTAAAATCCACTTATTGCCTTAACCCTTTGAGATATTGCTTTGAAACTTTTAATGCTATTTCACATCATTACCCCCATCTGTACGCAAGAGAAGGTAACTCTGTCAAGGATTTGTTTTAAAAATTAAGGCCTTTTATCGACTTAGAATCTTGGTTAAGTTTTTAGTACCAGTCCACTTTTTGACTGAACTGTTTGAGATATTAATTTGAAAGTTGGAATACTTGTTTACAATCATGATTCCCAAACATGTCCAGGAGAAGGTAATTCTGTCAAAGATTTTATTTGAATTATGGCCCTTAACTGTCAATGTTTTGTATTATAGGCAAGCACTTTCTTACCAGCCCTCTTTTGACTTAAACATTTCAAACTTTGCTGCAGTGTTCAAGGGTATCACACAATTCAGTAAAATAATTCTTCACTAAATATCTTAATGCTCATGGCCATTGTTCACTTTAAAAATACAGAGATTCTTGTATTGCCTTTTACTGCAAAAACTTTTTTTATTGGCAAGCAATAAAAAAGTCGAGCGCGCTGTCTTACGGACAGCTCTTGTAATGTTTTGTTGTTTAAAACTTTACTTTTTACTCAAGTGGAGTTTTTACTCAAGTTGAGTTGTTAAATTATGAGTATCATACTTTTTAGGACAACAATATTTTGGATTTTGAATTTTCTTGCTGTAATAGGATATTTATATTAGCATAATTGCATAGTAATTGTACGGGAGTTTGGTGGGTAGCCAACAGCTTTAAAACCATTCAAATAGTCATGTGCTTTTATTGAAGGATATTATTGATACTGCAATAAAAACAAAATATTGGGATAATAATGTTAATGTAATATTGGATTCATTATATGTAACTTATATTGCATTAATGATATGATACTCATATTGGATTCCTAATATGATACTTATGTTAGATATGACATTAATATTGGATTTTTTGTTGATACTTATTATTGGATTCATTATATGATAGTAATATTAGATTTTTGATATTATGGTTATATTGAATTCATGAAATGATGGTAAACTGTATTCATTATATGTTAGAAATATTTGATTTATGATACTATAGTTTTATTGGATTCATTATGTAATACAGGTTGTGATGTTAGCACCAGAAGATGTAGCAGAGAAAGCTATAGTTCTGTTAAAGGACACATTTACAAACCTTGGTCCACGTCTACAACAAAGTCAAATAGAAATCCATGAAGACTTCATACAAACTACCATGGATAGACTGAAGGTTTGTATCTATTACGTGTTTTCTGTTGTGTTCCATATCCGACATTATTTAAAAATGGCAAAATTCTAGTTTAAACTCGTCCTCGACTGCCTTTTTTTCTGAGTAAAGTATTGTTGCAAATATGTATGAAAGTCTATTAATTTCCATCAGCATGTCAACACATGAATTTATACAGGATTGTTAAAATCAAGACAAGTTTAACTCTTGATCTGCTTTATGATTGAGATAAGATAAACTCATTGTGTTATTTGTTTTATGACTTCAGGCATTGTTTGACACAGTGTCAATACTAGAGGAGGATAAAGAATCTACAAAGAGTATGATGCAGGAGACAACACGTATGATACGTGTACTCACTGTACTGAAGGAGTATGTTAATGAATGTGATGAACTGTTTGGTGAGGAGAGATCTATACTCCCTCTCAGCAGGTATGTTGTCTACTGTGTCAATCAACTGGCTCTATACCTTTAATAAAACATCTTACAAATTCTTCAAGAAATGTGTTAATATTTCATTCTTTTTCAGAAAGTATAAGACGGGGATTACTTTTGTTCCTTGTTCTGTAACATCCAAGTGTCAAAATGCAATAAACATACCTAGGTTCTAACACTTAATCTGCTGAATTTGTGTAATGGATTTTCCCTGCTTTAAATTTGAGGCAGTCCATTGAAAGTTTAAGAGATGCAACAGTTAAGCCACCAAGAGAAACGAGTCTGGTCAGACTGTACTGGCGACAATCGCCATAACTTTTAGTTCCAGCTGGTTAATGGTGAAACCCTTTCTGAAAGACACTTAACTCTCAATCACTTGAGTTATACTGAAAGAAAAGTATTGACTTGATGATTATGGTACATGGCTGTTGTCTATGAGGAATTCAAGACTTCAGTACTACAGGGTTTCTTCATATAGAAAGTTCTCTTTTAACATTTTCATAATTATATATTGGGAGAAACAATTTTGATTCAATAAATATTACTGTTATTTTATTGACTATCATCATTCATAGTTTCCATTAATTTTAGCGTAAAATGTTGATAAATTATTTGTCTCTTTTTGTGTAATTTTAGGGCATGTCGTGGTAAACTAGTCACTTTAGTAGTTAGATTTCCTAATCAGGGCAGACAAGTAGATGATATAGAAATCTGGTCACATACTAATGAAACTATTGGTAAGTAAACATAAATGTGTACACAGTGTTACACATAGTAACATTGATAAATTATAGACTATTTTATTTGTAGAAGCTACCTAATAAGTCTTATGAAGGTCAGTGGTTTTACTCTAATGTTCCCTTGTACCTAATATAATGCACAGAAGGACAAAAAGTACTAAAAATATTGCACAGATGGACATGTTATGGTGACCTTTGCCAATAAAGTTTTCATATGGCTGTGACTTAAAATTTATTAAATTTTCCGTAGATCATAATTTATTTATTTTATTTTTTTTTGAAAACATCAGTATTGTGCAGCATCCATGAATATTTGATAGGCAACTGCTATAGAAAAGAAGAATATGTTTTCGAATTTGATATCAGGTAAAAGTTATAAAGATGTGCTGTTTGTTTTGTAGGTGCAGTCAGAAGACATATATTACATAGAGTGAAAGCTAACACTAATGTAAAAGTAGATCTATATGTAAATGGTGAAATCCTAGAACCAGGTGAAGATAAGCGACTGATATCTCAAATTCCTTTGAAGGATAAAATGGTAAACCTAGCATGTATTTCTTTTTTGTGATATCATTATAGAATTTGTAAAAGGTGATTTTGAAAATCAATTTTGCATAATACATGTATATGTTTTCTTCTATCAGTAGTGTTTGAAACTATGGAAAATGTTACAACTGTAGATTGATTTTGTTAAAAGTATTTGGAAATATTTATTTTCAGTTGATCACAGCAAAGTTGGTGCATGTTGGCAACTCGATGCCATCTAGTCCAGATTCAAGCTCAGATAGTTCAGGGGGATCCCCACATCATACATTTGATGGTCCAAATGTAGAGGCGGAAAATTGCCTCCCAGGCGTGGTTAGTAATAATTACTGATAAAATAGCATTAACATTTTAGGTCAATGGCAATTGTTCTGTCTGAATTTCTTTAGAAATTACTTGATCTTGTATTCCATGTAGGTTATAAAAGTAGCCACAATCAGCTCGCAGAGGAAATGAAATTCTTGTTTATTTAAAAAGGGGAGACAAACCAGAACATAAAAATCTTTTTGGGTGTCTTTAGTTGTAACTGTATTTTAATTAAATAGATTGTTTCTATTCTCAAGAAGGAAATGTATTTAGCTTTTCACTTACTTCAAATCACTTCATACGCTGCTGTGTGTTGGACAAGGTTAAGGACTTTTCAGGTTATCAAGCTGTCATTGACAATGACCATATTTTACTTGAACAGTTTCAATGTTACTATAAAGCAAACTAGTGAGAATTTGTAAAAGTTGAGATTGTATGGTTGTATATTGGATGTTTCAGTTGATGTCAAACAATCAGAGATACGCTCAGTTCCTGTTCCAGCTGTCAGATCTTGGTTGCTCATTACAAGTGCCAAAGTTGCGAGACACAGGAAGAACATTGTTAAAGTTGATGCCAGCAGGTAAGCAGAAATTCCAGTTATAAAAAAGTTTAAATTGTGCATCATTGTGGAAAATTTATCATCAAAAGAACTTAAAACAGCTTTTTTGATTTCTTGATATAAATATTTATTAGGAGAAACCTCTTAAGCCATGGGATCGGCCGCAGTCCCCCACCAAAATAGTATGTTTTTTTTCCCCCTAACAGAGGTAAAAATTCCCCCTCAAAACATATAAAGTGTTAAAGAAAAAATGAAAACTAATGTTGTATTTGAAAATTAAAATCCATCTATTTGACGGCTATTTTGTAAGCGGAATATCGTACAGTACATGTCTCTACGTTTCCGTTTGTTTTTTTCCCCCAAAATCTACCGTCACATATTGGCCTTTCATCCTGAAAAAAGCTAAAATTTCAACAGAAATATGCAGAAAAAAATCACAATTCCCATCAACAATTCGATTTCAAATTGTTTATTCATGAAATCACTTTTTTTGTCTTCAAAATGTTACATCAACCACTGTAAATTTTGCCATAAATTACAAACTTGTTAGTTTTGTTTTCATGATACTTTATGAAATAACTAATGGAAAACGATCAAATAATAAACAATCAATTTAATTTTATATAATTTACATCAGCAACAACTAGAATTGTGGATGTGTAAACAGAAAACTAACAAATTTTCATTTGTCACATATTTTCGCGATGCCGATTTTTACGATTGTTTTACAAAGTCAAGAAAAGGAAGCTTTGTCTTATTAAAAGGTGTGTTATAACACTAGAAATGTAGATCTAGTTTATGAATAGAATTTACTTTAGGTCCATGTATTGTTCATATTAATGGAAATGAAACATTTGTCTGAATGTGTTTCTCAATGCTTATGGGGGGGGGAGTGAATCATAAAGAAAGCTAAGCAGCATAAAGGTCTGCTGGTGTAAGGTATTAAAACCTTTTCTTCAAATCTTATCAATCACTTCTGAACAGTTTAGTGTTACCTATTTGGGATTTATTTTAAAAATAATATGCAAGGAAATAAAAAAACAGCTTATATTTAAAAAAGTTTATTTGATCATAAAAGAAAAGAGGAAAATTCCCCCCATACACTAAAATTCCCCCTGCTGAGGGTAGCGACCCACTTCCCCCAAATTGGATTGAGGGCCCTGTGGGATATGAAAATTACAGCTTAATTACCCCACTTGGTATTTTTGATTAGGTTCTAGACATGTATTGGATTTATTTCAGATGTGAGTTCGAAGGATAAATTCCGAACAATATGTTCAGAACATGTGAGGTCGGGCACAGGAACTTCACAGCAACTAGAAGCAATGTTTTTTAATTCCTCTCCAACTCAAGTGCTCTACAATATAGAGGTTTGTCTTTTATTTATTAAGATCATGATGTCTTGTAACAAAGCTCATAGCTTCACTAGTAAGCCCAATATCCTATGCTTGTATTAATGTTTGAGTGCTAAGCGACACACATTATTATGCCCCCATTTCGAAGAAAAGGGGGTATATTGCTTTGCACTTGTCGGTCCGTCGGTCCGTAGACCAAATGGTTTCCGAGTGATAACTAAAGAACCCTTAGGCCTAGGAACTTCAAACTTGGTATGGTGATTGGTCATGACCAGTAGATGACCCCTATTGATTTTGGGGTCAAGGGGTCAAAGGTCAAGGTCACATTGACCTTGTAAGCAAAAACGGTTTCCGATCAATAACTAAAGAACCCTTTGGCCTAGGAACTTCAAACTTGGTATGGTGATTGGTCATGACCAGTAGATGACCCCTATTGATTTTTTGGGTCAAGGGTCAAAGTCAAGGTCACATTGACCTTGTAAGCAAAAACGGTTTCCCGATCAATAACTAAAAGAACCTTAAGGCCTAGGAACTTCAAACTTGGTATGGTGATTTTGGTCATGACCAGTAGATGACCCCTTTTGATTTTGGGGTCAAGGGGTCAAAGGTCAGGTCACATTGACCTTGTAAGCAAAATGGTTTCCGATCAATAACTAAAGAACCTTAAGGCCTAGGAACTTCAAACTTGGTATGGTGATTGGTCGTGATCAGAAGATGATCCCTATTGATTTTGGGGTCAAGGGGTCAAACTCAAAGGTCAAGGTCACATTGACCTTGTAAGCAAAAACGGTTTCCGATCAATAACTAAAGAACTTTAAGGCCTAGGATTTTCAAACTCGGTATGGTGATTGGTCATGATCAGTAGATGACCCCTATTGATTTTGGGGTCAAGGGGTCAAAGGTCTAGGTCACATTGACCTTGAAAGCAATAACGGTTTTTCCGATCAATAATTAAAGAACTTTAAGGGCCTAGGAACTTCAAACTTGGTATGGTGATTGGTCATGATCAGTAGATGACCCCTATTGATTTTGGGGTCAAGGGGTCAAAGGTCGAGGTCACATTGACCTCTTGGGTAAAAATGGTTTCTGATCAATAACAAAAGAACCCTTAGGCCTAGGAACTTCAAACTTGGTATGGTGATTAGTTCATGACCAGCAGATGACCCCTATTGATTTTGGGGTTAGGGGTCAAAGATCAAGGTCACATTGACCTTGTAGGTAAAAACGATTTCCGATCAATAACGAAAGAAAAACCTTAGGCCTAGGAACTTCAAAAACTTGGTATGGTGATTGGTCATGACCAGCAGATTGACCCCTATTGATTTTTGGGGTTAAGGGGTCAAAGTCAAGGTCACATTGACCTTGTAGGTAAAAACGGTTTCCGATCAATAATGAAAGAACCCTTAGGCCTAGGGACTTCAAACTTGATATGGTGATTGGTTATGATCAGTAGATGACCCCTATTGATTTTGGGGTCAAGGGGTCAAAGGTCAAGGTCATCATTGACCTCTTAGGTAAAAACGGTTTCGATCAATAATGAAAAACCCTTAGGCCTAGGAACTTCAAACTTGGTATGGTGATTGGTCATGACAGCAGATGACCCCTATTGATATTGGGGTTAAAGGGGTCAAAGGGCCAAGGTCACATTGACCTTGTAGGTAAAATGCCTTTCAAATCAATAACTTAAGAACGCTTCGGTCTAGGAACTTCAAACTTTGTATGATGATTGGTCGTGACCAGCAGATGACCCCTATTGAGTTTTTTGGGTCAAGGGGTCAAAGTGTTGAAGGTCATGAACAGTAGATACTTGATAACCCTTATTAATTGTTTGATCACTGGGTCAGAAGTCATGCATAATAACCTTATCACATGACTAATTGGCTGCTGATAGGGGGCATACATGTTTTACAAACATATCTTGTTTCCTTAAGAATTTGTGTTGTAGACAGTATAATTATCTAATGCTATTTGTCTTTAAAGTGTTACAGATATATATATAAGAGAAGTTGGCATACACTTGCAGTAAAACAGTTGTTACTAAATTGCCTGCTGGTTTAAGTAAAAAATATAAATAAGTTAGCGCTACAGCCAGCAAAACTAGTATGATACAGACTATACATACTATGTGGTTTTCAGGATGTTAAAACTATCAACTTAAAATGTTTGCATATTTGAAGAACATGTTACTAAAATGTTTCCTTTATATCTTAAATGTTATTGTAGTTCTCAGTATTGCAAAATTGTACATAAGCTTTCTGTCATGAGTTATTGTAATGAATTAACAATTTTGATTACAAAGTTAATATATATTCAGAATGAGTAGGTCAAAAGTAATTTGATCATTCAATTTGACCTTCTTGTTTAAATTTAGTGAATCATGCTTAGAAGATGGCAATTATTATAAATCAGTTATCTATGGTTTGTGTAATGGAGATATGTTATTTTCTAGGTTGCCTACAGTTTATTGATGCCGTCACAAGATCCAATGGCTGATGATGCATTTGAATTCCAGGTAATCATGGCTTTAGTTCCTCTGTATTTTGTAAGCAATTACATATATGATACAAAAAAATAAATAATGAAGTGTTGCTGTTCTTCTGTTTTAACTCTATGTTTTAGTTCTTTTTATTTATTGTAAGCATGTTTACAAAGTATTTAACTTGAATGCAAATTGTTATACTTCAACTCTGTTACTGTCTGGTAACAAAGATTGATAAAAGAAATGTGTAAAGCATTAAATATATAAAAACAAGTTGTTTTTGTTAAAAAAAATATGATGTTTGTTTTACAGTATAACTTTATCCGAAGTGGAGGTGTTCAGCTAGCACTTAATATGTTGACCAAAAATAACTTCCTACCTAATGCTGACTTACCAACAAGAAGGTAAATTAAACAATCTGTTATGGATTTCTTTGCATTAGTAGTGAATACTCATACACTGGTGTAGTAAAATTGTTGCATTTGTTTTATTATGTCTCCCCCACCTCGGGGGGAGACATATTGTTTTTGCCCTGTCCGTCCGTCAGTCCGTCCGTCCGTCAGTCCGTCCGTCCGTCAGTCCGTCCGTCCGTCCGTTCTTCGTTTCCGGACGATAACTAGAGTTCCTTTTGACCTACAGCCCTCAAACTTCATAGGATGATTGGTCTTATAGAGCTGATGATCCCTATTGTTTTTGGGGTCAGTAGGTCAAAGGTCAAGGTCACATTGACCGTTGGTCAATTTCTCGTTTCCGGATGATAACTAGAGTTCCTTTTGACCTACAGCCCTCAAACTTCATAGGATGATTGGTCTTATAGAGCTGATGATCCCTATTGTTTTTGGGGTCAGTAGGTCAAAGGTCAAGGTCACACTGACCGTTGGTCAATTTCTCGTTTCCGGATGATAACTAGAGTTCCTTTAGACCTACAGACCTCAAACTTCATAGGATGATTGGTCTTATTGAGCTGATGATCCCTATTGTTTTTGGGGTCAGTAGGTCAAAGGTCAAGGTCACACTGACCGTTGGTCAATTTCTCGTTTCCGGATGATAACTAGAGTTCCTTTAGACCTACAGACCTCAAACTTCATAGGATGATTGGTCTTATTGAGCAGATGATCCCTATTGTTTTTGGGGTCAGTAGTTCAAAGGTCAAGGTCACAGTGACCGTTGGTCAATTTCTCGTTTCCGGATGATAAGTAGAGTTCCTTTTGACCTACAGCCCTCAAACTTCATAGGATGATTGGTCTTATAGAGCAGATGATCCCTATTGTTTTTGGGGTCAGTAGGTCAAAGGTCAAGGTCACAGTGACCGTTGGTCAATTTCTCATTTCCGGATGATAACTAGAGTTCCTTTTGACCTACAACCCTCAAACTTCATAGGATGATTGGTCTTATCAATCAAATGATCCCTATTGTTTTAATGGTCAGTAGGTCAAAGGTCAAGGTCACAGCGACCGTTGGTTAATTTCTCCTTTCCGGATGATAACTAGAGTTCCTTTAGACCTACAACCCTCAAACTTCATAGGATGATTGGTCTTATTGAGCAGATGATCCCTCTTGTTTATGGGGTCAGTAGGTCAAAGGTTAAGGTCACAGTGACCATTGGTCATTTTCTCATTTCCGGATTTCTCCATTTCCATTCCTGTTTCCATTCACAGTTATTCTCAGCAGTGGGGGAGACATGCGCTTTTTTACAAAAGCATCCTCTAGTTTATATGGCTATGTACTGAATGATGGGTCGGAATGTAAGGGTTAAAACTTATCTTAAACCCCTGCATCTAACATTGTATAAATTCCAATGTAGGGAAATATTCTATGCCACTGAAATCAAGACATTTCAAGAGAAACATTGAGGTAAGGAAATTTAAGAAGTGGCATGAGATATAAAAATTGATATTACCTATGAATGAATTTGAGACCTTGTTTTATATCGCAGGTCATTTTATTTTCTTATCATAAGATGGATAAGGTTTTAGTAAGTGTCCGATGAGATAAAGTCATGGTTAGAATATGTAAAAAGAAGTTAAAGGTTATACGGTGTTTTGTTATGTATTTATTCATGATGGTTTTAATAGACTGTTACGGTTGGGGATAGTTTCAGTATTTAAGATGTGTAACTGTGCTGATGAGTTTGGGATGCCAAATTACAAGGGTTGTTTATGCATGCAGTAAAGGCCTCGTGGTCCCCCAAACAGTACAGGGAAAACCCGTATGTGTTATACTGCCCGAAACGTTAATATATACCCAATCATACAACAGAGTTCACAACCAGAAATGTTGCAATACGACTAGGCCAACAGTTAGCAGAACAGGTATGCAGGATTTGCCTAGGATCAAGTTTCTTAAATTGTAGTTCAGCAGTCATAACCTATGGTTTTTCAATTGAGATTACTGGCCTTGCTTTACATAGCACATTTCCTACTAGCTGATTATTTATGAAGAAGTTGATTCTTCATTTGAAATTTTATTGGATTCAATTGTATGTATTGAAAATTAATGCTATGTATTCTACTTAATGTATATGAAAGTGTGAAAAAAAAGTCAAAGGTAGAAAGTATTGCTGTAAGTCAGATACTGTATATTGTAAGTTTTGTTAAATTGAATGAATAGTAACAATTATTTTCCTTGTCAGGCTACGAGTGTGGTACCAGATTTAAACACTATAAAGGCGATACAGAAGATAGCGTGGTCATCAGGTAGTGGTAGCCTACATTTAGTTCATGCCTCTAATGAAGAGATTCATAAAGCGCATGAAAAGGTAATGTCACAGGTCAGTCAAACTCTCTTCTTACTTTGCTTTTTACTTTGCTTTATATAACTTACCTTTGTTAACCCTTAACCTACTGAATGTCTTAAACAACTTACCCAGCCTCCATATCTTTGAACTGTCTATTATAGTTTTGGAGATTCAAGATAAAATTTTAGTAAATCGGCCAACAATATAGAGTCTGGTCTCGGACTGCATGTGAAGATGTGAAGGGTTAACAACGGAACATTTAGATACAATGATTTGCCTACCAGCATAAAGCAAGATCAGTCTGCACATCTGGGTAGTCTTATCAGGATCTTTATGTGGACTGCTTGCTGCATCATAAATCTAAAAAAATGTTTGAAATGATTATGGGCATTTTTTAGTCCAAAATTTAGAATGATGAAATGTTAATGCATCCAATTTGCTCCCTTCTACTTCAGCAATATTTCTATAATATTTCCTTGAATACTCAAGAAATCCTGCTTACATATCAACATAATCTTATGGATAATTGCGATGTTTATATAGCTTTATGTATACAGCTGCTGTCAATTTATGATGAAATCTCACTTTTTTTTCTCTAACAAAGGAATTAAGATGTATTATAGATTTGATATTAATATTGCTGACAGGTTAGATGACTGTATAAAAATGGTTGTTTGCAATAAAGGGCCATTTAACCTGTCAAAAACTAATAATATAAATTGTCTGGCTTTAAGATCATCTAAATTTCTCCTGTCTATAAAATAAAATGTAACGAAATACATATGATACTAACCTTACACACTTTGTTTGTGTAGATATTTGTTATATTTGTTATTTATGTGTTTACTTTAAATATGGATTGATTTTAATAATAAAATTGAGAGCAAATATCTGTTGTAATGTTGAAAATCGTGAAACTTTAGTGTATTTCCATTATACATCTTATTGTATTTCCCTTCAATACAGGTATATTGATAGGTCTGATCAATTCTTTACCAGAGAGCTATCCAGCTAGCTTAAAGAAAGTTGACAATTCTTTTCTTTTGCTTTTGTACTTAAATTAATGGTGTCATGTGACATCCAAAAATGTATGGATATTGATAATATATATATAATAACATATGATAAAGAAAAAGTAATGGTAAGGCTCCAACTTACAATCACTGGCTGAAATGATGGTTACCATTTCCACTAGACCATTTGTCTCCTTGCTTCTTCAAACCCGAAGTGATCCTCTTAGTAGCATTTGTTGTTTATTCCATATGAACTGAGATATTGTAATATGAATTTACTGATGTGTTCTAAAACATACGACAATGTGTATATATTATACAGGATATTACACCAGATCAGGATGACCTGTCAGTGGCAAGGGAGGCAATGGAAGTGCTGACTGTATGCATGTTACTATGTCCCAGTGCTACAGAGGCCCTTCATAAAGACAAAGCCTGGCAACTCTTCATCATAGACAACCTGTTACATTGTAAAAATAAGTATGTATTTTGGTTGCTTTTATGAGTTTCAATATTTTACAAAAATTAAAAGTTGTTAGGTAAAAGCTTGTGGAATGGGTGTTATAATGATAATTGATGATTGCATGTTCTTTGATGCCAAGGAATGATTCCAACATGGTTCTTGTAGGAAAGTTGACAGATCCTTGTGAAGTACAATTATGTTCTAGTAAACAAGTCCAGGAACAAAAGTTACTCTAACCGCACTGCCTCAGTATATGATTGAGATAGTGGTAGAAAAGGCATACTCAATATAAACATGAAATAAACAAAAGGTATTCATACATTTTTAAACTCTATATACAGTGTAACTTCCGAATTCCGGAACTTCTGAAATCCGGAAACTTCTAAAATCCGAACAATTTTTTCGGTCCCGATTTTTTCCCTTCTATTTTCTATTAATATAATACTTCTGAATTCCGGAACTTCTAAATTCTGAATTCCGGACGATATTTTCGTAAAATTATAGTCAAATCAATGCAATTTTTGATCGTGTAATTTGAGACGCATTAAAATCACAAACTGTGAAATGGTATGTTTGAAGTGATGCGGTTAATCAAAGTAATTTACGGTGGTCAGTTAATATGAAGTGTTTATTAGCGGATTAAATGACAATTAATTGGACAATGTATGCATCAAACGTCTTTAAGGATTTTATTGCAGTTGATGTAATAATTAATAAACTATCATCGGACAATATATAAGTTTATGCAATTAACAACATTTCTACAAACTGATAGAAATTCAAAAGCATTTGCAGGTAAGATAAAAATGTATTCTTTTCATTCACATCTTTATCTTGATTAAAAGACTATTATATGTGATATTACAGTAATGGCCACATCTTCCTTGACATTTAGTGATATTAAGTGGCTTAGTCTTGTCCACATTATCATAAACCTCTGAATTCCGGAAACCTTTTGACAAGTCCCATGGGTGTTCGGTTTTCGGAAGTTACACTGTAATATTAATTTATGATTGGTTTTATTTATTTCAGACCAGTCCGTCAATCATCATCAGAGCAGTTTTTCCTGATGGCCACCAAGTGTAGCAGCACCCATAGACCTGTTGTGTTCTTTATAACTCTACTCTTTACTGTCCTTTCTGTAAGTATATAGAATTATTCCCTTGATATATTGTCTTCTGTAATATCTGTAATATTGTTATATTACTTATTATTTTACAAAAATTAGAGAATATAGATACATTGTATATAGGACCACATAAGACAATATTGATCGAAAGAACATGATGGTCCAATTTTATAGCTGTTTCCAAGTAATTTAAATGTATGTATGAAGGCCTACTGTGTTTAGGAAGATTTGCTAAGTTCTGTATTGACTGCTTTAGGTGCCTGGGTCTTTACTCAGGGATTGAGGGTTCATGTCCTTAGAGCATTACAGACTATGTTTAACTGAGGGAAATTCAGTATGTTTATTATTGAAATACGATGAATGCTATAACAATTAATGGGTTGCAGAAATATATCTGTACAATAATACAGTTGCTGTTGCTATTAATTTAATTTTTTTGTTTTCATTTTCCCCACAGAATTTAGCAAAAGACAATGCCAAACAGGCTAGTGAATATTTCCAGCTTCTTTGTAGGTATGTACCATGTTAGCAAGATGTTTGTTTAAAGTTTTGAAATAAGTGGAGTTTGTTGCAATTTTGAAATATTCAGCCCTTCTTTTTAGCATAATTCTTAACAAGCCGTTACATAGTGTGATAACAAAGATGGTGGTGTAATGGAAACCTGTTAGATTTTGAATCTTTTGAAGTGTTTGTAACCTTTTCAGTCTTTGAATGACCTTAAAATGTACTTTATATTTTATCAGTGTAAGTGACATATGTTATTTTGTATTTGTAGATTGTTAAATTATGCATGTAGTACGGATGTTCACCTGCCCAATGCTGAAGTGTTGCTAAATAATGAAATAACATGGTTAAAACGGGTTCGGGTAAGTGAATTTTATTGTTCTATAAATAAGATTAAGTTTTCATTAAGTCAGTGACCACAGTACCTTTTAATATGATAGAAATAAGTTAAGTTAAGGTTATAATTGTCTGGTTAAAATACAATCTTGTTCAAGTAGAATAGAAATAAACTTAAACCATTCTGTTAAGTATCAGCTTTTCCAAATGAAATTAAAACAAAGCATTTTTTTTCTGCATGCACATAAATTTATTTTTTTAAAATTCACAAGATTTTCTTGCTCCTGGTCTGTGCAAAATGACATTTTATAGACATGATTAAAATTCATATTTAAGATTTAATATTGTCTTAACTATGATGTAGAAAGCAAGAATAATCTGGATCATTGTATCTTTGATACATTGTACTGGAGCCCTTACTTGATATATTACTTGAAAAAATGAACAATTGTTTATGCTCATTGAAAACATAATTGTTTAAGCTCATTGTTCACAATATATTCTGTTATCAGATACATTTATGGTTTGTAATGTGACTAGTTTACTATGTTACTATATTATCAGGACCAGGTATTGACTACAGGAGAGAGTAATGTAGAAGAGACCCTGTTAGAAGGACATTTAGGTATCACTCGTGAGCTACTTGCCTTCCAGTCAGCTGAGAAAAAGTTCCAAATGGGTTCTCAACAAGGTGGTGCAAACCTCATCAAAGTAAGTTTACATTTAAATGATCATAGAGAATTGCATAGATAATATTGCCAAAAAAGCATATGTAATCTTAAATGATTATTTTCATGGGTTTCCGAAATTCTATTAACATATTTTCAAAATGTGACGAATCTATAAAGTTAGCTCAAAAATAGTTTGTTGTAAATAAAAGCTTAAGGCCTTCCTACACATGTACAGCATAAATATACTTCTATGAAATAATGCATTATATTAACTTTTCTTTAACACTTAACCATGCTTGGACGGAACATGATTAGTCCCAAACTATCTGTATAGTGTTGGCTGAGCTATTTCTAATTTCCGTCTTGATATCTCTTAATTTGATAATGAACAAATCCAAAATTGGAAGCAGGACAAGTACATGTTAAAAACATGCAATAGTGTTATTATATGATGACAGGAAGCATGGTATTTTTAATATTTGTTGACTATTATGATAACTTTATCACATTTTGTTACAGGAGTTAGTGGAGGATTTTGTGTTCCCAGCTTCTAAGATAGTGCTACAGAGTCGGAAATTGAATGGGGAGTTTCCGACAGACGAGGCAACACCAGTTTGTACATCCCCAGCCACTGTGATAGCAGCCTATGATCTTCAGGTAGCCTTGTGTACAGGCTGTGTACCTAACCTGAGATCTCTGGCAGCCATGCTTATTGATATGTATTATAGTGGTAAGAAAACATTCAAATTTATATAACTTGATGGTAAGGGTAGGGGATTGAGAAGAGGTTGAAGAGCATCAGGTAACAAGACAACAATTGGATGTAGGTTGTAATTTGAAACATTATGAAATTATATTACTTCTTTAACACTAAAGTTGATATTGATATCAATTTATGCTTACCTGTTCACATATACAGGAGTTTGACCAGCCAGTACTGTTGGCCTCTTAAATTTAGCATTAAGTATAACTATTATACATATTGACATTAATTTATGAATGTGCTTTAAAGTGATTGGTTTATTTTCAGGGGATGTATCATTACAAGAGTGGGAGTATTTACCACCAGTTGGTGCCAGGCCACAAAAGGGGTTTGTTGGGCTCAAGAATGCAGGAGCTACTTGTTACATGAACTCTGTTCTTCAACAGGTAAAGTCTTGTTGAGAGAAAACTTATTACCATTCCTGTATGCTATACAGTATCTGTAAAAAATATTGTAAAAAAAAAAATCTGGTAAGATACTGGTATGATATTCATTCCTACTTTGATCAGTAAAATTATAATTATGAACCTTAGTAGTGAATACAACACTTTGAACACTTGATAAGGTGTCTCTGTAGCTAAATGGTTATGAATGTTGGAAGCCTGATTCAGATTCATTTATGTCTTTAGCTTACTTAGAAGGTTGTTTGTTATACTATAGTGTCATTTTCTAGCAAAATCTATGTACAAGGTGGTATCGGAGGTTTTCCTCTGTTGGTAAAGCTGTTGTTGTAACTAAAAACCCAACTAATAAAGAAACATTATTATACTCGAGGTAGAATATTTCTAGACTTGTATTTATTATGTATCTTGTATATTGTAGTTGTTTATGATAGAGCCTATACGAGCTGGTATAATGTCAGTAGAGGGCGCTGCAGATGATGTAGAGGAAGATTACTCCTCTATGGAGAAAGGCGAGGGAGAGGTAAATATTTCTACTATAACATGGAGAAAAATATTGCTCTTGTAAAAGTTTTGACCAAAATATGTTAGACCTTGGATATAATTACATTGTATTTTCAGAAAATGATTTTTGCAAATATATAGTAGTTTGGTTACTTATCATAAAACAATTATCCAGTTGGTAGAATGAGGTATTGGTGCAACTACGGAAAAAGTCACAAATTGAAATTATAGTATTATGGTCTAATAATAACCATACTTAACTACAAGCCATTTACCCGTCAAGTTGTTACTTTGCCAGGTACATTGAATGAAGGTATTTGCTAGCTTTATATGAAAAGATCAAAGGTTATCCTTGACCAGTACAAAGCTGGTAAAACACCTTAAACTCTTGGCACTGTTTGTGTGATTTTTATAAATTTTGTAAAAAAAAAAAAACCCAAAAAACCCACAATTTTCTGAAAAAAATCTGAAAAAACACTGTACCTTAACATGCTTGATGCTTAACTTTGAGTAAAAGAAGTACCACATTGACATGTTTCACACCATTTTGTATTGTTTGTTATTACATAAGTAAGTTAAGATTTTGTTACAGACGAATGTAGACATGGCGGAGGAGGAGAGAAAGGATGAGGAGAAGCCAGTGTCTAACAGAGACGAGGAGAGGAAGGAATATAATCTGGGTATACTCAAACAAATACAGCTTATCTTTGGTAATCTCTATGCCAGTAAGCTACAGTACTATGTCCCCAGGGGATTCTGGAAACACTTCAAGTAAGTCATGGTGATCATATACTTTAAAAAAAGTCCCAGAGGTCTTGAATAAAATGATCTATGCCATCAGTATAGAACTATGCCAACTTTTTCATCATTTCTGTGTGTCTTAATATGAAATATTTCAATGATAGCCATTCTACTCCATGCTTAACCGAGTTGACTGTATAATGGTAAAATTATTAGAACTACAGAAAAAAACAACAGTAAAGAACACTAATTTAGCACGTTCAAAACTTGCAACATTGGTCTGACTTTTGTAATTTTACCCATATAACCCATGAATTTAGTTATTTACATGACAAAATTCAGCTTAGCTGTGAAGACATTTATTATATTTACTTCCTTATTAATGTTGCACTTTTGTAAGAGTTTCATTTCAATTTTAAGTGTATACTGTACAGTAGATATCATTTGTTTTATTATTTTATCCACTCTTTGTAACTATAGAAAAAAGAATTTCATGTAAGAGGTATGTATTTATTGTGTATATTTTAGATTATGGGGTGAGCCAGTGAACCTGAGGGAGCAACATGATGCCCTTGAGTTCTTTAACTCCCTGGTAGACAGTGTTGATGAAGCTCTCAAAGTACTCGGACAACCTACCATACTCCAGAAAGTGCTAGGAGGATCCTTTGCTGATCAGAAAATCTGCAAAGACTGCCCACATAGGTATGTTGAATTTTATATGGTAACTGGAGTTTTGTTATATCTGTGAACACAGGCCAAAAAAAAGAGAAATTCTGTTTCTGATCAACAGGGCTTTGGTTGAGAATAATTTTTGTCAGTGTAAACCAATTTATAGAAAATAAATGTTAAGATTAGATCGACAAGGGATTTTGAATTAAATAATACATTAACAGCATGTAAGGACTTATAAACTTCATGGCAAGTGCTCATTCAGGTATTTAGACTTAATGATTAAATATTGTGTAAATCACAATTCAAAAGATTAATCAAAAGAATGGTAAATTTATATAAAGACATCAATGTACAGTTTAAAGAATGTACTCTCGTGGGAGGGGCGTCATTGTCTCTGCTATAAAAGCTTGAAAGTCATTGTCTCATGTTAAAACTAACTGTATTGGAACTTTGCCCTCCAGTATACCTCCAAGACAGCCTGATCAAGCTCTCTTCTATTGACTGACTTAATTGAATTTTTCATCTCTATATCCCCACAATTTGTAATGGACAGCTCCAAAAATGGAAGCTAGACAAGACTGACAAGTCCATTGAAGTCTACTATGACTAGATATATGGTTGTGTTTTTGCTATTTCAGATACCAGAGAGAAGAACCTTTTACTTCATTGAATGTAGATATACGTAATCACCATAATTTATTTGAGTCATTAGAACAATATGTAAAGGGGGACTTGTTGGAGGGAGCAAATGCTTATCACTGTGATAAATGTAATAAAAAGGTGAGCTTACTTTATATTCAGTATACTGTCATTTCTAGCAAAGTTGTTAAATTTTTTAGTTGATATTTTGTTGCAGGATATAATATATAATTATCAGGAAAACAGTCACTTATTAATAATTTTGATAGTTTCATAATTATAGCCAAGTTACACAGAAATGAGCAATCTTAAAGAATAAGAGTTCTTTCTAGGCATGTTTGAGAGGATGTTCATAGATATACTGCATGTCAGTGATACAACAGGAATCTGTTTCATTTTGCAGCTGCTGACTTTTATCAAGATAAAAGTTGGATATTGTCTATTCATACTAGGCTGTTGTGCTGGTAAAAAAAAATGAAAAAATTATCAGTTTGAAGTAGTATTCATGAAAGGCTTTAAAGGAACAATACTTTATAATGAATGACATACAGTGAATGATGTAGGATATATGTCACTAATGAACTCTGATATTTTATGATTGATGCACATAATAAAATGTATTTTAATTCATGTTGATAACAGCTAAAGAATTTATTGTGTGAACATTGGCATTGTAGGTGGATACTGTGAAAAGACTTGTGATACGAAAGTTGCCTAAAATCTTAGCCATACAGTTGAAACGATTTGATTATGACTGGGAAAGGTAGGTAGCATGATCTTAAATATTGTAAACATTTTCTTACGAAAAATTTGTTTTTGTTCTGTACCTTGAAAACAGTATTTTAAAATACATGTATTTATCATAGTAGAAGGATTTAAAACATAAATCTCTAAAAAAATAAATTTTCATTAACTTGTTGGAAGTTAATATGAAAAAGGCAAAGCCTCAAAGCGAGCTCGATGTACTTTTTACGTGAAATAGTATGAAATAATCGCTCATTTTTATTTCAAATGCAGTGACGAGTGCGTGTGACGTCACACGTACTGTGTTAAATATGGCTCCGCCCCTGTCGTGAAATGAATAACGAGTTTTGAAAACGTTTATAAAACTATGTTTATTTTATTTCACTCTATAATTTTTCAAGCGAAATATAGATTATTTAAAGTGAAATAAATGTAAAACTTAAAACGTTTGCGACATTAAAATAGCGTACTTGATTTGTTTGTTTTGCACGCGCTGTTTGGCGCTACATTGTGACGTCACGTAAACAATACTTTAAACGTCTGTACAGCGTTAACGACTGAATAAAAGATATTAGTGTTCAGATTCATTTTCTTAGTAAGACCATTTTCTTTCATTCTAGATAGTTTTCACAACAAAACTCGACAAAAAATTGTTTTTATTTATCAGATTTCAAACAAAATGGCGCCTTCGATTTTCATTTTTTATACACAGCTTCCGTTATTCTGGTTCCCTGTCCAATTATAGTTCCAATAGACGTGCGCGGGTGACCAGTCTACACATCCGTTTTCAGACAGAATTCCTCAGTTTTTATCGTTATCTTTAAATTCGAAAGGTTGCGATGTGTCCAATTCGGTACTTTGGACGAAAGTTTTCAAAACCATCACTTAGCAGGTACTCGCGTTACCGTAAAGCTCGCTTTGCGAGCAGGCCCTTCGGGCCAGCTCGTCGAGCTCGCTATTAGAATATTTTAGAGATTTTAGTGATAAAAAATATTCTTTCTTGTAGGGAAAGTGCAATAAAGTTCAATGATTATTTTGAGTTTTCTCGTGAATTTGACATGGAACCATATACAGTTCAAGGACTGGCTAAAATAGAAGGTAAGTTTATCCTGTTTTATAAGTTAAGTATGTCTTAAGAACCTAATCATCTCTTGATAAAAAATTTGTCAAAGTTGATGTTGTTTGGATAATCTAGCTAATAAGATCAGGAACAATCCTTCATCCACTTTTCATTAAATATTTACATGTAGTAAGTAGAAGCTATAAAAGTCAAAAATCTAAGGCAAAACACATAAAATGCAACTTGAATTTAACTATTGTTAACTATTGGAAAAAACTATGATACAAAATTCAGTTTGTCAAATTTTTCTGTTTGTATGGACAAATTTCCCATTTTAACCCAACTATTTATATTGCATTTATGGTATTCTTCTTAAATCATTCATTGGTGTAACACTGGATTTGCATACAACTTCTTTTCTCTTTACCAAATGAAGGAATTCGCTTAATACATGTATTTACAATCATTATTGTATATCATTTTCCTAGTTCCATACTTGTAGCATAACTATACTGTGTCCTTGTGACATTTAAACTAGATAATCTTCACATTACAAAGATTACTTATTCTTTGCTATTGAACTGGAAAAAAATAAAGAGTTTTTTTTTGTTTTTTTTTCACCCAATAATAAATGGATAACAACATATTGAAAGTTTGATGTTTATATTATTTACAGGTGAGATTATTGATGCTGACTGTGATGATAAAGGACAGAGTACAAAGTATAAATTGATAGGTGTTGTTGTACATAGTGGTCAAGCTAGTGGTGGACATTATTACTCCTATATCCTTCATAAGTAAGTACTTAATTATACAAAATATGCATGGTTTCTATGACAGTGTGTAAGTTACTGGGAATCATCAGCCCTATGTTACTGTGAATGCAGCCCAGGCATGTTTGATGCCTTCTTGTAAATAAACTGTCCAGCTAGGTTACAAAAGCTTGTGTCTCCAGTAATACACTGTCTGGCGGGCCTTTTAAATGTCAAAGGGATATTATCTTGTTGCTTGAATCTGTCCAGACCATTGACAAAATGAGGAGAACTTAAAGGGAGACACAGGCAATATTTTCATTTCTTAGTTTTGAGTTTTTCAGTCATTATTCTGTAAATGCCCTAAGAATGAATGTATTAGACAGTCAAAGGAACAAAACTTTCCTCCATATAGAAAATAAAATGGTGGTTTCCTAACTTGACCCGCGTGGGTCAGGTTAGAGCGCTAGGATTTCACAATAGTTGTCAAAGTGAACTCTTGGAAACTCTGGAATTGTAAAGAACATGTCAAATGAATGACTTAGACTTGTTTCAATCATGCAATATCAACAATATCTGTTATTGTAACTTCAAGGGTTTGTTCAAGTCATGTGACTTGTTTTAAAACTATTTGGGGATTCTGTTCGGGTCTAGATTTTGTTCAACATATATAGATATATTTACGCTTCAAACCCAAAATATTTAGAATTTAAAAAAAAATTCATGCTGAAACTTCAAGAAATGTCATTTTAGCGTGATTTAAGTACATAAGATCATTTTAATATTTTTGTCATTATTTTGTCTGAATATCCGTTTAAGGTTTTCTGAAGTTTACAATGTCGTAACATATCTCTATACATTATTTGTCTACAACTTAAAATGTAGTTACAGCAGGTATATATTAACATATTTAAACATATAAATTGTAGGGGTGAAGGAGCACCTAAATGGTACAAGTTTGATGATGGTGATGTCTCCGAGTGTAAGATGGATGATGATGAGGTAAGTCTGTGTTCATTATTGTCTATAAAAATAGAAATGTTCATCAAAATATATTGGATTTTTATTCTAGCCATTATAGAAATTGATATAATTTAAGTGAGTTAAGATACCAGCCACAGCATATGCATTTAATGATAAATTAGTTTAAGACACATTTGCACCTCAGAGTGAACAACTCATTTGCAGCAACTTTTTCTTATTATAAAATATATTGTTTCAATTTTTCTTTACTGGTGTAATTTGTAGTTTTATTACCTTATACAATTGATATATGAATTGTTTTACAGGAAATGAAGAATCAATGTTTTGGTGGAGAGTACATGGGTGAAGTCTTTGACCATATGCTCAAAAGGTATACATTTTCTTTCTGATAGATACAGAACATTATGTTCTGGTATTTAAGAGTTACACTGTAATGGGGGGGGGGGGGGTAGATTTACCATTTTTGCAAATAAATATTCTAAGAATAGCAAGTATTATATTCAATTATCTTGTAACTGATTTTATATTAGATGAAGCATCTTGTAAAGACTGTTATGTATTGTATTTCAGGATGACATATAGACGTCAGAAGAGATGGTGGAATGCTTATATCTTGTTCTATGAGAGGGTAGATGATGTGGAGGATGAGAAAATCTCTAAGACCATTCAAGACCTTAGCATTAGCAGTATGTCATGTTGTAATTGTTGATCAGTATGAACAAGAAACAGAAAGAAAACATAGTTTAACCATCTAACAAAGACTTAATTTTAAAGTCAAGTTCAGTAACGTACCAGGAATGATATTGTGATGCTCGACCATTTATAGATAATACACATATAGATGTACATCACCTTCTTGTTCTTGTTCAAATTACAAGCAGTTTTAATATTTAGCATTTTGAGAGTTAATGGTGTCTTTAAATGTTTCAGCCCCTAAACCAAAGATGCCAAAGACGATAGAGAAGTGTGTACGTAAACAAAATATAATGTTCATGCATGAGAAGACACAGTTCAGTGCAGAATATTTCCAGTTTATGAAGAGATTATTGACCTGTAACCAGATATATACACATTCTAGTAACACACAAGATAAACTGGTAAGTGAATATTTTTAGTTTGGTCGCATTTTACAGTGTATAATTAATTACAATCAAATATGATGCCATTCTTAAGTTCCTCATTCTTATTGACATCCATTATAAGTTTATGTTAAGTGTTTCATACTGTTCTGAATGCTTCTTATAAATCTAGATGGCTGCAGAAATACATTGTAGTCAATATATATCACTAGTTCCGTGTTTAACACATTCTATGATGTATATGAAGAGTCAATCTGTGTATATTTCAGTCACAAGAAGCAGAACACCTGGCTTTGTTGAGCACTGAACTTGCTTCAAAATTCCTCTTTACAGTGGGCTTTCATACTAAAAAATCTCTGAGGTAAGAATTTGTTCTTTCGTGATATAATATGATAATATTGAGCATATATATCTGGATATACATGTAGCAAACACTATACAGACAGATTTACTGAATATGCTATTCAGCTGCCTCAGCCCTAAAAGATTTTACTGGTCCTGTGATAAAAACGAACAACATGAAAATAGCCAATTGGCTGTTATTTGCTAGCAATTTACTTTGGCTAACAAATACTTACTAAATTCACATGAAAAAGTAGGGTTATACAGCTTTGCATGACCAATTTATATTGTATCTGCATGATTCCAAAGCCAGCATTAGATATATACTCAAGAACTTTAAATGTTTAAATTTTACAGAGGGTCAGCGACTGAATGGTACGAGGCCCTAACCTGTAACCTTAGGTCTAGTAAGAAAGTACGGATGTGGTTTGCACAGAATGTTATGTTTTCACAACCAGGAAGATTTGCAGAGTACCTTCTAGAGTGTCCTAGTTCTGAGGTAAAATATAATACATGTATCTAAATATATGAACTCCGGCATGAAAAAACTACCATGAATGTCATTTAAAGTTGTCTTTGACGTTAAAAATAAAAAAGTGAATACTTGAAATGTTTAAGATAAAATTTAATATGAATAAATAAAAAGTGCCAGTCCGTTCTATTTCTAAAGAATTGCATTATTGACAGTGCCTTCTAACATTGACAAATAAGGTTTATTGGATTTTAGACCAGTTTCATTTAAGCTATAAACATTGCTTGATTTGTTATTCACAGGTACGGAATGCATTTTGCAAGGTTGTTGTATGTTTGGCTCACTTCTCTCTAAATGATGGTGCATGTCCCCCACCTTTAGTGCAAGGACTGTATGGTAAGAGGCTTTGTTTGTTTTACTCTATCTTTATATCTATTGTATCATATAAGGCTTGATATCTATATCATTTTATCTCAGATTTCTACATGTAATAACAGGGTAACATAGAGTAAGTGAGTTTTACATTATGTACTTGTTGAATTTTTAATAATTATACAGCCTGAACCAAATAAGAAATTTCTTCGTATTGTATGACAATGCTGTAAACATTCAGCTGACAATATAGTCAGTCCGGTGGATGGTAAAGCTCTGAACAGGTTGTTTCCACTAGTATTTAGAGATTTAAATAGTTATTAATGAACAACACTGAAAAAATGTCTGTATTTCAGCTGGTCATTCTGGAGACCCTAAAGAAACATTAAGTGATCATTTATTGATGGCAGTGTTAAACTTACTAAAGAAAGAAGTATCGGAGCATGGTCGACATCTACAACAATACTTTCATCTGTTCCTAATGTACTCAAACCTTGGGGTAGCTGAGGTAGGTTTATCTACATTACATTAATAGGTTTTAACCTTTATAGTACTGGAAGAAAGCATTGTTAAGTCTTGTCAGATTTCATAATTATTCAGCCCGACCTTGCTCTATACTTTATCACAATATCCACAAGGTTGATGAAGAAAATGGGTTCTTCAAAAAGTCTTGGAAAAATATCTAGGGTTCTTAAATCTGCATTATTGCCTTTATATAATTAAGCAAAATAATGTTATACCTTTAAGATAACTGTATATTTGAACTTGACTAAAATAATGTTCAAACTAGCCCATTACCCAGATTTTAAATAATACCGATTATTTCTACATAGAAATAACTTGAGTTTATTTTGGTGCGAATAATTGGGTTTTTCTTTTTGCTATTTATAGCACATAATCGGATTGGTTCTGTTATTACTACCGGGGTCGGGTATAAATACCAGTCACCGGATGTACAATTCCTTTCCACTTTTACAACCGAAAGAAACACTGCAAGGTTTACTAAACTGTTCTTTCTATGCCCATATTGTAAATTCATCATTGAATGTTACAAATTAAACCTTTGGATAATCTTGCTTAGACAGGGAGTATTTTTGTTTTACAGAAAATGCATTTACTGAAGTTGAATGTACCAGCATTGTTTATGATGGTAGCTCTAGATGAGGGACCAGGTCCACCAATCAAATACCAGTATGCTGAGTTGAGTAAGCTGTACTCTGTAGTGTCACAACTTGTAAGATGTTGCGATGTATCATCTAAATGTACCTCATCGGTGGTAAGTCACCAAATTAATATATGTATATCTACATCATTATCCCCCGCCGAAAAGGCGGCGGGGGATATAGAAATAGTCTCCGTCTGTCCTTCCGTCCGACATTTTTGTCCGGAGCATATCTCAAAAAGTATTTGAGGTATCAACTTGAAACTTCATAGGTGGATAGACCTCATTGAGGAGGAGTGCAGTGCACAAGAATGATAACTCTACCCTGCATAATTTTTGAGTTATTGCCCTTTGTTATTTTTCATACTTAATTTTTCACCTGAGTGGAGCATAACTCAAAAAGTGTTTGAGATGTCAACATGAAATGTCATAGGTGGATAGATCTTATATAGGAGGAATGCTGTGCACAAGAATGATAACTCTTGGCTATATAATTTTTGAGTTATTGCCCTTTGTTATTTTTCATACTATTTTGTCCGGAGCTTATCTCAAAAAGTATTTGAGGTATCAACTTGAGACTTCATAGGTGGATGGACCTCATTGAGGAGGAGTGCAGTGCACAAGAATGATAACTCTACCCTGCATAATTTTTGAGTTATTGCCCTTTGTTATTTTTCAAAATAAATTTTTGTCCAGAGCATAACTCAAAAAGCCTTCGAGATATCAACATGAAACTTCATAGGTGCATAGATATCACTCAGGAGGTGTGCAGTGCACAAGAATGATAACTCTACCTTTCATAATTTTTGAGTTATTGCCCTTTGTTATTTTTCATACTTTCACCTGAGTGAAGCATAACTCAAAAGTGTTTGAGATGTCAACATGAAATGTCATAGGTGGATAGATCTTATTGAGGAGGAATGCTGTGCACAAGAATGATGACTCTTCCCTAAACAATTTTTGAGTTATTGCCATTTGTTCTTTTTCATAGTATTTTGTTGGGAGCTTATCTCAAAAAGTATTTGAGGCATCAACTTGAAACTTAATAGGTGGATAGATTTTACTGAGGAGGGGTGCAGCACACAAGAATGATAACCTACCCTGCATTATTTTTCAGTTATTGCCCTTTGTTATTTTCAGCCATCAGTATTCACATAGGTTTCAAATCTGTAATCACTTCAGCCATCAGTTTTCATTACCAAAAGACCTCTTAAAATTGAATTATTCTGCTCTACTACATATACACTCTTCCAATGAGCAAACACTTTCGGCGGGGGATGGCCATGTTGACATGGCTCTTGTTTTATTGTAAAAACAGATCGCCAGTCTAGTCTAATGAAACTTTTTACATTCTTGACTTTTCTTCCTGAATACGAAATTGTACAGAATGTTTTTCATTATGTCATCAACTACATGAGAAAAGCAAAAGATAATAAACATAACTATATGTGTTGTGTAAACATACAGACCTTTCTCAGTAGTATTGATTTATGATGTACCTATGATATATTGGCCTAATTAGGAAAGTGTTTGTTCTACTGAACTTTGAGTCCTGGTTAAAGTAAATGCTTTTTTTGTTTGACCATTCTAATGGCAACAAAATGCGTACTGCTTTTTGTCCTGACCTGTGTTTTAAATGATGTATTTGAAGCTTTTGGCAATTATATACGGAAAATGAATACTATAAAGGTTAGTAATGTAACAGAAAGAGGTAAGATAAGGTAAATGTTGACCAATATATGATGACTTAAGTCCTTTAGGGCGTTGCTTGCCCTGTAGTGCCTCTTGTATCCCACTCATATGTAAACAGGTATGATGTTATGTATAAACTATTTCAGGCAAACCAGGAAGCAGCAGCTAACCCGTACGGTGACCAGATATTGATGCCAATACAACCACAGGTTGCTGATATACTCATCAGTAGAACTAGTTATGTCAAGAAACTTCTAGAAGATTGTAACAACTCTGAGGATACAACCAAATTATTAAGAGTATGTATATTGATTGACAGAGAAATGTTATGTAACTTGTATGAACATTTGTTAATCTCCGTCAGGGTTATCTATAGGAGTCCACATATCCCTGCAGTGTTACTTATTTGTTGCCCAATTTTAGTTTATGGTAAAAATTCCTACTTGAATTTGCATGTGTGAATTATTTTCTTACAACATATCAATACCTTGTTGATTAGAAGCCAAAATTTTTTAAGCAGTGGATTAACAATTTACCTTAAGTTCTTGGTAAAGTTATAGGGCAAAAGGGAATCATTTTCACAGATATTGTTTGGTTTTATTAACCTGTCAATTCCATACTAATTACACGGTCAATGCACACAATATATTATTAAGATTTTCAGTAATTTCCGTGAGATGTACGCAGTGAGCATCAGTGAGATTTGATTTAATCTAATTTGTGCCCATGAAGCAATTATACTGAGCGGTATAGCACAATAGGGTAATGGCTACGGGTTAATGATTTCTAAGTGTCCTACATGTTGTAAGATCGAGACCGCGTACCTTTTTCTTATTTATAACTATTTTCAACATTATTGGAACTATGATTGCTTGCATTGCTTGAATTGTTGTTCGTTTTGATTAAATATATTTAGCAGGTTAAGTCTTACATGCTTTCAGAATTAATATTTATAATTCATTCGGATTAAAATTAGAAAATGTCATTTCAATGGCGTAAAACACAAGACAAATCGAGACTATGTTTCTTAGTGTATTCATATATGTGTAGACAATATTGGAAGCACTCAGCCATTACCATAAAAATATACTGCAAAATAAAGAAAAAGAGTAGGCCTAAAAATAATGGCAAAAGTAGGGATCGAACTACAGACCCCTAATATACTAGACAATCACTCTACCGTCCGTGTTGTTGCAGATTTGACAAGGCCTATGCATTAAGCTGGTGTGACTTTTCAAAACATAAGTTATCTACTCCATATTAATTCTCGTAAACTACACGGACAGAACCGAAGTGAAATCGAATATTTAAATGAGTGCTATAATGTATTCAAAATTGACAGGTCAATAAAATCAGACTATAATGTATGACCGAAGAGAGGCTTTATATTAAACTCAAAGTTGGTGTTTTGAGAAGAAATTGCTTAAATTAAGACAGTTTTTATGTGAATTTAATTCTTTTTCAGTATTGTTGCTGGGAAAATCCACATTTCTCATCTACTGTTCTCAGTGAACTTTTGTGGCAGGTTAGTAAAGATATTTTGTTGTTCTGAAATGGAATGTGAGAATGAAACTTTAAAATATTTTGAAAATTATGTTATCTCATAATGTTGACAACAACAAGCACTTTTCTAATGCATGTGTATATCACTATGTCTGTTTGACCATACTCAGCTGTTGGATGCTAAATTTAAATATCATTGCATTTGAAGTTAACTAGGTGTAGCCATTAATACAAGGGTATATATAGGGAAATTATATGACAATAAGTAAAATACGTATTATTCATATGAACAATCATGCATACAATGATTTTGTGCCAAGTCTTTGAACATGGTAATATTTAATTAGATTTTCGGAGAACATGAGAATGTAGTACTTATGAACTGTTTATTATATAAGATCCTTATATGTTTTGAAATTAGCTGAATAAATGTTACTGACATCTAAATCAAAACATGCTAGGAAAATAAAATGCCATTGTTTGGACATCACTAAGTTTTACATTAGTTAACAAATGTTTGTAAGAATGATTTAAATGATGTTGTATATAAAATTTCAGGTTGCCTATTCGTACACATATGAATTGCGGCCATACTTGGATCTTCTTCTACAAATGTTGTTACTAGAGGACTCGTGGCAAAATCACAGGATACACAATGCTCTTAAAGGTAAATCTGTCATACAAGGAACCTGTTTATACTTCCATTTATTGTCCAAACACTTGCTATGCATTAGAAACTATTTTAGTACTTCAGTTAATCATATTTAGATGAAATGCAAATGTGTTAGTTTAAACATTATTTAAGCTTAATTTTGAAGAAAACTTTCAGTTTATGTCAGTCGAATGTACACTCCTTGAGCTGAGAGGCAAATACCTGATCAATAAGTCTGTATTGTGTTTTCAAAATAAAAAGTTGATCAAGTTCTGTTTGCTTAAACTACAAGCTAACAGAAATGAAAAGAAAAAAAAATAGAAATTTTTGGGTATACTAATTGATATTGTACAATTAGATAGTGGTTTCGAGAAGGTTTACTGAATTCGATCAATATTTCAAAGATAATCTGTAGCTGGACTATTCAAGGAATAGTGAAGGCTTTTGTACTCGCCCAGGCGCCAGTTTCGTACTTTTGCTTAAGTTTCTGTGTGCAAGGTATCTCCAAAACTACTGAAGCGAATGAGTGGAACATCCACACATTTAATCAAGAGCCTTAAAGAAGGTCACTATCAAAGGCCCTTAAAACTAACATGGTATTTAACACAATTATGGCCCTTTTTGAACTTTGAATTTCTGCATTTTATAAGCTTTTTTTTACTATTATTCATGGAAAATAGTCAAGCACACTGTCCTACCGAGAGCTCTTGTTTACTGTCTTCATTGCTAGTTAGTTGCTATATATAAATGACTTGTGTGTTTGGTGTTGCAGGTATTCCAGATGATCGTGATGGGTTGTTGGATACAATACAAAGATCTAAGAGTCACTATCAGAAGAGAGCATATCAGTGTATTAAAATGATGGTAGCATTGTTTATGCAGTAAGTAAAAACTCTGTTTAATCCCAAGTCATTGTTCCAAAGTAGAGGAACAAATTTTTGAATTGTAAGGTTTCTTACATGGTTTTACTTGCCACTACCATTTTGGGTTCATAACCTGCCATGTTCATTGAATTTTATCTGTTGAGGAAGTTGGCTGATCTAGTTAAATGGCTCTACTAAGGAGTAGACTTGTGCTAGTGGTCTTTTTACACCTTAGAAGCTGTAAGCATAAATGACCTCATGTCTTACAAAATAAAGAAATATAAGATGTCTTTACCAGTTAATTTATAAAAAGAGAGTTAGAATCATAATCTGTTTTTAGCTCACCTGTCACAAAGTGACAGGGTGAGCTTTTGTGATCACTTTTCGTCCGGCGTCCGTCGTCCGTCCGTCGTCCGTAAACTTTTACTTTAAATGACATCTCCACATAAACCACTAGGCTAATTTCATCCAAACTTCACAGGAATGTTCCTTTGGTGGTCACCTTTAAAAATTGTTCAAAGAATTTAATTCCATGCAGAACTCTGGTTGCCATGGCAACCGAAAGAAAAAACTTTAAATATCTTCTTTTAAAAAACCCTAAGAGCAAGAGCTTAGATATTTGGCATGAAACATCTTCTAGTGAGTGTCTACCAAGTTTGTTCAAATAAAAGCCCTTGGGTCAAAATTGGCCCCGCCCCAGGGGGTCATTGATTTTCCCTATATGCATATAGTAAAAACTTAAAAAATCTTCTTTTAAAGAACCCAAAGAGCTAGAGCTAAGATATTTAGCATGAAACATGTTCTAATGAGTGTCTACCAAGTTTGTTCAAATAAAAGCCCTGGTGTCAAAATTGGCCCCGCCCCAGGGGGTCATTGATTTTCCTTATACATGTATATGCATATAGTAAAAACTTAAAAAATCTTCTTTTAAAGAACTCAAAGAGCTAGAGCTAAGATATTTAGCATCAAACATGTTCTAATAGGTGTCTACCAAGTTTGTTCAAATCAAAGCCCTGGGGTCAAAATTGGCCCTGCCCCGGGGGTCATTGATTTTCCTTATATGTGTATAGCAAAAACTTAAAAAATCTTCTTTGAAAAAACCCAAATAGCTAGAGTTTAGATATTAAGCATGAAACATCTTCTAGTGAGTGTCTACAAAGTTTGTTCAAATAAAAGCCCTGGGTTCAAAATTGGCCCCGCCCCGGGGGTCATTGATTTTCCTTATATGTGTATAGCAAAAACTTAAAAAATCTTCTTTGAAAAAACCCAAATAGCTAGAGTTTAGATATTAAGCATGAAACATCTTCTAGTGAGTGTCTACAAAGTTTGTTCAAATAAAAGCCCTGGGGTCAAAATTGGCCCCGCCCCGGAGGTCATTGATTTTCCTTATATGTGTATAGCAAAAACTTAAAATCTTCTTTGAAAAAACCCAAATAGCTAGAGTTTAGATATTAAGCATGAAACATCTTCTAGTAAGTGTCTACAAAGTTTGTTCAAATAAAAGCCCTGGGGTCAAAACTGGCCCCGCCCCAGGGGTGTCATTGTTTTTAACTAGATGTGTATAGTAAAAACTTAAAAAAATCTTCTTTTAAAAAGCCCAATGAGCTAGAGCTTAGATGTTTAGCATGAAACATCTTCTTATGGGTGTCTACCAAGTTTGTTCAAATAAAAGCCCTGGGATCAAAATTGGCCCCGCCCCAGGGGGGTCATTGATTTTCCCTATATGCATATAGTAAAAACTTAAAAAATCTTCTTTTAAAGAACTCAAAGAGCTAGAGCTAAGATATTTAGCATCAAACATGTTCTAATAGGTGTCTACCAAGTTTGTTCAAATAAAAGCCCTGGGTTTAAAATTGGCCCTGCCCCGGGGGTCATTGATTTTCCTTATATGTGTATAGCAAAAACTTAAAATCTTCTTTGAAAAAACCCAAATAGCTAGAGTTTAGATATTAAGCATGAAACGTCTTCTAGTAAGTGTCTACAAAGTTTGTTCAAATAAAAGCCCTGGGGTCAAAACTGGCCCGGCCCCAGGGGTGTCATTGTTTTTAACTATATGTGTATAGTAAAAACTTAAAAAAAATCTTCTTTTAAAAAGCCCAATGAGCTAGAGCTTAGATGTTTAGCATGAAACATCTTCTTATGGGTGTCTACCAAGTTTGTGCAAGAAAAGCTCCTGGGTTAAATTGGCCCTGCAATGGGGGGGGGGGGGGCCTATATACAGGTGAGCGACCTCAGGGCCATCATGGCCCTCTTGTTCATTTTGTCAGAAATATAACTTGATGATAGGTGTATACTGTATGTTAATACTTATTGCTCTATTGTAGCTGTCCACCAGCCCAACAAATGTTACTTAGCAACAGTGATCTGAAGAGACGCTGGACCATGGCTGTAGAGTGGTTGAATGATGAACTTGAAAGGGTAAGTGTTTAATACTCTTAGTATTTAAAATGAAATTTATATCTGACATACATAATTGTAGTAAGAAATACAGTTTTTAAGAATAATGTTTACTGTAATCAGAATTGTTTATTGTAGGAAAGAAAAAAACTATGTAAAAGTAATTGGGGAAGATTCTTTTCTTCATTAATGTCTTATGTTAAGTCTGCTGAGTTATTGGGCAGCAATACTGAAAAATGATGCCAGATATTTATGTATAAAATTCCTTTGTTACAGCGACCATACCCAGGAAATGCCCAGTATACCTATAACAACTGGTCACCCCCAGCACAGTCAAATGAAACATCTAATGGGTAAGAAATTACAAAATACATACTTCAAGTTGTAATCATCTCTTTTACACTGATAATTTGAAACACAACAACTGCTGCTCAGTGTGTGTACTTACCACTTTAAACATATGCCTGGTTACAAATTTAAGTTAATATATGGTTCTAGGCTAATAAGTTGTTTTTTGCATTTACCACCACTAGAAAAGCCTGAAGGTTAAATTTGTTCCTAATAAATAGATTTTGTTTTTACAGACATTATTGTTCTGCTGTTATCCAATGTGTTCTTTTCGCATTGACCACCACTAGAAAGCCTGAATATTTACTTTGTTTTAAATAAAAAATATTTAATATCTACATAATAAAATTCGAAGAAAAAAACAACTGGTTGAATGCTTCATCAAGATAATTATAAATTTGAAAAAGAAATATTTTACCTAGTTATGTGAATTAAGTTCTACACATTGTGCCTGAAATATGACACAGAGGTGCATCTTAAATGTTTTTCCACTGATAAATGGCAGTGTAACAGTAATGGTCTGAATTGACTTGAAAGTCAGTCAAGAATTATGCTCTTGAGCAATAAATGTGAATTGCAATTGACATTCTATGGTTTGACTTCTATCATCACTTTATCATATATTTCAGATATTTCTTAGAGAGATCACAAAGTGCACGGGTAACATTGGCTAAGGCTATTGAATTGTGCCCAGATCCAGAAGAGGTCAGTTTTTAATGTTATTTTAATTAACAAATTAATTTATTTTTCATTATTAAGAGTGAAATAATTTTCTCTTTTTACTTTTCTTTTTTCATCTTTGCTATTTTATAAGAAATTTAACCTTATCATTCAATTTGATATTGAGAATCTTTATTATTACATAAGTCATGGCACAGAAGTTTAATAAACCCTTTTAATGTGCAAAGGCTGATTGACTCGTTTAGCTGAAAACTTGGTACCAGGTTCTTGAAGTGAAATCATTGAATTTAAGTCATATATTGCATACTGAACTAGCACAGTATTAATATTGGTGTTATAATTCATATAAACAAAGACACTTTAAATAACAATTTGGATGGCACTAGTATGTCTAGATGAATCTTTCTCATTGATTATGATTTAATTTGAGAAGTTTGCTCTTACAGCTGGAGAGAGCACAGCTTAGTTCAAGTGAAAACCCTTAATATCTTGATTTGTGTGTTCAATATGACTCTGGTTTAAGATCACATGGAATATTTAAGGTAACAACTGTCAACACATTACATTTAGATGGATTTAACAGGAGGAGAAAAAATGGATCTATAGGGTATTATATTGCTTTGTGGAATAGAAATAATCTAAGATTCTACCTTCTGTTGTGTTCTAAGAAAATTGATATTAAAAGCACAACCATGTATAACTTATGGGAATATTTCAGGACCAGGAAGATGCAGATTTAACAGATGACCAGGAAGGTTCCCATCTAGATGATTCACAACAAGGTCTAGGTCAGGAGGACACTGAGAGGTCACAAGGTCAGAGGTCAGCTGATGGCAGGCAGGTTCAGAACAATCAGGTCAGTATTTGGGTCTTAGGTCTCTAATGCTTTAATTTCTTTAATATTGTAAAATCTTGTGATCTATTTCAATGAATATAAGTGAAATACTGAATATCTGGCCCTAAATAAAAATACTTGTTACATGTTAGTAAAATGAAATTTGTTGTTTAAAGGTAAATGTGGAGAAGTCACAACCAGTACAACCTAACAACCAAATCAACAATCAGCTTAACACACCGTCAACCAGTGAACAACAACAACAACCAGCATCAACCACACCTGAAACTGGCGAGGCTGAGGAGAAAAATGAAACAAAGGTAACCAACTTTTTGTGTGCTATCAAAATAGATTTTCTAAAATGAAATAAAAAGGATAATAAGTTATCTTGTAAAAAATTCTGGCCTCATTTCTTTTTAAAAATTAGATTTAAAGTAATGCAAAAGAGGCTATTTATAAGTTGTTTGTTAAAAGTATTATTTGTTTGTATGTTCAGGTAGTGAAAGAAGAAAGTGATAAAAGCGAGAAGCAGACAAAATCCAGTCAACAAGAATCCACCACAAAGTGTGACCCGGAGCAAACCTCTAAATCTATACCAGATCCTGGAACATCCAAATCTGCACCACAGGAGTCTAACACAACAAAATCCACTAACAAAGAGCCAAAGGCTGTCAATAAAGACAAAGGGAAACCTGTTTGAACACCTTTTTAAATGTGGCAGATGAATTGATAATGTACTTCAGTTGTTATGAAAATTGAAAGGGGAAAAAAAATCATCCGTTCAGTGTAAAAGTGTAAAAGTGTTTTGTTAGGACAAAAAATGTTAATTTTTTAGTGTGACTGTGCTTTGTGTATAACTGTCCCTTTTATAGCAGATATTACATTCAGTGCCATCTCATAAGGAGTACAATACATTTAGTTGTAGCAAAGTAATTGTGGGCATGTCAAACACTTGCAATGTCATGAAAACATGTATATACATATATACAACCTATAGTGATAAATTAGATGTTCATAGTATTCAATATTTTATTGAAACATTTTGTTATTGATATTGTTCATGGCAAAGACAGGGTGTAGAAAAGCAGATATTTGATAAGAGTTGTGGCCCCTTGCTTATAGTGTAGTGTAACCTGCTGCTAAAGGTATAGACCTTTTTAGGTCCTTGAAAATACGACCATAAGGTATAATCCATTATGGCAGAATGGGGGTGTTAGTGAAATTGTTTATGGAATTTTCATATAAATGACTTCTCTGTCAATTGGGTTTCTATTTTTACTAGAAAGTGAATTGAAAATTTTCTTTCTTAATTGCATTGTAAAAAATGACAATTGAAAGAATTTTTACATATTAAAAAGGTCATATATGTTGATACACATGATGGTTTTAGAAAAGATTTGTGTACAGAAATTGTTAAGTAATGATAGGAATTTTGGTTTTTAAAAAACAAAATTAAAGCATTCTTTGTATATGAATAAATCTTCTTCTTGTTTTAAGTATAAACTTTAAGGACATTGTTAGTTTAGTACTACACCGATCTTGAGTCTGAATTGTAGTTGTAATTTAAGATTATTTATTAACCTTATTATGGTAGGCGCTAGGCAGACATATTAATTCATCATAAAGTTACAAGTCGGGTATATTATGTACAGTTTACTATAGTTAAAAGATTTTACCTGGACAAATATTGAACCACATGACTGGTTATTTTGGTGTAGTATGTTCAACATGAATTGTTAAAGATATTTATTCCGACCATTTTCTTATCAACGTAGAAGGTTTTGTAGAACAATGTTTTAAAATATCTAAAAGGGAATCTTAAAGATTCTTTGTTTTATCTCTTATTAAACCCATGTGCTATTGTTTTGATGTAAATACTGTCTTTGAAAACTGTTTTGTTAACATGTGTTTTAATTATTCTTGTACAAAATGTTTTCTACTTGTATCTTTTACTCTCACACTCTCTCTCTCTCTGGCTTTTATTTGTGTATGTTGTATTAAAGTGATTATAGCGCGATCACAGAGTTATGTACATAGAAACATATGAGCACACACATTGTTATACATATTCTATAATGTAGGTATGACATAAATATTGTCAGCGTTCAGTGAAAGCAAAGTATATGTGAAATTGCTTGCTTGTTATGTCATCACAGTGTACATTCATTTCATACAAAGTTAACTTATCAAACAATCTGTCAGTTTAAAAGTTTGGGGGAAATAATATATATCACTACATGTGACTTGCAAATGAATGTCCTGAGTTGTGCTTAACTCGGAACACACTTCATTCCAGATTTTTAAAAAAAATATAAGATGACAGGTTTCTTTATCATCATCCCTGCAAGGTGCGGTTTTTAACAGTTTGGGTTATAAATGGTTGATGTGATGCTATGGTAAATATCTTTACTCTTGTCTGAGAAATGTTATAAATGGTAAGCTTATTTTACTATATAAAATAATCAATTTTTTGTTGCTGGAAAGCATGCTTTTTCGGATGGAAAAACAACTTCATTTTAAATGCAGCCCTTTATTTACTGAAGAGTTTCTGATAATTAACATTTCGCATTTTTTGTGGGGAAAAATAAAACTTCATTATCCAGTCATCATGTATATACAGTATATTAATGCTAGAACATGTGTTATGTCAATATTTATATATACATGTATATAACTAGTTATTACTGGTGACCTACATATTACTTATAGCCATTATGACTTGCCTACATGTATGTCACCACTATCAAGTCGAACCATCCTGAGGACTGACCAGAAAGCTAATTAGTGTAAGCATTCAACCCATCCAAAATCCCCAAAATAACCAATGAACTTGATTAAAAAGCATAGCAAATCCATTGTTTATTTAGTATATGAAGTATATGATCTTAATTAGGAAAAAAGCCTGTAAAAACCTAGATGACATCGTTGAACGTTGAAATCCTGCAAGATTTTTTGTATGTAATGTTGAAGAATGTTTATGCTGGAATGTATTATAGTGGTCTGTACTTGATGTACAGCTTTTTGTTAAGGTTCTTTAATTTATTGTTCAAACTTTTTTTTGTATTCATATTGAATAAATATATTTGTTGCTTGAATGTGATTGTTCCATAGCAAGGATCTAAATTATTTTATAATGAAGTAAATTTTGACACTTTCAATATGGTTTGTTGTCATTTTAACTTGAATATACATACATGTATATTGAGAGTTGTCTTACTCACCCAATTGTTGAAGTGTCCAGATTTCTATTCAATTTTTTTTTTTTTCAGGAAAACTATATTGTTACCTCAAACTACCAATATTTCTAACTTCAACATATAGCATTTCCATTTCTCCCATATCACGTGACTATAGGTTTCTAATGGTAAAAATATTTCAAATTTTATATTCAAGGTTTTTTTTTGATAAAAAGATCACAAACCAACACAGTTTATCAAAATACATTCAGTTGACATAAACACACTCGAATCCGTGGGATCCTGCTTTAACTTTAAACGTAAGGATAACGTCATTGCTTTTATTTTACTGATCGGTAGTATGTATAATTGATATGTAGTGTGGTTATTCGTGAATGTTATGAACTATATTTTCTTTCCTTGTTTTGTACTGAAGAAGGCAAGTGGAATTCCTCAAATATTAGAGAAGTTCTACTAGGTCCAAAAAGCCTTAAAAAATCTGAAAATCCTGCAAACATCAACTACGGCACTTAACTGATACGGAAAAAACAGATAAATACATGTACACTCAAAATTAAATTGAAAAAAAAAATCTGGAAAAAAAACCTTGTGTTATTGTAACAGATCACAATAACGCTGGACACCATCTGTATTTTTTCAGATTGAAAAATCGCAGCATTTATCGTGGACATAAATGATAACTTGCACGTTTCATATTGGTTTATTTACATAAAGTAGTCCGTCGACTAAAAAAAAACTCTACATGCAATGATGTGATCCGTGTTCAGCGGAGTGTCCATGTATATGATGATTGGCTGTCTCTAGGCCCTGGAATGTCTGAAACGTTATATATAAAATCATTAAACGCAATTATGTCATATTTACAACGCCACACAAATACATACAGTTCGTGCAGAACAACTCAAATCGTGTGATTGATATAATGAATAAGATGGAATTGAAATGTACAGTATTCAATTAACTCAATTTTATGTTTTACCAGCCGAATTTTCTGTACAGCATGTCTTGTAGATGATAGAATCATTTCACAGCATCTGCATGGTAGACGGCGAGCGACAATGTCTTTCAAGACAGCGGTGTAGTGTTAGAGCCTTTTGAAGTGTCCGTTGTGGTCACCAGAAAATAATATATGTATACATGCATCTTACGACTGTGCTTTGTCATTTTCTCCCAATTTCACTTAACAAAAAAAATTTACTTGTACACAACCAGCAATATTTATTTCGCTATAAGAAACTTACCTTGACCCACCAGGTAACCCACTCGGTTTGTGTTAGGTTCGCATCCCCTGTAATAAAAGTTTAATTTCGTAAGTATATGTACTTATAGGCAAGTAAAATGACTCGTTACAATAATAATATCTGACTTATATAACGGTTTGGATCGGAATATCTGTCCCCAGGGGGACCCGCCCATTGATCATATTTTCATTGATGAATTTCTTAAATAGACATGAGTGGCGGCATGGCCGAGTGGTTAACGCGTCGGACTAGTAATCTCATGGTCGCTAGCCGCATGGGTTCAAACCCCGTCAGGGACAAGTCTTTGTTTCCTTGAGCAAGAAACTTTACACTCATTGCTCAGTACTGGTTGGTTCCAGGAACGGATTCGAAAGTGTGTTTATAAGCCTACACAATCGAACTAAAATAAATTCTGCATAAACAAATAGACAATGTGTAATATGGGTTTCCTGACAAATAAAATTTTAATGAAGCATAAAATGTATGAATTTAATGAAAACTGTGAGAAATTTGAACCATTGGAGTCCAGTTTTGCATGAAATGCCTCAAAGTCTGTAATTTGCAGTTGATGGTCGTTTGGACTTAGATCATACTGGTCGTATAGATAGTGGGATAGTTGATATAATGCTGGTTGAAGGAAACAGATGAACGACGTGTATTCATGTCTTGATATATGACCGTCATCTACAATACAAAACATTACATTGCAATAAATACAAAAATTATCATTTAAAAGAAGAGGTGCCTGGGTTGTTTAGGGTGCAGACTTTGAAAACTTGCCCATCACAGCTGTGGGTTCGAATCCTGTGAGGGATCATGAATTCTACCTGCACGCGCTTAAAAGTCTGGAAAGTCAACAAGAGCTTTGCAGTATCGACGTCACTTAATTAAAACCTACTAAAAAAAAGACAGAACAGGTATACATGCATAACTATATACACATATGTAAACAGATGCAATGTTGGATCTGTATTTAACACTCAAATCTGGCTGGCAAAAAGGAAAAGGCAAATCTTGTCGTGGGAATTACGGATCTGTTCTTAACAATGACCCAAAACTTCATAATACAATAAAATTTGCTTTCAAATTTCTGTTATAATATTTGTTAATCTGACTTGGTGTGATGTTTAGAATACATGTTTATCGTTATACATTTTCAAAAAGGTTATACAACATTAAGAAACGGTGACATCTATGGCCTTTTTAACTAAAAGTGATAAGCTTTTATCACAAGTTTTACAGACAGACCTGCCTCAACATCCGCGCAGTCTGACTAGGCCCGGTTCTATTTTTTGCATGGAAAATAAATGTATTTTGTAAATGAAATACATTAATAGTCAAATGAACTTTTTCAAATTCAAAACAGGGCAAATTCATTAAAGAAGCAGGTAAATGGGCCAATGTATTTAAAACAATCAAAAATATCGTGACTTTGCCGAGATAACTGATTTAAAATAATACATGAATGTAAAACCACTGATAATCTTTGACATACGATTCGCGTCATACTGGCGAAATTCGTCCTCAATTTCAGTTACAGTAAGTATCCCGTCTTTGTTGGTGTCAGATTTCTGGTACATGTGAGCTGCGAACTCGTCGTATGGTTTCAACAACAACACGTTGACACTGTAGAATCAAAAGTATATTTTAAAGCCAGTCAAACTACCAGTATATAATTTTTATGACTTCGTGAATAGAGACTTTTTAACTACATGTATTGCAATCTGTTCATTGCAACTTAAGTCTCCACCGAATCAATGTAGTGCTTATGTTTTGGCGAAAAAACAGAGGTGGTATGCTCAACTTATTGTGTGGGGCTAGAGTCTTTACAAGGGGATGGGTATTCATAAGTCAATTAACGTCTCCAGGGTGTGAACCAAGGTTACAACAGACTGGTGCAACACTGCATTTTGTCAAAATTACTTCTTTTGCTGTTGTTGTAAAGAAACAGCACAATGGATTATTACATTACACACCCAGTGACCATTGGTTGTAGCGTATAACTACCCTAGTTCACGGTCAGTAAAATTTACTGCTTTTTGTCAACTGTTACCTAAGCGCGGAAATGTTGTTTAGTTTATTAATTACTTGACTTACAGAGTCTTGGCATTGTATCAGGACATTTGGCATCAACGGTTAATCCGAAATAGTGTAAGTGGTGTTTAATTTTAAAGTATGACACTTTTATATACATAGATAAAACAATTACCCAGAGGTCGCTGATAAACAACACAATGTCAAAAGTAATGCAACAATCATCTGAAATAATAAGAGTTAATTCCATTGTTTGCACCAAACCAAAAATTTATATTTTTGGAATAAAGGTCTACAAAAGGTTTGGTTAAAATCATTTAACATACTTATGATCATAAAGATTATGTTAATAACTTTTTTCCTCCAAAGTCAATAGATAAAACATGATAATGCCCCGACATTCAAAATTTATTCCCTGACGCAATGCTAATGTTATTATATTACTTAAATATGTTTAAGAACTGTTTGTAATATGTATACATGTATTTACAAGTTTTTTATTGGAATAGAAATTAAATGCGAATGAAATTACTAAAATAGCATACAAAAGAATAATTTTAGTTTGCTTGTCGTAAAATAAAATGTGGTTGTATCAATTTGTATTACTTTTAAATGACAGTATTTCTTATAACTGAAATGTTCTTGTGATATATATACTGTATGTAGATCATTTTCAGTTATAAAAAATAAATAAAAGAAAGTTCTCACGTTAATGTTAAGTCCAAGACTGTGAAATTGATATGTGAGATGTGTCTTTGCAAAAGTGTCAAGTTTTATCAGTAGAGTTGCCATGTATACATTTATATGCCAGATTAGGTTTATATCAACACAGTTCTGATTTAATTTGTATATACATGTACATTGTTATACAATGTAGCATGAGTGGCACAAAATCAAATGTCTCGCTTGTAGACTGATGCATTTTCATATATTGCCTTGTCATAGAATTAACTACAAAATTCATCGAAAGCACATGTAAAATGTAGATACATTTTCTTGTTTAATATCCATGTAGTACATGTATTAACATGATTCCTGTAAAATTCATGTTAAAGAAGACAAATCAGTTACAATACAGTTAATCATGTAAAAAATTATTTATATTATAACCAGAATAATGTATGTTTCTTCTTAAAGAGCATTTTATACCTCATAAAAACTATAACAGGACACCAAAACTAAAATAAAAAACTTTGAGAAATGAAGATAAAGGCAGTTATGGGGTATTTGATCCACGGTATGTCTATGCCATTTTACTATTCTTATTTAACTATTTCTTATCTTTATGCATGTTTTCATATTTGAAAAAGAATACGCACAGAGAGATTTTTTTCTACATTTTAAAGGAAACAAATACTTTCTGAACGTGCAAGTTTGTAAAATTAAAGCAATAACATATACAATATTTGTTGTATTCAATAAACCGTCACTTCTTGTTGTTTGTTGTTGTTGTTTTTTAATTTGTGATCAACTAAAAATTAGGTTTGAAATAGCATGAAAGGTGTTTACTAAAATAGCAGCGACTAAGTTTGATTCTCTGCAAAAATGGTTGAAAACACAGTACTTACTGTCCTTGCTGATGAGCGTTCTAAGTACTTCAAATATGCTACACTTGTGCGATAATATCAAAGCTAGAAATTGTCCCTATAGGGTCGTTGTGTATATTAACCGATTCATCCAAGGGTCTGTGGTTTAATTCAGATTGATACATTGTACCAGTGTCGAATTAATGCAAAAATGATTAATAATGGAAATAACATTAATACATAATTTTGTTTTGTGTATAAAGTTTCTTCCCTTTTTCCTTTCCTTTGTCAAGTTATCTGAAAAAGTATCAATATTGTCAAAGCATAAGAATATGTTCGGTGGTGGCTTAAATTATTATGCGTTTCGAATTTTCATAAAATCTCTTGATCTAGAACTTTGTTATAGATAGTAAAAGAGTACAGTGACATTTTATGATCCCCTAGAAAGCTTATTAAGTATTTTTTTATTTGAAAACAAATTAATTAAAATTTACCATGAAATGAAAAAAAGATAGTATAGGGCGCCTTGTTTTTCTTTCAGAATTTGAGAGTGTGGTTTTCAGAAGAAAAAAATGATTAACTTAAATTGAGACAAAAATTTTAATACTTCTACGTAAGTCATTCTTATTTTTAAGGCATCCCTAGAAGGTTTATAAAAAAATCTTTTTATTTGATACCAAATTTATTAAAATTGATTAAGAAATAAAAAAGTTAGAAGGGGACGCCGTGTTTTTCTTTAGTTTTATTAGAGACATAGATAACTATGTCTCTGGTTTTATTGAGAAAAATTGGAGAGTCGCCGGGTTTTATACCTCACTGTGTTACAGTACGGTATGGTACGGATTTCAAACGAATTTTAGGTATTACAGACATAATTTCCGGTTCCGGTTAAAAGCAAAACAGAAAAAATCGTGAATTTTTCGTCTTATTAAATTCGAGACGATAACTGGGATAATATGATATCCTAATCTCATTCATAACGTTATTCTGGACTTCGCTTAGGACTCAATCAGTTCAGTTTTTACACACTGTGCTAGTGACATCATGTTGCAGGTACAAATTATCATAATACACACACCATAAAAATACACAGACACTTGGGGTTATGTGCGTGGCTCCCCATCTTGATCCGCACTTGTATACACCATGCCAATTTTTATCGTGCAAACCGTACGTCAAAATATTTTTGCATATTATTACTAAGTGGTCACATGTCTTGAACATAAAACTTGTTTTCCGCTATTTTAACAACATTTAAAAAAGTCCCTAAAATATCATAATTTCATAAAGATCACAACGTACGCTTTCCTTTGATGTGAGACGACTGGAATGAGTTTTGGCACTGTTTAGCGCTTTGATTAATGCTGAGAACCAAAATCCCCGCAGCGGTTACTTCCCCTAATCAGCGGCGGCAGGAAATACCCAAATACACCCAAATGTACCCAAGTATCGCCCATATATACCCAAATGTAGCAATATTCACTTTTTTGTGTATAAAATACAGATTATAGTGAGAAAATTAATTAATATTTATAACATAGTATGACTTAGGTGGCTATAACTTTCATTCATTCTGTTGAAATGGGCAGTTCAGATGTTGTAAGAAAATAATCTTGTAACATTTGCTTATCTACAGTAGGTTCATTAATGAATACAAGCGGCCATCGTATTATTTAAAAAAAAAAATTTAATATAGCTTTAATGGAGTATATACTGTATTTGGGTATATTTTGGTGATAGGAAAATGTATATTTGGGTATGTTTGATTTTATCTAAGTAAATGTTTATATTGTAATTCATAATAAAAATAGCACTTAGCAATAGTTTAGGGATGTTTTTTTTTACTGTAAACCATTTCAGGATATATAACATACAACTTACTAGTAAAAGCAAATGTTCATGTTCATGATCTGATATTAATTGATGATTATACATATCAATTTTCAACATGCAACCAAGTTAATAAAATTCAATGCTTGAAATGTTTGGGCTGGAAAAAAATCATCTGGGCATCAAATTCATGTAGGCCAGTTATGTAGAAAATATTGGTTTTAATATTATGAGGCAGTGAAGGGCAGGGTTTTCAGTCCAAGTGTCTGAGCATGAATCTTGGCTGGGAGTAGATTTACTTGATATAAATAAAATATGAACATTGTTTTGTTAAATTTTTACTCTTGGCTAAACAATGTTATACAGAAACTGACCAATCAATGTTCAATTCTGTAGCGATAGATTTTAACACCTGCTTAAGTATTAAACAACATATATTAACTAACTGATTTATTTCATATTAAGTGGTAACTTTGGGTGTAGTTACAGGTCACAAAGGTCAAGGTCACTGGTGCTTAAACTAGAATTTTACTCTTCAACAAATATAGCCTTTACTTATTGACTGATATTCATATTTGGTAGTGGTCCTCAAATTATGGGTAGAATAAGAGGTCATTGAGTTCAAGGTTATGGACACCAGTGCTATATTTAGATAGACTTTTGTTCAGTTCGGTAGCATTCATTGCCATTATCCATATTTCTTGCTTATGTTATTTAATTCTTATTTTATTTACACCAGAAATGTTAAATATTGAAAGCGAAACATGTCTTATATATTGAATGTTATAATGTGTAATGTCTTACATATTTTTTTACCTTTATTATGCTATTTGCATTTTATGAGGAATTGTTTGGATGTTGCACATGCTAAAATAAAACTATCACAAGTGCTTATATAAATTATCTAAATTTTGGACTATACTTTGGTTTAAATATACTGAAAGAACATTGTGCCCATTTCATTTTGTGTTAGACCAGCTAGGTATTTATAAAAACATTCCTTGGTAGATGATTATGATATGTGTTATGAAGAACCCAACAATTTAACCTTTTCAAAAAAGTTCAAGTTATATAATTATATTGTTTGTTTCTCCATGACAAGTGAGAAAATGGCAGTGATTTTTGTAATAAATATATTATGCCAATTTTTTTAATGTTTTTTTTTTTTTCAGAAGTGAGACATATTCCTGAAGTATGGAGTCATTACTGGATGAAGTAGACTCCCTTCTTACCCCAGGACTGTCTACAGACACTCCCGAGTGGTGCAGTAATTGTCAGTCCCTTAAACAGGTTGGTTAATAAAAATATAAATAAATTAAGCATGATGTAATGAAGATAATATGATCTTTCATGGTAATTAGAATTGTGATAAAACAAAAGCTAACACAGTAAAATGTACCAATCACAAGCTTGACTATACAATTTTATGATGTCTTTGTGTCATACTATTTAAACTATTTAAATAAAAAAGATATTGAAAGATTTCTTGTTTTTAGATATTTAAAAGTTATCTTTTGCATATTAATGTGATCCTGAGTGTTATTAATGACATAATATTATATCACTCGCAGCACGATCCTTACTTTTGCTATTATTTTTCAATAAAAGATGAAAAAAAAAGATTCTAGTGCTTTTGTTTTATATGAAAGTTTTTTGGAAGCTATTCCGTTACATGAAGCTTATGGAATGTCAGTGATCCTACTCAGATGCCTGCAATAAGGCATTGAGGAGTACTTAAGGTCTTCCTCCATCAGTAAAGGTGAAAAGTCACCATATGACTTTAAATGTTCTGTGCAACTAAAACTCAACCAAAAACAAGTGTATAGGTATGCTCCATTGACTTGTGAATATTTGAGCAACGTCACGACAAGACCAACATAGTGGGTTTGCGACCAGCATGGATCCAGACCAGCCAGCGCATCCGCGCAGTCTGATCAGGATCCACGCTGTTCGCTATCAGTTTCTCTACTTGTAATAGAGTTGGTAAGCGAACAGCATGGATACTGATCAGACTGCACAGATGGGCAGGCTCATCTGGATCCATGCTGGTCGCAAACCCATTATGTTGGTTTTGTCATGACACGGCTCATGTGTATGTTTCAGGAAATTAAGAGATTACAGGATGAGCAGCTACAGAATTTCAGTAAATTGAAGCAGAAAATTATTTCCACCGAGTGAGTAAAACTATATAATAGATTTAAAATATGATAAACCTAGATATTGGATCCATACCAGTGTTAATAATCAGGAAAAGGATATTCAGTGATGGGGTCTGCGGTGTTTTCTTTGATATAATTGGCATGCACATAATCTGGAGTCATTGTTGATTTTCAATTTTAAAAAGGTACCAATTAATGTAAAAGAGGACTTACATAGTCCTAAAGTTATATATCATAACATATAGTATGTTTGTATGTCAGATGTGTATATGGATGTAATCTAAGGTGGTAGCTCTTTATTTGCAATGGTTGTACATGTCAGATGTTTTTTTTTTTGGCATATGATTACATCTTTTTATGTAAAGTTACATATAAATTTCAGATAATTGCTATATGATACCTGTATTAACATTTTTATGTTTGATTATACTTTATGACAACACTAAAGGAACTCAAATCTTTGCTATTTTCATGTACATGTACATAAAAATTAAATTTTGTTTTGTTTATATTTTTCAGTTTGCTGATCAAGAAATACAAGTCAAAGTGTGATGATATCCTTTGTTATATTAATTTGTACTGAATTATACTGTTTATTTAATCATACTGTTTATGTTTGACATGTAAAATATAAAGTTCAATTTGTCATAGTTATAACTTTATGAGGTTTGGCCTGAGGTGAACATTTCTGAATGTGAAATATACATTCTCATATATAATATATATTAGATGTACATGTATGTAGTATGATGTAAATAAGTAATAGTGGTTTAACTATTTTATGTAGGTGTTCAGATGTCATTAAATAGTCAGACCCTATTATTTATTAGAAAAATTATATGAGCCGTGTCATGACAAACCAACATAATGGGTTTGCGACCAGCATGGATCCAGACCAGCCTGCGCAGATCATCTGCGCAGTCTGATCAGGATCCATGCTGTTCGCTATCAGTTTCTCTACTTGTTATAGGGTTTGTAAGCGAACAGCATGGATCCTGACCAGACTGTGCAGATGCGCAGGCTGGTCTGGATCCATGCTGGTCGCAAACCCATTATGTTGGTTTTGTCATGACACGGCTCATATATCTTTGTATTGTTAGTTTAATTTGTAACCCTTTTTTATCAATGAATCTTTTGTTAAAGTTATGTTACAAGATCTTAAGGTTACATTCTTTTAGTTGATCCATTGATGGTTTTAGAGACATTTGTTTTTGTACATTAACAAAAAAAGATGCTGAGTTAACAGTCAGACTGCACATGTAGACATGTTTGTTATTTCTTCATTCAGTACATGTAGGTATTTCACACATGTAGACATGTTTGTTATTTCTTCAGTCAGTACATGTAGGTATTTCAGTAGCATACAATAGTATTAAGTGAATGAGTAAGTAGTACATCCTTAACAATGAGTACATTATGATGTGCAATGTAAGAGAACAGAAGAGGCTAATAAAAGAGCTGACAAAAGTCAGAGGTAAATTATATTACAGTTATTGTTGCAATATTTTAATGATATAGATTTAATGATATAGATTTAAATTTGTCTTATATAAAACCAGCCAAGAATAATTTACTAAGAACATTTATTTTCTCAAAGACAACCTATGTATGTAATTCAGATGTCATTTCCTGCTAGTGTATTTTGGTGGCTCAACTAAGGTGCTCACTTGTTACTAAAGTAATGCATGGATTGGCGTCCAATATCTCAAAATTAAGCTCAACACTCTTGCTCTGCATGCAAGAAATCATATTTAATTTTCAATAATCTTGTAGTTGCTTTTTGAGGCTATTTTTTATCCTAGTAGGCTTTGTACCAGTGGAGTATCGTTCGTTCCCCTGTGATGTAAGTAAAGTAGTTACCAGTATAGTGTCTGGCCAGACGGCACTGGGCAGGCATTGTTTGCATAACTTAAACAAATAACTGCACTGGCCAAGCATTACAAAGTTTGTTTGAAAGGCCCATAATTATTTTCCACTATTGTACTGACATCTAAATTTATTTTTTTTTTACATGAAGATAATAACAAATATTTTTATATTAACAGACAATGTGAGATCTTGGAAACACAGCTGAAAGCAGCATTACTAGATACAGAACCATTAAGAAAGGTATGCTATATGTTTATATTCATTGTATTTTTACAAAACTTTATTATCAAGAAAAATCTTTTTCACCTTTTTGTTATGAATTCTCTACAAAAAAAGAAAGACAATGATTTTTATTCTCAAAACTAATTTAAAGTAGAAAAGTTTTAGAATGTAATATAGTTGAAACATATTTATCATGTAGCATAAACATACTTATTTTAGCTCTATTTATGATGAATGCTTTAAACTTATTTGAAACAGTCTTGGGTCACTTTTTGAACTAACAAGCGGTAAAGCCATTATAGGAAACATAATTGTGATTCGAGTAGGGCTTGAACCAATGATCCATGGATCGAGAGAGAGAGAAACTCTGTAACAATGAGGCTATCACTCTCCTTTACATTTTTATGCCCCCGCCATGTAATGGCCGGGGCATATAGTGTTACCCTGTTCCGTCATTCCGTCCTTCCGTCCTTCCGTCCTTCCATCCTTCCGTCCTTCCGTCATTCTGTCATTCCGTCATCATCAGTTTCCGTTCATTATCTTAAGAACGGTTGCACACATTCAACTCAAATTTGACATATGAATATGTCATGACAAAATACAGGTCAAGTTCGAATTTGGTCATGGTTCGATGATTTTTGACAGAGTTATGCCCCTTTTACTTTGAAAATAATATGAAATTTCAGTTTCCGTTCATTATCTCCCAACGGTACAACACATTCAACTCAAACTTGACATATGGATATGCCATGACAAAATACAGGTCAAGTTCGAATTTGGTCATGGTTCGATGATTTTTGGCAGAGTTATGCCCTTTTACTTTGAAAATAATATGAAATTTTCAGTTTCCGTTCATTATCTCCCCAACGGTACAACACATTCAACTCAAACTTGACATATGGATATGTCATTAGAAAAATACAGGCCAAGTTCGAATTTGGTCATGGTTCGATGATTTTTGGCAGAGTTATGCCCCTTTTACTTTGAAAATAATGTGAATTTTCTGTTTCCGTTCATTATCTCCCCAACGGTACAACACATTCAACTCAAACTTGACATATGGATATGTCATGACAAAATACAGGTCAAGTTCGAATTTGGTCATGGTTCGATGATTTTTGGCAGAGTTATGCCCCTTTTACTTTGAAAATAATATGAAATTTTCAGTTTCCGTTTATTATCTCCCCAACGGTACAACACATTCAACTCAAACTTGACATATGGATATGTCATTAGACAATACAGGCCAAGTTCGAATTTGGTCATGGTTGACGATTTTTGGCAGAGTTATGCCCCTTTTACTTTGAAAATAATGTGAAATTTTCAGTTTCCGTTCATTATCTCCCAAACGGTACAACACATTCAACTCAAACTTGACATATGGATGCGTCAAAAGAATAGCGCAGTTCATGTTCAAATTTGGTCATGGTTCAATGATTTTTGGCAGAGTTATGCCCCTTTCACTTTGAAAGTAATATGAAATTTTCAGTTTCCGTTTATTATCTCCCCAACAGTACAACACATTCAACTCAAATTTGACATATGGATATGTTTTTGGAATGCCCAGGCCAAGTTGGAATTTGGTCATGGTTCAATGATTTTTGGCAGAGTTATGCCCCTTTCACTTTGAAAATGATATGAAATTTACAGTTTCTGTTCATTATCTACCCAACAGTGTTACGTATTCAACTTAAATTTGACATATGGATATGTCAAAGGAATGGGCAGGTCAAGTTGAAATTTGGTCATGGTTTGATGATTTTTTTTGCAGAGTTATGTCCCTTTCACTTTGAAAATAATATAGATACATCTTAGGAATAAGCAGTTTAAGTATGAATTTGGTTGTGGTTCAATGATTTTAGACAAACTTATCTTTCCTGAATGTTGGAAAAATTTTGTACTTTCAGTTTCAGCACTCATACTTTTAGCCATTATTTTGGCTACAAATATGAAATATGTTATTTTTAAAAGGTTAAGACTGAATAATTTCAGTGTCTTGAACATTGTATAAAAATGGTTTGTGTTAACATTTTAAAGTTTTAAGGGCTTTGAACTTAAAATGAAAAAAATAATTAATGCACCATCTGAAATTTTGGCTGCATGCGGGGGCATCCGTGGCATGATGACACATTTCTAGTATTTAATGTATTAGAAGGAATATTTGTTGTCAATTTATAACTAACTCATGTAATATATGAGCAGTGTCATGACAAAACCAACATAATGGGTTTGCGACCAGCATGGATCCAGACCAGCCTGCGCATCCGCGCAGTCTGATCAGGATCCATGCTGTTCACTGTCAGTTTCTCCACTTGTAATAAAGTTGGTAAGCGAACAGCATGGATCCTGATCCTGGTCTGGATCCATGCTGGTCGCAAATCCATTATGTTGGTTATGTCATGACGCGGCTCATATTTATGTTATATTGTAGACAAAGATCACACTAGAGGCAGAGATTAGATTGAAGAACTCAGAGATACAGTCTATGTCGGACAAGTTACTAGCTGTTGAGGTACAATTATAATATCATCTATAACAGGGTTGTAACTTGCAACTTAGTTTACCAAAAAAAGTTAAAACCTACTTAAAACCAAAATCTGATTCTAACTATATCAGAAATAAATCGGCATGGAAAATGATTTTTTGTATATAACATAAATCTTGTTTAAGTGTTGTTTTTTTTTATTTATGTAAAATTGTAATTTTCAAGTTTAGTATGTTATATTTTTAGAGCGCACGTAAACAATATGAGCATCTTTCTAAAGCTAATACCTTGGACATTGAGAAACTAGAGGCAGAAAAGAAAGAGCTGATGACTAAAATTAAGTCACGTGAATTTGGGTAAGATTTTATGTTAATTTATAATTACATGTAGTGTGTATGAACCTTTGACCTAATGTTACTGTAAGTTTTAAGCCTTTGCCACCAGTATAGAGAGAGGTCATCCTGCACTTTTGTACAGTTTGAACAGGTCATGCAGTCTGACACTGCTCTATACTGTTGGTAGCTCAAACTTCAATACAGAATCCCTCAAATACAGAATCCCTAAACATGAAATTAACTGTTCCAGATTCAAAATTCATGTGTATAATCAATTACTCATGTGACTTACAGAAAATTCTTTTATATTTTAGGCAGTTGTATTTTATCCTAAACATTTTTTGTTATCAATTATTGGTCAGTGACCATTTTAATTGACAATCTTATTAAATATGTAGTCAATACAGCTCTACTAGACATTGGAAAAAATGGAGCATAATGTTACTTAAAGTTTCCATATAGGGCCCCCTAAAAACTCCAATGGTCTCCCAATATCTCATACATGGGGGTCCATGGACCCTCTACCTGATATTCTTAGGAAAAAACCTCGATTAAGTTGTATTGTGGTATAATATAAGAAATAGTAAACATCACTTTAGATGTCTTAGTACCACATAGAATAACTAGTTGCCTTACAAACATTTATCAAGCTGAAGTCAAGGCTAAGGCCAGTTCAATGTTTGGGGCTGACTGAGAGAGATTCCTATAATGCTCGGAAGCTGTCTGTGATTTGTGTACTTTTTCTTGATGTAATAACTTGACGTTTTATTTCAACAATTGGTTTCATGTTTCAAAATGTATTCACTAATGATTTAGATTGATTGTTCTTTATGCAATAACTGTAATTAGTATAACAACTATACATAATACTGCATTATGCTGTTCAGTTTATAAAACAAAAGGGAAGTAATCACTTGTTACACTTATTTTATTTTGTAAATTATAGCTTACTTCCCTTAACAAATAATTTGTAGTTATAACAACTCGGCTTATTTTGAAAACCTTATCTTTGTGAAAAATATAATTGTATCTGTAATTTTTCACACCTGTATTTTTTGTTTTTAAGGAAATTAACGAAAGAAGCTGCCAAGGAATACAAAAGTAAGTAAAACATTATAATTTGCTTCAAATTGCTTGTGTATAACTTTTTATCTTTATTGATAAGTTCTTATACATACATTGTATAAGTCATTCACCTGGGGTAAGAAATGACTCCTCTCTAGGAGTCACTTAGTTAACTAAGACTTATGTAATACAATATCATTAAGATAAATTCTGAATTTTCGGGATTTTTCTTCCATTTCAAACTTTTCCTCTCAGGTAATTTATTGAGAAAGAAATGAAGTCCAACTAGTCACAAGTATGAGACTAAATAATTTGGCATCTTCAATTAATTTATTACGATTTTACAAATTGATGTTGTTTTCAATGAAAAAACATTAAGAATTATTTTTAATGATTTTATTTTATGTTATATAAATGTACCATGTATTAACATTAGCATTTAGTATTCAAGGCATGCCTGACAACTGCATTATGACCATCTTGTAAAAATCTTATTTAGCAAATGATAGATTAAATCTGATTATAAAATGCAAATTTCATTAATTTATATTCATTTATATCAAGCAATCATGGCTACATATGTACTGAAATTTTGTTGTGTTAGGTCACTGTTATTTTAAGTTCTGTACATAAGATCTGCATTCATATTTTGTAGCACCATCTATACACACAGTAATAAACTGTGAACACTTATTGGCCACTCATGTATATAATATAGTCAACAGTTACTAAAATGTTCTGTTTTTGTCCGATGCATTGCAAGAAAATATTTCATTTATTATAATTGTACTGGCATTTCTATCTGCTGTGGTGATATTTTCTTGTATTTTCATCAGTGTCCTAATTTCCTTTTTCTGCTAGCTTCTTTATCCTTTCTTCTGTCTCGCACAAAATGCCAGCCAGCACAAGCGATGAAAATAACAACAAGCACTACATTTATTATCAGCACAACAATGATCTCAGTTGTATACGAGGGCATGATATATACATTTACCAGTGTCTCGACTTCAAGTGTATCGTCTTTCTTGCATACATATGTCCCTGAATCATTTAATGTTACATTTTCAATTGTAAGAGTACCATTCTCAGATTTAAAGCGTAAGATATCAGAGTTTGTTATGTTGATGATGGACTGGTTCCGCACAAGTTCAGATATTGGAACAGTGTCACCAGGCCGGAACCATTCCAATTTCAAGTCTTCTGAAGAGTCAGCAGGGTAATGTTGACATGTTAATTCAATTGTGTTTGAAGGTTCTACAGCAATACTGGATGGTACCACTTTCAATACAGTCTCGTCACAGCTGGTTCCTGGTAAACACAATATTAGGAAAGCAAACACAAATTTCATGTTGACTGCTACTGGCTCATGTTTTTCTTTCATTATCCTGAAGTATATTTCACATGCCCTGTCAATAGAAGAAAAGTTTATTTAAACATATATTTTTGTAATATCTGTGAACCCTGATCATTCAAGGTAAAAAAGTATGTTTCTGTGAAAAAGCTTGTAATGTGATAGATGCTTTGAAGTATTCTCTATGCTTTTGAGTTTTCTCTATACATGCATATACTGAATGAATGTTTTAGCTTTGACTATATGTTGATGAATGAATTTGGGCTATTTTTATACCCCTGAAACGAAGTTATGCGGGGTATATAGGAGTCACTCTCTGGTTGGTCGGTCTGTTGGTCCAGCGGCCCATTGCATTTTCCTTGTCCTGAGCATAACTTGAAGACTAATGGTTGGAATTCAGTACAACTTCATACAATGGTCAAGCACATTGAGAAGAAGTGCAGTGTACAAAATCCATAACTTCATCTTCACTAATTACAGAGTTATTGCCCTTTGATATTTTTCCTTGTCCGGAGCATAACTTGAAAAGTACTGGTTGGAATTCAAAACAACTTAATACAATGGTCAAGCACAATAAGAGGAAGTGCACTGCACAAGAACCATAACTCTGTCCAGAGTAATAATAGTTATAGAGCATAACTTGAAAAGTACTGTTTGGAATTCAAAACAACTTCATACAATCGTCAAGCACAATAAGGGAAAGTGCAGTGCACAAGAACCATAACTCTATCTTAAGTAATTACAGAGTTATTGCCCTTTGTTACTTTTCCATTGCTTTCTTTTGTCTGGACCATAACTTGAAGACTAATGGTTGGAATTCAATATAACTTCATACAATGGTCAAGCACATTGAGAGGAAGTACAGTGCACAAGAACCATAACTCCATCTTGACTAATTACAAAGTTATTTCCCTTTTTTTTCCTTGTCTGGAGCATAACTTGAAAACTACAAGTTGGAATTCAATACAACTTCATACAATGATCAAGCACATTGAGAGGAAGTGCAGTGCACAAGAACCATAACACCATTTTGACAAATTGCAGAGTTATTGCCCTTTGATACTTTTCCTTGTCTGGAGTATAACTTAAAAAGTACTGGTTGGAATTCAATACAATTCAATACAATTTCATACAATGGTCAAGTATATTGAAAGCGCAGTGCAGCGAAACCTCTTTCTTGACTCATTTAAGAGTTTTGCCCTTTGTAACTTTTTATTGTCCAGTGCATAACTTGAAAATTAATGGTTGGAATTCAATAAAACTTCATACAATGGTCAAGGGCAGTGAGATGAAATGCAGTGCACAAGAACCATAACTCTATTTGGACTAATAACAGTTATTGCCCTTTTTTCCTTTTTTGTCCAGTGCATAACTTGAAAACAAGTAGTTGGAATTCAATACAACTTCATACAATGGTCAAGCGCAATGAGAGGAATCGCAGTGTACAATAACCAGAACTCTCTCTGGACTTATTACAGAGTAATTTAATAAAACTTTATCAATTGTCAAACACATTGAAAGGAAATGCAACATACAAGAACCACAACTATCTTTAATTGCCTACAAACATTCTTATGCAAGGTATTCTGTTACTAGTAACTTCCTCATTTCCAAAGCAGTCTTGCGGGGTTATTTATCATTTAGTGATAGTTCTAGTGGCTATTACTCTATGTAAGGAATTATGGCAAAATGGACTTTGACTATCTTTAAATGAATGCATTATGGCTGTTGAACTTTGGGTTAATGTTGATGAAAAAATTAAAGCTGTTTTGACCATGACTGTTTGTTGATGAAATAATTATGGCTGTTTTGGCTCTGACTCTATGTGGATGAATGAATTATAGCTGTTTTGACTATGATTAACTGTTGTTGAGTGGATTATGGCAGTTTTGACTATGATTATCTGTTGATGAATGAATTAAAGCTGTTTTGACCATGACTAAATGTTGATGAAGGAATGAAGGAGTTATGGCTATTTTGACCATGACTTTCTGTTGATGAAGGAATGAAGGAATTATGGCTGTTTTGACTATGGCCTTATGTTGATGAATAAATTTTGGGTGTTTTGACTATGACTTTATGTTGATAAATGAATTATGGCTCTTTTGACCATGACTTAATGTTGATAAATGAATTATGGCTCATTGACCATGACTTAATGTTGATAAATGAATTGTAGCTGTTTTGACCATGACTTAATGTTGATAAATGAATTATGGCTCTTTTGACCATGACTTAATGTTGATAAATGAATTATGGCTCTTTTGACCATGACTTAATGTTGATAAATGAGTTATGGCTCATTGACCATGACTTAATGTTGATAAATGAATTATGGCTCATTGACCATGACTTAATGTTGATAAATGAATTATAGCTGTTTTGACCATGACTTAATATTGATGAATGAATTATAGCTGTTTTGACTATGGTTATATGTTGATGAATGAATTAAAGCTGTTGTTTATGACTTTCTGTTGATGAGTGAATTAAAGCTGTTGTTTATGACTTTCTGTTGATGAGTGAATTAAAGCTGTTTTGACCATGACTTAATGTTGATGAAGGAATGAAGGAATTATGGCTATTTTGACCATGACTTTCTGTTGATGAATGAATTATGGTTGTTTTGACTATGACTACCTATTGTTGAATGAATTATGGCTATTTTGACTTTGACTGTCTGTTGATATATGAATTATAGCTATTTTGACTATGACTACCTGTTGTTTAATGAATTATGGCTATTTTGACTTTGACTATCTGTTGATGAATGAATTATAGCTATTTTGACTATGACTATATGTTGTTGAATGAATTATGGTTGTTTTGACTATAACTACCTGTTGTTGAATGAATTATGGCTATTTTTACTTTGACTATCTGTTGACGAATGAATTATAGCTGTTTTGACAATGACTTAATGTTGATGAATGAAATATAGCTGTTATGTATTGTTAAAAAAAAATTGTTTGTCATAACATAGAACATTAAATTTTCTGCAAGAACATGCATTCTTGAAGCAATTACTGTATGTGTAGAAATATTCGCAGGCTTCAAATTTTCGCGGTCTTCGCGGTGACATTCGATCCGCGAATTCATGTTCAGCGCGAATATTTCTACACCAATAATTTCTTAATAGTCATATTTTCGCGCATCTATAGAACAATGTATATCAGTGTGTTCACGGCTGCCATAAGTCTTGTATCCGTGGTGCTTTCAAAGAGTGATTTTACTGCTGTATTGCTAGTGTATTATTGTTTGACTGATATGATTATCGGATTCTTGTTTGAGTATATACATGTTTGAACAATACCATTGCATCACGCTATTTATTTCATAGTCTGAGTCATAAACGTCTTGACCTCTGATCAGATTATATTTTGTTTTTCTAAACAAACAATACAAACAACACAAACATTAACGATTTTAACTGATGAAAACATGGAAAACAAAACACAATTACTCAGTCAACATTTTAACAAAATCGGTGAAAAGATTATGGTCTCATTCAGTGCTGTTTAAAACTGTGAAAAATCACGCACGTTAACGGACATTCTTTTGTTTGCCATAATCTGTCCGCTAGACAAATTGAATGTCTTTGTTCTGTACAATAGCGTATTCATTGACACCAGGTGTTGAAAATAACTGTGAAGTCCTACAATGATAACAGTAAAAAGTATGTAAAATGAAAGAGGGCTGCTTGCGAAAACCATTGCCTAATCGTGTAAGAGTATTTTCTCTTATTTTCTAACCTGATAGGTGTACGCGAATTTATGATTTTCGGCAGTCACCTCCGCGAATTTATAATAGCGCTGCGCTAATATTTGTATATACCCCCAAAATGGACCTTTCCGCGAAAATTTGCTTCCGCGAATTTAAATACACATACAGTAGTTGAATTAAAACATGTAAAAATGATTAAAAAAACAACTATGTATTCCAAATGCAAATTATTCAACTGAAAAATCATAGTAAAATGATGAAGCAAGAAAATTGAAAATGTGTGTAAGTTACATTGTATTAGATGTCAATGTTTAAAAGGTACATGTAGTAGCATTGTTAAATTGGGTACAGGTTGGTATTCAGGTCACATACATAGCTGATAGTGAATATTTGTCCTTAATACTGCTCTTATTGCCTAGATTAAATGACATTTTACATAGATAAAGAACTCTGATACACAATTGATATTATGACAGCTTTTTTTTTAAAAAACTTGACAACTAATAAATGATCTTTATTTAAAAAACTTGACAACTAATAAATGATCCTTATACAATTTCTTCTGCAAGCAATTCCTACATTTCTCATGGGATTTGAACCAAACTTTTTTAGAAAGTTTGTCACCATTAGTGCCCTTGCATATGATTTCTGGACTTAGTGATTCTATCAGTTTAGCCAATTTTCAGTTTCAATGCCATAAGTATAAGTTCTGTCAGGTCAGCTTATGCTTCTATGCAGTGTTAACAAGGTTCTTAACTTTTGGCTATGTACATGTAATTTTAAATGACATTTTCATTTGTGCAGTTTCAGACTTTAAGATAGGTCAAGTTGATAATACATATTTAGCATGAAAATTTAGAAACAAATCACATACAAGTAGAAATTTCAGAATCAAATCACGTACACACATGTATATACCACTCAGAAACAAATCTCATACATGTACAAAATTCAGAAACAAATAACAGACATGTATAAAATTCAGATACAAACCACATATTACATCATTATATAGAATTCAGAAACAAATTTAATACATGTATGAAATTTGAAACAAATAACATACATGTAAAAAAAATTAAATACAAACAACATACATGTTTAAAAATTAGAAAAAATCACATATATTTATATATTCAGAAACAAATAACAAATATGTATAAAATTCAGAAACATATAACATACATTTATCAAATCCTTCTGACATGACATATAATTAAAAGTTAGTTATAAAACAGAATTACTAGTTGAGAATGGATTCAATGTCATTTCTAATTTTAATAAAAAAATATCACAAAATTCATTGATTCAGTTCTATTCATAAATTATTAAACTATTTTCTGTGTGGATATTAAAAAAAAAACTTGTACCTTTAAATGTTATTACAATTTTTCCCTTTTTTTGTTCTGAAATATGATATGCACACTGCAATCTTTTCTCTGTTTTGAAGTATTATGTCCTATATACTGACATAAATACAATATAGATAAAGTTTGAAGTTTGGCTATTTGATATGACTTTACCTGTATATTTTAAACATGTAACATGAAAAAGACAAACAATTCTTAAGTTTCTAATTTTATTCTTACATTCATTCAGTAATACATGTATAATTACAAGGAAGGTAAATTATATATATAATGAATGTTATTTATACTTGCCAACAAATGGTAGGCAGTTTTAACTTTCGGTATATATACAACTGTTTTCCTTAAACCATTACCACTCTTAATATCGTAAATGATATCTCCAAAAGAACTAAAAGGAATCACTTGAAATTTCACACACTTATTTGAGAGCATGATAGGAGGTCACTATCCAAGGCCCATAACTCTAACACAGATTTGGACATAATTATGGCCCTTTATAAACTTAACAGCACTAAGAATAGTCAAGAATGCTGTCCTGGCGAAAGCTCTTGTTAAATGAAACTTTTCGTAGTATATAGCAAACCATTGCAGGCCATGACCAGACAGCACAAATGTGCCGATTAATCTTTGGTCACATGGGTAATATCTGTTGCCCCTAGTTTGCTAAAGGTTTATAGACTCTATGTTTATGTTTGAGAAGTTGTAAACTGAAAATCAACTAATGTAAGAGTTATATTTTATGACTTTGAAACTTGGATTTTTTTATTGTTTGTACAATTAGGTAAATGATAACTATAGATTTATATTTGGACAGAAATGTGACTTAATTCTTCCTCATAAATGACACAGCTTCCATAATTGAAGTTTTGGCGCTAATGATGACTGAACTATTCAAATAATATTGGGTCAAATCAACATGTGGCTCGCATGTTCAGCACAGGCAGTATACATGGCTCATTTTATAATTCTGATACTAAAATCCCTTTTAAACTTTAACTTGCTGGTACCAAAAGTGATAAGTTCCTTGTCATTAGTATAGAGTTAGGCCAGCTGTTGGCAGCTCATTAAATTTAATAATATTATCATACTGAAACCCCTTTAACTTAAACTAGACTGTTCCAAATATAAAGCAGGGCAAGTCCATTACATTAAGTTAGGAATAGTGAGAGGTTAAAAAAACCTGATATATGTAGTATTATTTAAATGTGCTTGTTTGTCATTAAACTAAAAAATAAATCAAGTTAAAAAAAAGAATGATGCAGATTTTAAAGTGCAATACATGGAAAGTAATATTGAACTTATTTGTTACTTCTACTTTTCAAGGATCATGTTATAAGTGGTTGTAGATATATAAGTTGATTGTTTTACAGATGAGATTACTAGATCATGTTATATGTAGTGTAGATATATAAGTTGATTGTTTCATAGATGAGATTACTAGATCATGTTATAAGTGGTTAAAAATATATAAGTTGATTGTTTTACAGATGAGATTACTAGATCATGTTATATGTAGTGTAGATATATAAGTTGATTGTTTTACAGATGAGATTACTAGATCATGTTATATGTAGTGTAGATATATAAGTTGATTGTTTCATAGATGAGATTACTAGATCATGTTATATGTAGTGTAGATATAAGGGTTGATTGTTTCATAGATGAGATTACTAGATCATGTTATATGTAGTGTAGATATATAAGTTGATTGTTTTACAGATGAGATTATTAGATCATGTTATAAGTGAATGTAGATATATAAGTTGATTGTTTTACAGATGAGATTATTAGATCATGTTATATGCAGTGTAAATATAAAGGTTGATTGTTTCATAGATGAGATTACTAGATCATGTTATATGTAGTGTAGATATATAAGTTGATTGTATTACAGATGAGATTACTAGATCATGTTATATGCAGTGTAGATATATAAGTTGATTGTATTACAGATGAGATTACTAGATCATGTTATATGCAGTGTAGATATATAAGTTGATTGTATTACAGATGAGATTACTAGATCATGTTATATGTAGTGTAGATATATAAGTTGATTGTATTATAGATGAGATAACTAGATCATGTTATAAGTGGTTGTAGATATAAAAGTTGATTGTTTTGCAGATGAGATTACTAGATCATGTTATATGTAGTGTAGATATATAAGTTGATTGTGTTACAGATGAGATTACTAGTTTGAAGAGAGACAAGGCAGCTATAGCTAAGAATGAGAAGAGATTGGAGAGACAACTGGCTGCTGCACACACAAAAATTGAACATCTTACTGGTGTCATCAAAGAAAGAAGTAAGTTTTCTAGTCAATAACTTTTAGAATCATGTTCAATATATTTAATACATGTGCATGTATATAGAGATTCTTTAAATGATTTTGACCGTCTTGTCTAATCTAAGTATATAGATCATTTTGCACCCTGTCTAGCATTCATCTTATGTGTTGACTTAAAACTTGATCCTCCAAGGTTCCAGCCCACTACCACTCCCTTTTTAATTTGTTTATTTATTTCATAGCCATTACGCATTTATTCAGATCAATAATTGAGCCGCATCACATCAAAACCAACATAATGCGTTTGCAACCAGCATGGATCCAGACCAGCCTGCGCATTCGCGCAGTCTGATCAGGATCCATGCTGTTCGCTGTCAGTTTCTCTACTTGTAATAGAGTTGGAAAGCGAACAGCATGGATCCTGATCAGACTGTGCAGATGCGCAGGCTGGTCTGGATCCATGCTGGTCGCAAACCCACTATGTTGGTTTTGTCATGACGCGGCTCATATGTATAAATTAAGATGATTAACAAGTTAATGTTCTCACAAGGCTGTTCTTGGTTTGTACCTGAAATTTTCAAACTGAAACGTTTACTGTGTTTATAAATTTCAAGCACTTTTCTTGTGTTTAAGTGGTAACTTTTGCACAGAAGTTCTCAATTCAACGTATATATTACATAATGCAAACACCTGCATTGAAAAGTCTGGAATCTTTTATTTCTCATTTGCAGATTGTTTTTGTTTTGTTAATTTCATTTCTGACATATATTAATATATTTCAATTAAATTTATATCAGGATAGATATTTTACAAAGTAAAGGGTAATATTGGAGGTCAAATATCAAATTTTCAAGCAATAACTCTCAAAGTAGGCAGAAAAATGCCTGAAGGGAAAGAGCTTATTAGGAGAAGTTTTTTTATATGTAGAAAACTCTTGAAGTTTCAAGGGTAGTAACTATTTAGAGATTACCCTTTCATTCAATGTACAGCATTATAAGTAAACTGATAAATGAAATGATTATATTTTTTCACACCTTCATTTTTATCATAATATCAAACTTTCTGATCACATGACAAATTGGATGTATGATGATATAAAGCCAATTCCTGTTGAGTAAAATGAATATAATCTTATCTGTTTATGTTTTTCTGTGTAGAGTTCAGTCCAAAGCGACGTACAAGAACAACATCAGGGAAGTTATCTAGTCCTCTCAAGTCCCCTACAAGAAGTCCTCGAGGTTTATGCCCCTTAACATCGCCACTGAGGAGTCCTCAATATCTCAGTCCACAGGATCACAAACTGTCTCCTCCTCAAGGCCATGGTAGATCACAAATAATGTCTGAGAAGAAATCTGAATCACAGGTTAAAGGTAATGTAAAAATAAACAATCTAAACATGTGAAAATAAAATTCTCATTATTTTCTAAACAATTAACTTTTAACTTGCTATAACAGAACCATTTTAGTGAAGGACAGCTTGCAGGACTGTGCAGTGTGACACAGCTAGTGTTGGTACAGTCATTTTTATGACTCATTTACAGAAATTTAGTAGGTTAAAGTTAAACTTATCCAGGACTTGAGATATATGAATATTGTAAACTATAAAATGCATGTACCATTAATGTAAGTTATTGTGTCGCCTCTACGGAGTAGTGGTGACATATAGGGATCACTTCTCCAACGTCTGTCTGTCTGTCCATCCGTCCGTCACAAAACTTGTCCAGACTACTTCTCATATTCTACTGGTGCAATTTCATCCAAACTTTACAGGAATGATCAGTACCAAGTCTAGTTGTGCATATTGTCAGCATTTTGCGGTTCAATGATTTTTATGCTCCCCGAAAAATTAAGGGGGAGCATATAGTCGGCGCCTTGTCCGTCTGTCCGTCCAGCCGTCTGTCCCTTGGAGATAATTTGTTGAAACTTCATACAGTGGTAGAGGGCATTGAGAAGGAGTGCAGTGTCAAAGAACCATAACTCTATTTTGCCCGGTTTTTGAATTATCTCCCCTTATAGAAAAATCTTGTCCGGGGCATAACTCTAAAACTATGAGAGATATCAACATGAAACTTTGTAGGTGAATAGATCTCAATGGGTAGATTTGCAGTGCATAAGAACAATAACTCTTTTTGTCCTAATTTTGGAGTTATTGCCCTTTGTTAATTTTAACACTTTGATTTTTTTTCGGAACATATCTCTAAAACTATAAGAGATATCAAGATGAAACATTGTAGGTAGATATATCTCATTGAGTAGAGGTGCGGTGCAAAAGAACCATAACTCTGTTAATCCTCATTTTTGAATTATCTCCCCTTTTAGAAAAATATTGTCCAGGACATAGCTGTAAAACTATAAGAGATATCAACATGAAACTTTGTAGGTGGATATATCTCAATGGGTAGATGTGCAGTGCACAATAATCATAACTCTGCCTTGCCTAATTCTGGAGTTATTACCCTTTTTTTATTTTTACTTTTTGAAGTTGTCCGGGACAAAACGAGATATCATCAAGAAACTTTGTAGGTTGATAGATCACATTGATTAGAAGTGCAGTGCAAAGAACAGTAACTCTGCCTTGCCTAATTTTGGAATTATTGCACTTTGAACTCTGAAACTACAAGAGGTGTACTTTCCTGTGTCCAAAACCTATTCGGGGAGCATCGCCCGGCTCAAACCGGGCTCTTGTTGTCAGAGTTATGGCCCTTTAATAATTTTTATTTTTAAAGTTTGTCCGGACTACTTCTCTTATACCACTAATGCAATTTCTATGAAACTTTACAGGATTGATCTGTAGCTCAAGTCCTTGCGCATATTGCTCGAGTTTTCCGGTTGAATGATTTTTGGCTGAGTTATGGCCCTTTGATAAAAACATGTTTTTTTCTCTGTGTTGCCAGATACACAAAAGCTTGTCCGGACTACTCCTCATAAACTACTCGTGCAATTTCATCCAAACTTTACAGGAATGATCAGTACCAAGTGTAGTTGTGCATATTGTCAGCATTTTCCGGTTCAATGATTTTTGTCAGAGTAATGGCCCTTTAATAATTTTTATTTTTAAAGTTTGTCCGGACTACTTCTCTTATACCACTAATGCAATTTCAATGAAACTTTACAGGATTGATCTGTAGCTCAAGTCCTTGCGTATATTGCACGGGTTTTCCGGTTGAATGATTTTTGGCTCTTGTAAAGAAATAAATCTCTTCTCATGCAGTTTATATTCAACTTTAGCAGAAACTCGAGAATTTTTAGTACATGTACTTAAAAATTAATTAAAATATTTATTTGTATCTCAAAATACACTTTAAAATCACAAAGTAAACAATATGATTTATTATCACATATAATCATAACACAGGAGTGTCAATAGGCCATATCTATGCAAATGCAACTGATTACTTTATTTATGTATTCATTTACACTGTCAACAAAATAAATTTATTTATTTTCTAAACTTGTTGAACAAAAACTGATAACATAGTCAACTGTGCAGAATATCACTATCATTTAGCAAATTAATAAATTCAATATGTAAAGTCACTCGTGTAAGATTCTCTATAACTTTATTATGCGTTACTTAAATTTACAGAATATTATGTTGTGTTAAGGTGCTGCTTTCTTAAGTTTTATATTTTGTTATGAGCAGTGTTGGAAAATTGATATCTTGCAAGACCAAAGGAAGATGTCAATTATCACATGCTGCAAGTAGCAAAATACATTGCCCCAGAAAGCTTCTACAGCATAATTTTCCTTTAATTATATACCTTTATATTCTAAGACAATAAGAGAATAAATTACTGAACTTCTGTTAGTTATTTTACCAACAAAAAGATATTTTGCAAAAGATGCCTTGCCTTCAGTAACATTGGTTCCTGTCTCCAAATACTGCACAGCTATTATGGGAACCAATTGAGAAAAATTGTCTGGTACTATTTCCCTATATGTTACCATATTTAATCTCTAACTTAATACGGATTTCTTTTTATCTGTTGAATAGTTTTAGAGCTTCATGACTTGATTGTATTTTAGAGAGAAAATTTATAGATTTATAGATAAAAGTGATTTGTACCTCTACTGCAGATTTGTCCTTGAAATATTTGACATAAGAACATTTATGATGTTATTAAATGTATAACATAATCTTATGCCAAAAGGCAAAAGATGGAAAAGATGGTTCATGTTATCGGCCAATAAGTCACTTTTTGGATACAATAAAAGTACACACACTAAAATTAAAAAGTTCTTTAGAAATAAAGCTTTTATGAAGAATAATGGGCCTTTAAACATTTTTACTTTGTTTTGAGGAAAAAGTCGAGTCAGTGTGTTGTGGAAAACTTTAATATAGCCCATTATTCAAATATTTAAAAGTATCAATATGGAACTTAGAATACTTGTTTATCATGCAGATGTAAGCCAAGGGGCATTATTCTGAAAGCTATATTTTGGAGTTATGCCTTATTTTATTTAGAATATTTATTAAAATTTGTTATGTAATAGAAAGAGCATAGAAACACGAGGCTATCTGATTTGTACAATAGCCCCCAAGTATTAATCAGATTGCCGAGTGTTTTGATGTTCTTTCTCTTTTGTATCATAGTCTAACATAAAAACACGTTCCCTGTTGTCACAATATGAAACCCCAGCAAAAATGAAACCAATGAACGAACATCTGAATATGATATTTATGACGCTTTCCCTTTCTCTGCCGTCACAATGTGTAAACCCCAGCAAAAATGAGCCAATCAATAGGCATGCTCTGGAGTGCGGGTAACTAATACCTGCACTCCAGTTAACGCACTGTGCATGTGTATGTATACGATTTAACTCTGACACATTTTCAACAGAAAGGTCCCCAAACTATGATACAATGATAGTCTTTGCCATTAACATAGGAGCATTAACATGGCATAATTGCTTATTATGTAGAATAATATAAAACCTATGAAGGTATCAACATGATAAGAATGTTATAAAAATTATGAAGGTATCAACATGATAAGAATGATATAAAAACTATGACGGTATCAACATGATAAGAATGATATAAAAACTATGAAGGTATCAACATGATAAGAATGATATAAAAACTATGAAGGTATCAACACGATAAGAATGATATAAAACCTATGAAGGTATCAACATGATAAGAATGATATAAAAACTATGAAGGTATCAACATGATAAGAATGATATAAAAACTTTGACAGTATCAACATGATAAGAATGATATAAAACTTATGAAGTTATCAACATGATAAGAATGATATAAAAACTATGAAGGTATCAACATGACCTTAAAATACTTGATTCTCATGACTGTGCACAGTTGTAAGACAAGGGTAATTATCCTTGTTGCAATATTTTTAAGGAGTTATATTTAGAATGTTTATAAATATTTGTTAAAGTTTACTATCAAATTTTTGTTTACTATCAAGGACATATAATTCTGCCAACTGTTTTGCAGAATTATGCCCCTTTTCTTTTTAGCTCACCTGTCACAAAGTGACAGGGTGAGCTTTTGTGATTGTTTTCGTCCGTTGTCCGTCCGTTGTCCGTCTGTAAACTTTTACTTTAAATGACATCTCCTCATAAACCACTAAGCCAATTTCATCCAAACTTCACAGGAATGTTCCTTTGGTGGTCACCTTTAAACATTGTTCAAAGAATTTAATTCCATGCAGAACTCTGGTTGCCATGGCAACCAAAAGAAAAAACTTTAAATATCTTCTTTTAAAAAACCCAAAGAGCTAGAGCTTAGATATTTGGCATGAAACATCTTCTAGTGAGTGTCTACCAAGTTTGTTCAAATAAAAGCCCTGGGGTCAAATTGGCCCCGCCCCAAGGGGTCATTGATTTTCCCTATATGCATATAGTAAAAACTTAAAAAATCTTCTTTTAAAGAACCCATAGAGGTAGAGCTAAGATATTTAGCATGAAACATCTTCTAGTGAATGTCTACCAAGTTTGTTCAAATAAAAGCCCTGGGGTCAAAATTGGCCCCGCCCCGGGGGGTCATTGATTTTCCCTATATGCATATAGTTCCCTATATGCATATAGTAAAAACTTAAAAACCTTCTTTTAAAGAACCCAAAGAGCTAGAGCTAAGATATTTAGCATGAAACATGTTCTAATGGGTGTCTACAAACTTTGTTCAAATAAAAGCCCTGGGGTCAAAATTGGCCCCGCCCCGGGGGTCATTGATTTTCCTAAATATGTGTATAGCAAAAACTTAAAAAATCTTCTTTGAAAAAACCCATATAGCTAGAGTTTAGATATAAAGCATGAAACATCTTCTACTGAGTGTCTACAAAGTTTGTTCAAATAAAAGCCCTGGGGTCAAAATTGGCCCCGCCCCAGGGGGTCATTGATTTTCCCTATATGCATATAGTAAAAACTTAAAAAATCTTCTTTTAAAGAACCCAAAAAGCTAGAGCTAAGATATTTAGCATGAAACATGTTCTAATGGGTGTCTACAAAGTATGTTCAAATAAAAGCTCTGGGGTCAAAATTGGCCCCGCCCCGGGGGTCATTGATTTTCCTTATATGTGTATAGCAAAAACTTAAAAAATCTTCTTTAAAAAAACCCCAAATAGCTAGAGTTTAGATATTAAGCATGAAACATCTTCTAGTGAGTGTCTACCAAGTTTGTTTAAATAAAATCCCTTGGGTTTAAATTGGCCCTGCCAAAGGGGGGGGGAGGTCATTGTTTTTCATTATATGTGTGTAGTAAAAACTTAACATCATGAAACATCTTGTAATGGGTGTCTTCCAAGTTTGCTCAAATAAAAGCCCTGGGGTTTAAACTGGCCCCGCTCCGGGGGCCTATATACAGGTGAGCGACCTCAGGGCCATCATGGCCCTCTTGTTTGGTTTAATCCTACTATTCAGCACTGAGTAAAGAGGACTATGCTGCTTCTCTAACAGCTTTTGTTATGGTTTTCATTGTCAGAAATTAGTTAACTAAGTCACTATAAGGGATACACTGTTTTCTATACAGGGGAGTTTGCTATAAAGGGTAAATTTCTTTCATGTCTTATTTTAAAATATGCATATGGTAGTTAATGTTAAGGCATTTTTTAGGTCATTATACATGTAGCAGATATTTTATTGAATTATAACTTAACCTTATAACCATATTTGATCATTTTTGCAGATGTGATGGCACTCAAGAATGATAATGAGCTGGCTTCGCAAAGTTCAAGCAGTTTAGAAGACACTGATGATGATGATGATAACATAAGTGTATGCAGTGTTAAATGGACATTTAGTCCACTTATGAAATGTTTGTCACCTTTGCCACCATCACCGGCATGCTTTGCTGAAAGAAAGGTAAAGGTTTCATCAATATGGTCTTTCAGTAAAATTGATTTTTTCTCTCTGTAAAATATTCTAGGTATACCAGGTCATAAATTTTATACAGCTTGCATCAATATGTTTTTCTGATCAGAATACCTTACAATTTGTTCATATTGAATAATAATCCTGCATTGGACATTGGATGTTACCACGAGATAGTGTTATAGCTTCACCCTTAATTGGTTGAATAGTCTAACAATATACCTTAAAATGAATCAAGACAGGGCACCTTGGGTTTATGTCCATAATAAAAGTATGAGAGTTGCCACATTACCTCAAAAATTGTAAAATTGGCTAGAAATGGTTTCCATAGATCTCAACTGTTATATAAGGTTATTGTTGATATAGCTGAGATTGACAACACATTAAAGTATGATTTGTTATTATAGTTAGAGAATGAGGAGGATGAAGGTGAGGTATCTGATATAGCTGATGTACTAGAACAACAATTGTTACAGGATGATTCACTAGATCACGTATGTAATCTGTCTTTACTGTCATACTGTATTACTAGTTTACTTGTTGTTACGGTTCACAACACTTGTTAGTTTAATGTAGTTGCTATGGCTTTAAGTTCATTTGGTGTGTGTTCAGTGTCAGATAGATTCACAGCTTTTCTATTTTCTTTATCTGTTAAATGTATGACTGTCTTGAGGAATATATTTAAAATCTGTGACAAACCATCTGTTTGATTATCTCAAATTCATTCCTTGTTATTTCATTTTATAATTAAGCAGCATGCAGAATTAATCCATTCTATGATGATTGTTTCTTTTTCTTTCAATTTCTTTCTAGATCAAAAGATTAAAAATAAGTATATAGTATATAGAAGTAAGAATAAGGTAAAATTAAGTAAACAAATTTGAGAAATTTAAGTAACTTTATTGGCATTTCTACCTCAGATATCAAAGGATGAGATACCAGTAAAAGTGACAGAGAATTTGACTGATTTGGGTGATGAAAATTCCAACACATGTATTGAAGATCAAGCAAAAGGAGATGAAACATATTCTGTAACTCCTCTTAAAGAACAAGATGATCACATTAAAACTGTTGAAGCCATACGTAAAGTTGAAATTGTAAATGAAGAAGTAAAATATTGTGACAATGTCAAAGAGAGAGTGAAAGAAAAGTTTTCTGCTGAAGAAAACAAGGATAGAGAGCTTACATTAAAGGAGAAGTTAGCTAATAGTATTGAGATTATTTCACCTACTGCTGTAAGAAAGAGAGTTGCCCACCAATCCCACCTTAGATCCAATCAAAGTAATAGCCTAGACTCGGTTAACTTAGATCATAATGAAAATAATGCAATCTTTAAAGATGCCTCACAGGGTTTAGAAAAAGTCTCTGAAGGAATAAATGAACCTTGTGGTGAAGATAAAAATTCTGATAAAATACAGAAGAAACCACCTGTTAAAAGGAGTGCAAGAATTTATAGTCAGAGAGAAAGTGAAACTGAAGACCAAGTGTCCTATATTAATGAATATACAGAGAATGTTGTTGAACAAGGGAATAAAGACATTTTTATGAGTGACGTAAAGACTACTGCTGAAAATAATGCTGGTAAAGTTAATTCAGATGGAGATAAATCAGAGTTAAATAGAAATGATACAGAGGAATTTACTCCAACTTTTAATGAGAATTTGTTTGATTGTAATACTGACAGTATTTTAAGGGATATGTCGAAGATAAAAGACAGTGACAATATCTTAGATGATGAGAGATTAATTATGAGCACATCTGGTGATGTTGTTCCTAGTCAAGATAACAAAGACAATAGTAGAATAAAAGGTAATGTTAGTAAAACAAAGCCTGAAAGTGATACATCTAGTCCCTGTGAATTACTTTCATGTGACAAAGAAGTAGATAATGAAATGCTTCAAGACAAGCAAACAGCTGAAACGATCCTTGTGCCAAACTCTTGTTTACAAAAACTGGATAATGTGAAGAAAAGCATTGAAAAAACTAAACACAACACTGAAGATAAAAGTGCCAAAGTTGAAATAGATAAAAACTGTAGCAAGAAGATCATGAAGAAGTTTGGTTCACATAAATTTATCAACTTTCAAAAGTCTTCATCAGAAACTTTGGCAAATGAAATTGACGACTATAGTTATGTTGGTGATTATGAAGTTCTTGATAGAAATAATAAAGAGTCGAAAATGTTTTCACCAAGGGTGCGAGGGATGCAAAAGAAAAATGTGGCTAGGAGATTGAGAAGAAGTTGTAAATATAGAGATCTTGATTCTGAAGTAAGAGGAGAAAGTAAAGTGGAAGTTAATAAATTGAACCATGAACAGATGAATATACCACAAAAGTTTGAGGTTTTAGAACTTAGGAAGAAAAATTCAGAGGGCAGTTGTGTGATAGGTACGGCAGATGGAAGTGATGAAGATAAGTTAGCACCGGAAGGTATAGTGCATGATTCTAATAAGGCTGTGACTTGTAAATCTGTAACAATTCATAAAGAATCGTCACAAAAACTTTTACACAACATTGATGGTGACAACAAAACAGATGAAACAAAGCTTGTTTGCTCAAAAGAACAAAATGCTGAAGTTAGTGTTGAAATAAGAAATGATAATAGTGAAATTTGTAAAGGCATTACAAAATTAGAGACTAAAGAACACAGCATGGGTGACTCTATGTTTGATGATGAATTTAGTAACTCAGATGAGAAGTCAGGAGAAGGTGATAATAGTGTTGAAAAAATAACCACAAATAGACAGATGAGCACAGGGTTCACTGTTAATACACATACTTTAGAAAGAGCTCCAAGCACAGATAGTGCTGTGTCCTTTGGAACCTCTCCATCAAGATTGTTTTCTACTTGTGGTACAATTGTGGAGGAGGAATTAGATGATGATTTGAACAAAGGTGACAGTGAAAGTGGTAGCAAAATTAGTAGTGATTCAAATTTTATTTTTGGTGTTGAAGACTTATTGAATTGTAAACAAGAGCCGTCACCTGGTTCACAAAATTTTGAAAATGCTCAAAACAAAACAAAGCCTGTCTGTGATACTAATCTAAGCTCAGAAAATTGTGGTTATACTCTGACAAAAACTAAAACTTGTAACGAATTTACTGATAATTCATTAAGTGCAGTGTCAGAAGATGACATATCTAATAAACCTGGCTGTTCATATCAGTATCATGAACCATCTTTTCATTTCTCAAGACAGGAGGTTAATATTTCTGCTGATGAGAAAGATTCTGTTGATACTGCAAGGATACCATTTATTTCCGAAACATTACTTCATGATGATTCATCGTCTAGATCATCTATTCAAAGTATTACTTCCATTGAGAGGGCTTCTCCTGTATCACCTCTCTCTCTGTCACCATTTGATTTCTTAAATCCAATATCTCCTCTCCCACCTTCTCCTATCAGGGAGATAGAAAGGGTGTCTCCCCTGTCTCCAGAACATATGACTGATGAACAAAAACCACAGGTTGATTATAATGAACCGGATGTTGCAATAAATAATGAAGATGACACTCCTAAAAATGACGAGAATAAAAAGGTTGAGTGTAAAGGGGAATTTTCTGATAAAATTGTTAATCCATCGGAAATTATTGACAATGAAAAGGCGAAGGATAATCATATGGTTAAAAATAAGAGGGAAATAAGAAATAAACAACCTTTGACAGGTAGCTCAAGTAAAACAAAAAGTACAACTAAGTTAGAAAGTGTAAAAAAAGCAAAAACCAATTTGGAATGTGTGAATAATGTAGAAAGTCAACAATGTTCACCTGAACAAGATACATGTTTAAGTGATGTTAGTTTGAAACTGTTCAGTATTCCACAGATGATAAGTCCAGTTAAAACTCCTAAAAGTTGTGCCAAATTAAAAACTGAACAAATTAAGTCTTCACAAAATATAACAAAATTAATAATAAGTCAGAAAGATAAAGATAAAACCACTCCTATGGTATTAGGAGAAGGGAAGGTTGGGTGTGTTAAAGGAGGACCTAAACAGTTTGTTACTGAAGCTCCTGTAACAGCTATTGCTGTCAAACCTCGTGGCACCAGGGGCAGGACATCTTTTGATAAAACAAATATAGAAATGTGCATCAGGAAGTCAAGTCAAACAGCTCTTAAGAAAGTTTCAAGTGTAGTAAAATCTGAATCAAGTGAAGCAAGGAAGGTTTCTGGTGATAACACTGTAGTTGCAGAGGAAACACAGACATTTAAATCTGTCTCAGGTATAACTAGTCAAAAATCTCAAACATTACCACATGATGAACAATCTATAGAATCAGATAGATTGGCAGGAAATTTAGAAAAGTTATCTGAAAGAGATGCAGGCTTGATAGAAAGTGGAGATAAAGAAAGTGTTGTCAGTATAGATGAGAAAGGTGACAACAAGGTGGTTGAGGAGTATACACTAAGTCATGATAATTTGGCATTCAAGAGAAAGGCTAGAGTGGCACATAAACCAAATATACTTAAATCACAGTAAGTCATTTAATTCTCATAGTAATAATTTTCTTTGATTTTAAATTTATTTTGTGAGTCATAATTACATAACAAATGATAAAATAACAAAATTTCACTATGACAAGCAACTGACTCTGGCTACAAATTCTTGCAAAATCAGTAATTTTCCCTTTTCATCTGTAAAATAGGGTTATTTTAAATCTATTATTTATTAAAATTTATATCAAATGAGTGCTTATCCATGCTTGCAAAGTTTTCCAACTGTTTATAAAAAAAATACCAAAGGTATGGTCTACAACTATAGTAACTAAAATACTGTGACAGGCCTCAATTTTTCATTCGGAATTTACCTCAACATGCGCAGATTTGAAATAAGAGTTGTTAATGTGAAAACAACACTACTGTCTATGGTTTGCTGTCTCTGTGACAGTTATCTCTACCGATAAAGCTGCAAAGTGCCATATGACAATTACAGTGTCAATGTTACATAAAACCAGCCAAACATACAAAAAGGTCTTTCTCAAAAAAATAGCATATTCTTAGATTTGCATTGTTATAAACATTTTGATATTTATATATAACAGAAAGAAGATACAGATTATAGATGCTCCAGTGTTACCTCCAGTCACCGTGAGTAGAAAGAGAAAAAATCTGGAAAACAACAAGGATACTCATGATAAGGAAAAGGTAGGTATTTTGTTTCAATCAAATATGATCATTTGTTTGATCAAGCTGGTCAAATCCTCTGTTACAAATATTTCTTTCTGTTGTTACAGATATTTCGTCCTCTGTTACAGATATTCCATCCCTCGAAAACATGTATGAAGTCAAACAACTGAGTCACTTTTTCTACCTAATATTCTATTTGCAAAGCTGGTATTTGATGGTATTATTTTTGTTACCGTTACTTGTGTTTGGTAATAAGCAATAAAGATTTTCGACAAGTTATAATATGATCAGGTTTAATTAATCAGTTGTTAGTGTATAATTGAGAAGGTAAGGTAAGGATTGTTAAGCAAATTGTGATATAATCATATTTATTTCATGCTTTCCAGTGTTTTATTGTAACATATCAGATGATTATATTCTGATAAACCACTAGTGAAATTCATAAAATATAATTTTCACTGTAGCCGGACTATATCTGAATGCGGATAAAGAAAATCATAACTAAATGGAATAACAGGCAAAAATAAATGCCGTCATGCGTAAAAGGACTTTAGGAAAAGAAAGTCGATGTCATCATACATAATGTTAAAAATGTAACAAAATTAGAGAAATGTTACAGACCTAAATTTCAAAATTGATAATGTGACGTCAAGATGTGATGACGTCACAAGGGATAATGTGCCACGTTACGCGGCAAAATTATTAAAAAGTACTTAAAATCACTTAAAAAGCATGAAATAAAAAGAAAATTTGTTTGTTTTGCATGTATGATTGAAATATTTTGCGCTGAGTGAACACCAGATGCAATATTTTCATAACCTGTCAAATGTTTATAACAAATTTTTATTACTACACAATTGCTTCCTTCAATTAAAATGAAATTTTCTGCAGCTGTGAAGATAATGGTACTACAGGAGCTCTACTGAAGCCTAAAAAAAATAGGATTTGAAAATCTTACGGCAGGTTAAATTGTAAAAAATGAAGAAAAAAAATAAAGAAATATATCCAGTTATGAAAATCTTGGTAATATATTTCTAGTCAGAAACCTCAATCAAATCTCTTTAATCATATGATTGTCCAATAAGAATTGGAATAACAAACATGCTGTACTATCATTTGACTTTCATGTGATTATGATAGATGTATTACTTGAAGTTAAAGACTATTAGGCTTTTTATTTGACATAAGTGAAAATGTGCTATATCTGGTTTCAGCCTAAAGAAGGAAAAGTAAAGAAACAGAAGTCTTCATCTTCTCTGAAGTCAATTAGTCAAGGTTAGTTATATAAAAACCTGCTTGTTCTCTCACCACTGTTGGTTCAAATCTCTGCCTGAGACTTTGGATTTTTTTTTGTGGGGAAGCTATGCAGCTAGCTTACGGAACATTGGTGGTTCTACTCAGATGTTGGCTTGTGCCTGAAATAATGCATAGATGGGCGCCTGAGGTCTTTTACCACCAATGAAGCTGGAAAATTGCCATATGACCTATACTGTGTTGGCGTGACCTAAAAATAAATGACCTAGAAAAATGTATAAAAAAAAAATATAACAATAACAGTTTCAAATTCGCATGAGGATAACTCACCTGTGTCTATTGTCAGCTCTTGAAAAAGAATGGTTTGTTGTCTTGTTAGAGTGTTATTTATCTCTAAATAATCTACACAAGAATAGATATTAAACAATAACTGTAATAAATCATTGATGTAAATATTTCAGAGAACAAGAAGAAGATGCAGAGTTTCCTCAAGTCATCAGAGACAGCAGAATGCTTTGTGGCAAATTATTCTCCACAACCATGTGATGATACTGTCACTGTTGACCTTCTAGCTGCCTGTCTTGAGGTAATAGATAGACAGTCATAATTTGTTTCATAACAGACAACATGGTTATAACCCAAATAAGAATTCAATTAAACTCAATTCAATTCAAACTGATTCAAAGTTAAATGAATAGATTTAAACTAATTTAGGGGTTGTCCAAATATTAGGAATATTGCTATTATCATTTATCATTTTTATACAGTTTTTAATAATGAGATTTAGAAACAAGATACAACGTCATATAGTTTAGTTTGAAAATCTTCTATGTTTGTTGTCTTGTTTGGCTTGTTGGAAAAATTATGGCAAAGATTAACATATTATTATCTGTAGATATTACCAAGCATTATAGAGCCTAGTCAGCTTGTATATATGTGTACTCTCATCACACTATATAATGATGTCTGATCTGTTGAAATTCTATTACATTGATACTGAAATTCCTTAAACTATTAATGAACAGTGATAGATTGATATCAGAGGAAGTATAATATCAAAATTCAACTTCCTGAAGGTTTGATTTAGTGACATATCTCAAGACTAGTAAAATATGATTAAAGATTTAGACTGTACCACCAGTATTGAACCAGGTTTAACTGACCAAACTGTATGTCAGTTGACTGACAAACTTGAAATGTTCATCCTGATATTGAATTGTATGTATTTGATATTACAGTGTTTAGGTCGTGTACAGACAGAGACTCTAGATGTAGTATATCGTATGTGTGAGAACAGTCAGTATCTAACCATTGACTGTCATCTACCATTTACCAGTGATGTAGAGAAAAAAGCTGTCGAATTGATACAATATATATGTACAGAATTGGTATGTTATTTTGAATGATTTATAAATTATGTAAATGTTAATTTGTGTAAATTATCAGTCCCATGGTTGTCATAAAAATGTTTCTGAATTTGAGGCTGTCATTCTGGTTTTATCACATACAACAAAAGAGTGTTTTCTAGGACAATGTCAGCTTGACCTCCAGCCACCTGTTAATGACAGTTCTGTATACAGTAGTATAATTTACCTATTACTTTTGAGATTTTGTTTTAGTTTCAATACTTGTTAATAGTAATAGGATTTGAGGTTACATATGAGTAAGGTAAATATTTTAACCATGTGATTATGTCTTTAAAGAAATATGACTGGATGGATGTGATGAGGAAGATTTGGGACTGTGTATTTAGTTGTGACAGTTCTCGCAGTATAGTTGGCAAAATGGCACAGTGTAGGGTGTTTGTAGCCCTGTGCTCTCTTCAAGGTAGGGTAATACAGACTATTTACATTGAATTATTCTTGTAATCTGGAGAAATCAAGAAACTGTTTTGAATAACCTTTATAAACAGCCTATAGATAAAGGAAGGAAATACAAATGGTTACTGTTAATAATTTTTTCCTCAGAAATCAATGCAACATTTATTCTGGTTAGCAGTGCAACGCAATCATGACTCTCTTGTATTATTGGATGAACATTATTTTAGACATTGTTGTTTTATATAATTGGGTGAACATTATTTTAGACATTTTTATGCCCCCGGGCATATAGTGATTGAACCGTCTGTCTGTCCGTCTGTCCGTACGAGGTTAACCTAGAACGGCAAGTTGGATTTTTCTTAAGTTCTACCTGTACCAATGCCTTCTAAGTTTACACACTTACTAATCAATACAGAGTACATGATCTGGGCAAGTTACATAACTCTGGCTTTCATATTTACCAAGTTATGGCCCTTTTCAGCACTTAGAAAAAGAATAATGGTTAACCTAAAACGGCAAGTTGGAAATATCTTAAGTTCTATCTATATTAATGGCTTTATAATTTCCACACTTACTTATCAATACAAAGTACATGATATTGCCAAGTTATATAACTGTGTCATCCATATTTCCCAGTTATTTCCCTTTTTTCACTTTGAAAATAGGGCCTATCTGGTTAATACCCCGGTCACATATTCACGGAATACGCCCACGGAAGAGCCACGGATTAGTTCCGGCATCGTCCGTAGCTACCCGTACTGGTCTGTAGCTCTCCGTATTGTAACCGTAATCAATCGTAGTAGTCCTTGTATATCCGTAGCGATCCTTGACAATTTTTGAACATGCACAAAAATTTGCTACGGAAAAATCAACCGTAGCGTATCCCTACTAGTCCGTATTAAACCGTTCTGATACGTACTGGTCCGTACGGAAACCGTACTAGTCCGTACTGATTCGTAGGCCTCAACCTGCTACGGATTTCCACGGGTTGGTACGGAGAACTACGTATTTGTACGGTTACCCTACGTATAAGGTACGGTTTTAATACGGATTAATACGGCATTGTCACGGAAAGCTACGATCGTAATACATTGTACTACGGAGAGGCAGGGATAAGCACGGTCTTATACGGTTTATTGCGTTGCAACACGAAACGGTACGGAATGGTACGGTCCACCACTGTTTAGTACGGATAAACACGGATTTTTTTTACATACGTGGGATAGATTAATAGTATCATGTGCTTTTTCAAGGGTATAAATATTACCTTCTTGTTAATATGGACATATTTTCGTAAACATTCAATAAATGATAATTGCCATTTACTGGCTGCAACTTTATATTGAAATAGCTCAGAATGCGGAGGCAGTGGTCGAGCTGCCTGATGACATGCATAGAGGTAAAAATATAGTAATATCATACTACAATTCATAAGTAATAGAATAACATTTGATGTTACATATTTTACAAACATCAATTTGGATCGTGAAATTGGAGTAAGTATGTACATAAAACAAAGTGTCTCATAAGCCTCGGACGCTGGCCCTTGAGTGATAATAAGATTAATTAACAAGCTTTTACATATTTTTAAAACATAAAAATTCACGATAATTAATGTTATTGTAAAATGAACAGCAAAATTCAAAATCAAAAGAGAAGCAGTATTGATCAACATTTTTCTTTAATGAATACTAGCTCATATCTAATCACGTAAGAGGAGATGGTGGACTAGAGATGGGCTATTACGAAGACCCCTTCATGTTTAGTATGAGGCTCTCATGGCTGAACCTGTTGAGGATCCGGCGTCCTTCACGAAATTCATTTTAATCGGACCTGATATGTCTCGAGGGTCGGACGCGATGAGGGCGAATCCTCTCCGCCAAAATCAAACTCTGCAATTCGTTTTCTAGGTGTTCTTTTCTTGTGAGGCATTTTGAAAATGAGCATGCAAGAGGTTGTGGACGGATATAATAGGTCCGTATAGGTCCGTGGCAATACGTTCTTCTCCGTATCAATTCGTTCTTCTCCGTATCAGACCCGTACTAATTCGTACTAACCCGTGCTTATACCGTAGCAGACCGTAGTGTATCCTTAGTGCATCCGTCCTGATTCGTGTCGCTCCGTACCAAACCGTGTCGGTCCGTAACAATCCGTGTCTCTCCCGGGGCTTTTGGTGGTAAATCCGTCGAACTCCGTACTCATACCGTTGTGTCACCGTACTGGAACCGTAGCGGACTATGGAATTTCACATTTCCGTAGTAATCCGTGAACGATTAGACCGTAGCTCTTCCGTGGCATTATCCGTGAATATGTGACCGGGGCATAACCTATTTCGGCAAGTTGGATTTATCTTAAATTTCTCCTAATTGCTTAATTTCTTTAATGATATCTTTCATATTTAGTAGGTGGATACCTTTGATGGTCCTCTAATTTTTTGTGGAGTAAGCGGTCTCTAGGGTCAAGGTCAAGGTCACTGGTTTAAAAAATAAATATAAACATTTTTGCTCATACAGCCTTTATATTTTAGTTGATGTTTTAGTTTAATACAAACATGGGAGGTCTTCCTTCTTTGGGTGTAGTAAGGGGTCATTTGGGTCAAGGTCAATGTTACCAATTTCAAGGTCACCAATGTTAAAATTGATTTTTACAGATGTATTGACCTTATTCTAGAGACAGATGTTATTTATAATTGATAGAAACATATACTTTGATGGAGTTAGTGGTCAGTTGGGTCAAGGTCACCAGTTCTAAAAATAGATTTTTACACATTTGCTCATACAGCCTTTATTAAGTGTCAAATATATTTTATATTTGGTAGGAAGATAACTTGCATGGTCATCATTTTGATTGGGGTAGGGATCAGTGGGTCAAGGTCACTTGTGCTAAAAATAGATTTTTAACACTTTTGCCAATACAGCTTTTATTTATTGACAGATGTATTTCATATTTGGTAGGAAGATAACTTGCATGGTATTCTTCCTTTGGATGGAGTAAGGGGTCAGTTGGGTCAAGGTCACCAGTGCTAAAAATAGATTTTTACACTTTTTCCCATACAGCCTTTATTTAATGACAGATGTATTTCATATTCGGTAGGAAGATAACTTGCACGAAGTTGAATATTTTTCATCTTCACAAGTCAGAGCAATGACTTGGCAACTTATATTTTTCACAATTACAAAATGCTATGACTTTGTCAAGCTATATTACTTGTGTTTACAATTTTTTGGCAATTTTTCTGTCCTTAACTGAGTGAATGGGTAAACATTTTTTGAAATATTGCTACTGACAAGAATCTGAGCCGGGGGCATTTGTGTTTAACAAACACATTCTTGTTCTTTTTATGCCACCGCAGCATCTGCGATGCGGTGGCATATAGCGATTCACCTGTGTGTGTGTGTGTGTGTGTGTTTGTTCGTTTGTTTGTGTGTGTGTGTGTTATATAGATTATATAGTGAACTTAAAAAATCTTCTTGTGAAAAACCACTAGTCCAATTTCAACCAAACTTGGCAGGATTGATCCTTGGGTGAAGGGCTTCCAAAGTTGTTCAAAGAATTTAATTCCATGCAGAAATTGGTTGCCATGGCAACCAAAAGGAATTTTAAGAATAAATTTAAAAAATCTTCTTAGTAAAGACCCAAAAGGCCTAGAGCTTAGATATTTTGCATAAGGCATTGTCTGGTAGACCTCTACCAAGATTGTTCAAATTATAGCCCTGGGGTCAAAATCGGCCCCACCCCGGGGGTCATTGATTTTCACTATATGTACATATAGTAAAAACTTAAAAATACCTTTTTGTAAAGACCCATAGGCCTAGAGCTTAGATATTTTGCATAAGGCATTGTCTGGTAAGACCTCTACCAATATTGTTCAAATTATAGCCCTGGGTCAAAATCAGCCCTGCCCTGGGGGTCATGGATTTTCACTATATGTACATATAGTAAAAATTTAAAATACCTTCTTGTAAAGACCCAAAATGGCCTAGAGCTTAGATATTTTGCATAAGGCATTGTCTGATAGACCTCTACCCAGATTGTTCAAATTATAGCCCTGGGGTCAAAATTGCCCCCGCCTCGGGGTCATTGATTTTCAATATATACATATAGTAAAAAATCAAAAAAATCTTATTGTCTGAAGGTACAAGGCTTAGAGCTTTAATATTTGTTAAATGATATCATATATAGGTACTCTAAAAAGTTTTTCAAATTTTCCCTTCTAGTGCCCAAAATTTTTAAAAGTAAAAATTTTTGATATAAAGGTGCCCTAGATTTTGAAAAAGTGTATAATTTTTTCCTTTGATGCTTTCATAAAATTTTAGGCTGTTTTAAATATGCCCCTTCACCCCCAAAATTTCACTAGACTAAGTGCATTGATAAAATTCCCTACTCTGATCTTTTTTTGAGTTAACAAAAAATTTTAACCCAAATTTGATCTGATAATAAAAATTGATATGCTTATAAATTTTCAATTTTTATGAAACAAAAAATCTTTTCCCTACACCCCTTTTTTAAAGTTTTTGTTTTATTGCGGGGGATGGGAAATTTTTCTAAATGATTTTTTTTTTAAATTGGGGGGAAACTTTATTTAGTTTAATTTTTTAAAAATTGGGTAAAATATTTTTAGACATTTTTGTTTTATAAAATTTGGGGTGAAATTACCTTAAGATTTGTTGTTTTATATAATTGAGTGAACATTAATTTCTTAGACATTGTTTAGTTTATATAATTGATGTGAACAATTATCGTCCCTCTAGACATTGTTTTTTTTTATATTCAGGTGATATAGAGAAGAACGAAGATTTGATTCTCTATCATGAGACTATAATGAAGTGTAGTTAAATATGGGTGACATGCGGTTTATTTAAACATACATTATTTATAGTCTCTGTGGTCAGTGTGTGGCCAGAGGTGCTGAAGAAAGACCCTTCAGACTGTCCAGGCAAAGTAGACAGTCTTGGAATGACACTAGTTCTGGAAGAAGTTGTCACAAAGGTGCTTCTATCTACAGCCTCGGAGGTCAATATGAAGGTAGGATATTGAAAATCTAAAGCAATTTATGATGTTTAAACCATTAATGTGACCTTGCCACTGCTCTAACATTGTAATATTCTGATTGGTTTTCTTATAAACGATCATTTCAAGTTTTAGCACTATAATCATTTGGTTAACTTTGTTACCCACTTGCCAAATTAGCCTAATAGGGAATGTGATAGGTCTATGAATCTAGAATTTGGGAGTTTGAGTACTTGGCATTAGTTTGAACATGTTCATTTAAGCTGGATTGCAAAAAATGGTTTTTACAATTTGATAAATGATATTTGTTTATATACTGTAACCTGATAATTAGGATCTGTAATCAGGTCTCAGAAAACGTTAGTGAAATTTTTGATTTATGTAGATGTTGAACGACTTTGAAATTCTTGATGATTATATGGTACATCAACAATATATTTGAAATTGACTATTTTCAGATCATGGTGATTTTACAGAACTCTGTGGTTTGGTCAGGTACCACGCTGGTAATGCAGACTCTATCCTTAAACTATTGTGTAATAGATTGTTAAACGTACTTGAAGAGGACTCAGACAAATGTTAGTCTTTACATTATCATATAGTTTTACTATGTTTAAACTTGTGTAGCAATATTTAAGTTTAATATTTTTAATTTTATATCTGAAAATATGATTTCCCCAATGTCTTTACGCTTTTTGAATAAACCTTATGTTATTAATTGCTTGTAGTAGAAAAACACTAAAAGAAAAAAAATTGTATTGGACTAATTATGAAATTCAAATATAAATCAAACGTGTTTACCAAAATGAGCCGCGTCACAACAAAACCAACGTAATGCGTTTGCGACCAGCATGGATCCAGACCAGCCTGGGCATCAGCGCAGTCTGATCAGGATCCATGCTGTTCGCTATCAGTTTCTCTACTTGTAATAGGGTTGGTAAGCGAACAGCATGGATCCTGATCAGACTGAGCGGATGCGCAGGCTGGTCTGGATCCATGCTGGTCGCAAACGCATTATGTTGGTTTTGTATTGACGCGGCTAAAATAATATAAAGATATGTTTTGATCCATGCATGCAGTGACCAGAATGAAGCTGATTGATGCATAAACCAAGAAGCTATTGATGGTTTTCATATGCATTGAGAATTGATGTCAAATACCAACTTCTATTTGGCTGTATTTCGATATTTAAAAACTTTTACCAAGTGTTATAATTAGTTATATTCAAATCCAGACATAAAGATATTTTGTTGTTTATCTTGTACAGCTGGTGTATTAGAGCTAAGTCTAGCATTACAGTTACTGTGTAGCAGACAGACATGGGCATGGTTTAAGGAACAGTTTATTATGAGGAATGGATTACAGACTGCCTGCAACAAATACATGGCTGTGAGAATTATGAAACCAGTCCCACCTGAGTATTTATGTGAAATACTGAAACTTACAAGTAATTATCTTATTGAATATGTTAATCTTTACATGAATGGTTATTGCTTGTTACGTTGGTTTGATAAAGTTTTTAGTTTGTCATTTTAACATAGCAGTTGGAATTAAGGCTCACAAATGAGTACTTTATTTCTTTAGAAAAGGGAAAAAAAATGTGTTTAACTGTGTTTTATTACATGTAGTAGATTAAGAGCATGTTTGAGGATTATTACCTTTAGAAGGTAGCGCTGAATGTGAAATTATTTGTCATAAAGGTAGCCTAATGTTAACCAAAGTATTATTTTGACTACCGGGATATCATGTAATAACAGCTTAAAAATTTTTTTTTTTCAACGGGTACAAAAAAATTTTTGGTTAAAAACCTTTTCAAAATGAAAATAAATGTTTTGGGTTTATTTGGGCCGTTAAAAGCCAAGAAAAAGGGGAAATAAAAGATTTTTATTTTTATTATGACAGGCGAGGGGGGGTCTTTTAATTTTCTAATTTTGTTAAAGGAGGGTACAACTGATAAAAAGGGGAACTGGTTTTTACCTATACTCAAACATAAACAAGGTAAATACTGTTTATTATGTTTGGTTATAAAAGTGTAACTTACACCATTAACCCTGTATATGCTGTAAGGCTGATATGTCAGTGGAAGATTTTGACAAATACACATGAAAGTTTGTTGCAGGGAGTAACTACCAAGATATGACCAAAATTTGTGTTGAAATCGGCATAAAAACAGACAGAAAAACAAACAGTGTACTTGCAATAACTTTCATCACTTGTCTGTCAGAGGACAATTTCTGTGATCTTAATATTGAAAGCATTTTCTGGACTTAGTTTAAACAATATTTTATTTATAATCCACACATTTAAATAATAAATTACATAAAATAAAATTTACGGATTGAGTAGGAAGCTTGCTTTTTTTAAAACTCTCTCCGTTATCAGTATTTAACAAATTTCAAATAAATGGTAACAAAATATAAATATCTAAACTAAACTATACATATCATATTGACTTGTTGTTCTTGCTTTCTTACTATACATACTATGTTTATGTCCAGTATTCATGAACTAAATTTAAGATACATTGCTGTTAGATTAGAGATATAAGCATGAGTATGAATTTTCTGGACTTGTATCCTTTTCTACATATCACTTTTTACTTACAGAAAATGAAAAATGCAGGGGGTTGTCTGGAGTTTTGATAGATTTTCCCCCTTGTATAAAATTTTTTGCATTATTCAGAGCGGGTTACTGTGAGAAAAATCTGTTTAAAAAGGAACTTCTAAAAGATAATACATGCGTCCCCATTTTAAAACAAACAACGGGATTAGTGTGAAAAACCATTTTTTTAAAACATAAATATATAAAAAATTTAAATTTTTTAAAAAATTAGGATAATGTATGTCTTTCTTTGTTAGGTAAAAATTTTGAAATTCTAGAATCGGGAAATTTTTTTATGTGATTTTAAGTATCTTTAAAGAGAATTTTTTGGGGGAATATAATATTGTTAAAAATGCTTTGGTAGTTTGCATCATAACTTAGATATCCTAATTATTTATCATTAAAATTTTGTGACAGACTGGTCGACAATTACGTGTAGAAGCAAACAAGAATTTCAGTCAATTTTCTGAAAAGTGCTTTATTGAAGGCATGAGAGAGAGAACTTTTTGTAAAAAAATGATTCATTATAGATTAAATATACATGTATTAAGCTTCATTTTTATCTATAGCACATTCAGTCTTGTTTTAAGTTCCTTTCATTTCACTTGTAGCGAATTCGTTTGTATGATAAATAAGTTTAGGAAATAGTATTAATTGTAAATAGTCTTCCATTGGTCTAGTAATTTGCATGTTTTTTATATGAACTGTGTGTCAGATTGGCAGTGACTCAATGCAAATTGTATGTTTATTATACATTTTTTCTCCAGTCCAATGTTTCTGTGTTAATGCTTTTGTTTCAATTTATATCATGTTGTTTTTATGACATGGTGTCATAGTTTCATGACATTACCCGATGTCATAATTTGATGTGAAAAACCCTACTACATTTATATGTTTGTTTTATATTGTTATTGTTTTGACATATCTGTGCAGTAGTAGTGTTGTTGTTTGTAGTTTGTTTATTATGTTGTTTTCCATGATTGTGTTGTATAATAATGTGTGCTTGTATAGTTTTTAACACCATTGAAATTATCGTGTGTGTTTCTTATTTGTTACATTGTATTGTTGTCATACAGAAGAATATCAGTTGTTTCTACATCTACATTTATCGACTGTTCTCTTGCATTAAATGCAATTTTTATAACCATCAAGAGAAAGCATTGTTTTTATCATGTTTGTGTAGTTTTTTTTACTGTTTTTTTTTTTTTTTTAAATTCAAACAAGTCTGAGACGTAATGAAATAACGTGTTCTTAAAATTTGTAATATGATTAATAAACTAGCTACAATCAGACTTGGTAATTCAATACTGAACAATATTTTGTAATAAAATCATATAATCTGTAGCACCATCTTCATTTATTAGCTCAGATATTCGAAGAATGGCCGGCTACCCGACACCCTGGCATCAGCCTCAGAGTAACACTTTGGTTAAAGATTGGTGTAACACTTTGGTTAAATTTTTACATGCAACTCCTTGTACAATATCATAACTTATCAACTACTGAAGATATTTGCCTGTAACTTAATACACTCCTTTGAGATCAGATCAATGGATCAATTTTTATACGCCCGTTTGAAAAACGGGACGTATTATGGGAACGCCCCTGGCGGACTGGCGGGCGGGCGGCGTCCAATTTTGTCCGGAGCATATCTCCTACATGTATGGAGGGATTTTAATGAAACTTCATAGAAATGTTCACCACTATGAGGAGCAGTGTCGCGCACATGAACCAGGTCTCTAGGTCAAAGGTCAAGGTCACACTTAGAGCTCATTGAAAAATGCTTGTCCGGAGCAAAACTTCCACATGTATAGAGGGATTTCAATATTACTTGGCACAAATGTTCACCATTGTGAGGCGGAGTGTCACGCGCAACATTCAGGTCCTTGCGGCCAAGGTCAAGGTCACACATAGAGGTCAAAGTTCAGATAAAAATATGAAGATGTGTATATGGACCATTTAGTCATCATTTATTGAGGGATTGTAACACAAATGGTCATTATCAGACTATGGCTGTGATACATATAATTTAGGTCAATATATACAAGGTCAAGGTCACTAAAGATGATGAAATATCCAGATTTTGTCCGGAGCATATCTCCTACACGCATGGAGGGATTTTAATGAAATTTTATAGAAATGTTCACCATTATGAGAAGCCATGTCATGCACATGAACTAGTTCTCTAGGTCAAAGGTCAAGGTCACACTTAGAGCTCATTGAAA